ATAACTTCTATATAAAGCTAATTAATTATATTTTAGAATATTATAAGTATATTTATAAGACTAAAAAGTATAATGAGGTACTTAAAATATCCTTTTTATATCTAGAAAGTAGTTTTCTATTCTTTATTTTATTTTATTTAGATTAAGTTATAAATCCTTTTAAGATTAAAAACTATAAATTAATTAGCTTTATATAGAAGTTATCCTATTTTATCTATAAGGGGTAATAAGTAGTAATTTTTAATTATTATTTTATTAAATATATAANAATAGTTAATATATAATTATAGTTTTCTATTTTTTTTAAATATAAATAGGATTAAGTTTCTTATTAATAATATTAAAAGTTTAATATAACTTTTCTTAAGGTTTTCTTTAAGGTACTTATTTAAAACTTCTATCTCTATTAAGTTAAATCTATAGATTTTATTAAATTATAGTTCTTTTTCTTCTTTAAAGGGAATTTTATAATTAAAACTAATATATTTAGGTAATTTAATCTCTAATTTAGCTATAAAGAGTTTCTTATAAACTCTATATTCTTCTAAAATAAATAGAAGTAAATTATTTTTTTATTTAAAATCTATTATTATTAATAGTTATAATATAGCTTATTTTACTTTAAAGTAATAAATATATTATCTTATAGTTCCTTATTATATTAGCTTATTTAAGGCTTATTTTTAATAAAACTATTTAAAGACTAAGTTATTATAGTCCTAATAGAGTTAGCTTTTATTTTAATCTATCTATAAATTACTTATTTATAACTAAAGTAGTCCTAATATTATATTATATATTCTTAAATTAGTAATATTAAATTAGATTCTTTCTTTTTAATTTAAGTAGTTTATTTTAAGAAGTATAGTCTTATTATAGATAATACCTCCTTTATATTTAAATTCTTCTCTTTCTACTATATATAATTAATATAGTTATTCTTTTTTTCTCTATAGTACTTTTAATTTATTAATAACTTAAAGGGTAATAAAGTTTACTTTAGCTCTACTATTAATTAGTATAAATATTATTTATTAATTAATAATAACTTTAAATTTTATATTACCCTAATATCTTTATAATATTTAGTAAATAAACCTTCTCCTTATTACTTATTATAATTTTATATTAATAAGTAAGTTTAGTTTTTTAATTACTTTAAGTATCTTAAGTAAGTAATTTACTTTCCTTCTTATTATACTTTTATAAAGCTATTTTTATAATATCTAACCTAAAGAAGTTAGGGTTTATTCTTTATAATTCTCTAGGTATATACTTTTTCCTTATAATAAATTTAGTATTTATTATATTAGTATTTATTTTATTTTATCTATTTATTATAGAGGTATTCTATAGGAAATTATTAATTAGAGGTAAATATAGTAATATTATTATTAAACTTTCTAAGTTCCTATTTAGTAAGAGTATATATAGTATAAACGTTTTATAGGGGATTATTATTATATTACTTAGGTTAGAAATAATAATTATACTTATCTCTTATATAGATTTTATAATAGTTAAAGAAATATTATACCTAAAAGAGGTATTAGTAGTTAGAATTAATAATTCTAAAGTAGGGGTAATCTTTAGTCCTAAGTTATAAAGTATAATATATTTTTAGCCTTATATTAAGTATATTATAAAATTTAATAAACTATTTATTATTATATAAATTAATTTACTTATATATAATTTACTTAGATATATTATCCTTTTTAAATTTCTCTTTAGAACTAAACTTATCTATACTAAGGGTAAGTTTATAAGTAATCTCTACCTAAATATATTAGTATATAATATTATAAGGTTTATCTAAGTTATAAAGAGAACCTTCTCCTTCCCTAAAAGTTTAGTTATTTATAAGATTAAATAGTTATTATTCTTCTAGGGGGTTATATTAGTAATCTAACTTATTATTAAATTCTTCTCTTATCTATTTTTTTAATATTATATAAGTAGTTTAGTTTAGAAGTTTATAGCTAGTTTAACTTTAGTTATTAATTATTTTTAGAGTAGAACTAAGAATTAGTTTAAGTTACTATACTTATAATATCTTATTAAGTTATTTTTAAGTTTTTCTATAAATCTTACTATTACTAATATATATTATTACTAAGGTTTTTAGATATATATCTAGTATAGTTATATTATACTTAGACTATTTAAGATTACTATCCCTTAAGTAGTATCCTAATATTTCTTTATCTTTAAGATAAATCTAATAGTTATTATTATAGTATTTAGTTTAAAACTAAAATATATATAGGACTTTAGTAATAATATTAACTTATTAGGGTTATTTAGCTATTAACTTCTAGAGAAGTTTCTTAAGCTATTTATATTCTCTAGTAATATATTTTTATTTATTATAGTTATAATACTTAAAGTTTTATAACTTCTTATTATTAAGTNTATTTTTATTTATTATAGTTATAATACTTAAAGTTTTATAACTTCTTATTATTAAGTTTAGTTATTATACTAAGATCTATAGATTTACTATACTATCTATAAGTAATACTCTAATAGGTATTATTTTAGTTATTATAAAGTTTATTATTATTTTACTAAGAGTTAAACTTCTAATAAGGTTACTATTAGTACTTATATTTAGAGTTTAGTCTTTATTATTTTTTACTTTTTTCTTTATAGTACTTAAAAAGTTAATTATTAATCTTAATAGTAAAGTTAGTATACTAAAGAAAATCTTTAGAATAATTAATCTTAATAATCTTATCTTTAACTTTATTCTTAAGTTTTTAATAAAATATAAAGATCTTAGTTTCTTTAGTAAGGTTAAATTAAATATTAAGTTATCTAAATATAGTAGTATATTTTTTAGTTAACTTTATTTATTATAACTATATAAGGTCTCTCTTAGCTTATTATTTCTTATTAGAGTTTTAGAAAAGAGAGTAAAAAGTATCTTTAAATCCCTTAAAATTACTATAAATATTATAGATTTTAGTAGAGTATTTATTTAAAGTTTTATACTTAAGAAACTCTTCTTAAATAGGTTTAAACTACTTAAAAGTTTATCTTTATAAATAAGTAGTAATATAGATAACTGTTTTAGTTTAGCTAGTAAAGTCTTTATAATAGAAGTTCTAATAGTTCTTAACTTAGATTAGGAATAACTTAAGTTATCTAGAAGTACTTCTTATAAGTAATTAAGGTATTAAGTTTAAGCTTCTATTATTCTCTAATAGGGGTTATAATAATATTAGTAACTATATATAAAGTATAAATTTCTTCTTAGAATTCTTTAATATTAGTATTACTATTTTATCCTCTAAGTTAAATAACTTTATTTTTTAGATCTATAATATATTAAAAACTATTTCTTAGTTATTATATTATTTCTTTAAAGTTTTAAAGTTCTATAATAATATTATTATATATAGTTTAAATTTTAGTAATATTATTATCTCCTTTCTTAACTTTAGTTTAAAAGTATTTATAAGTATCTTTTTTTAAAGTTACTTTATTATTAAAATCTACTACTATAAAAGCTCTTTTAAGTTTTTTAACTAGGTTTTAAACTAGTTACTATAAAGAGGAGGAGGTCCTTAAAATAAGTAACTTAATAGAAGTATATAAAGATATACTTATTATTTTACTATTAGTAAGTATTAATAGTTAACTTATTAAATAGGAGTAATTAAAGTATTATAGTTAGCTATTTAATAGTAAGGTCTACTAATAGAAACTAGAGATTAATATATTATAATAGTATATTAAAGTTATAATCTAAGTTATAAGTTATAAGCTATAATAGATTAGGTCTTTTAAAAACTAAAGTAATTAATCTTAAACTTAATAAGTAATTTATAGTAAAAATAAGCTAAAAGTATTTATAAAGATAAATATTAAGTTAATTACTAAAGAGCTATAAAAGTCTAATTATAAACTAAGCTTAAGGTTATACTATATATAAATTTTAAATAGTTCCTTTATTTAGCTATTAATTCCTAACTAGGTATTAGTAAGTATTTAGTAATTATTAGTAAGTACTTAGTAACTCTTACTAAATACTTAGTAATTTATATTACTTACTTAGTCTTATCTTATTATTATATAACTTATACTATAGTTCTTCTATTTCTAAATAAGTTCCTACTATTCCTATAGTCCTATAGTATAAATATCCTATCCTAGCTACCTAATGCCTAAGGTGGGTCGACTAACTGTTATCCTTACTTATAGGTCGTAACACTAAGTAGGTTAGTTATCTGTTACCTATGCATAACGGGTTGTAACAATGGACTATGCCTTGCTAAGAGAATTTTCGGGGGAGAATAGACAGAGTTAGAGTCATGGCTGCATGGGAGATAATGAAGAGACACGCGGATGCTGGTTGAGGGTGTATCGGTATGAGAGAGACTTACTCTATTTATATATACTGTTGCTCTTAATCCACTCCACTAAATCGATTGACAGGGGCACTGCATCCCGTGATGACACTCGGCACACTTCAACATTAGCACCCGGCAATACCATGTTCTCAGGCACATACATAACTGCTACCAGCCAAAGACTTGCTGCAGGCGTGAGGCGATGTAATGGTGATATCAGATAAGAGGCGGGGATTTGTGCGTCGTCGGACACTAACGCAGAATGTCCGCTGGAATCGAGTGTAGATGCGTCGGTCAGGCGATGATAATTCCCTCGGACCACAACCGCGTCACACGATTCATGGAGAAGGATATGATCATTGGAGGGCGTGTCAAACCTCGATATTTGCACGATTAGTGCCCGACCCCGGGCGATTTACTCTGGAATGTTTATTTGGTAGCAGTGTCGACAGCCTGTTAGAACATCGTTGAAAACACCTGAACTTGTAGGATAGAAGAATCTGGGTATTGAAAAAGTCGCGTTGAGATTCACTACAGTTGCTGCTAGCTGCTGCAAAATCAAATTGCCCAGCTAACAGTTTGGATCAAAGCAAGGCATCAGTGATGATTTAATTAACTCACAGAAGAATATACAATGAATCATCACTCCCGAGTTTCGCTGATACTCCCGATGGCAGCCGCCAGCCTCTCAATACCTTCCACAAGTTCCTCCTTTTCGTGCCAGGCCCAGCACAGCCTTGCACCATTGAAGCACGAAGTTTCACCCCTGCTCGTGCTCAAAGGGTCGTCAGGCACAGCGAATATTGACCCAGGAGCAATCTTCAAATTGAAGTCCTGTAGTGCGACCTGCGCTATTTCCGCACCCGTGAGCTTCCCAAAGGAGACGTAAAGGAAGAATCCACCGGCCACGTTGGAGTCACCATTATCAGCGACCAGCCTAGCACCTAGAGGATAAAGACAACGTTTGAAGGCGCTGCTCAAGGCATGATAGCGCTCGCGATAGATAGGAATTAGACAATCGTTGATATGTGTTGTCATAACTCCGTTCTGCAACATCCTGTCTATCACGAGTGACGCGAAGTGACCTTGGCAATCCCCAAAGACGCTTGCTCGCTTTGATCAAATCAGTATCACACCAGACTAATTGGGGAATCGCAACTTACACTGTTCCCATCGCGGCAACAAAGTCCGGGGTGCCTTCTAGCCAGCCCATCCTCATACCTGGGGCTACGATCTTGGAAAATGATCAGTTGCCCACAGAATTTCCAAATACAGTAGCACTTTCCATATCTCGATGAACATCCACAATTCGGGGTTGACACTGAGGTATTTCCCCAGACGAAGTATCGCCGTCGTCGTCTGCATACCATCTCAGCATATCGTACACGTCGTCGGTGATAATCAATGCATCGTGCTTGCGTGCCAACTGCACAAGCTTCCTTCTGTTTTCGATTCCCATAGTCTTTCCACGTGGGTTGGAGAAAGTCGGAATGAGGTAGATGACGTGTTTGTAGATCTTTGGGTAACCAGTCTTTGCAAGCTTTCTTGGCGGTAAAGACGCGTCTGCCGGCCATCCGTCGTCGACTTCCTGGAGAGCCTTAGCTAGGAAGTCCAAGTCCACGCCATCTTCACCTTCAGGTGCGCCACGGATGCGTGCCATCAGACCAGCATCTCTGAAAATAGGACACGCGAGGAAGTATGTTGGGTCGGCCATCCAGACAGCGCGTGTGCTGGGGTCCGTGAACTTCTGCAGGATGGTTGCCAGTCCATTAGAGGCACCATTTGTGATTACGATGCGTTCGCTTGGGATCGACCAGCGGATGGGGCGTAAAAGTCGTTGAGCCATTTCCCGATTGACTGACGTAGGCTGGTGCTTCCTAGTTCAGGGTCGTAGAGGAGCTGCTTGTTGATGTCTTTTTAAGGTATATTAATAGAAAGTAGTAGTATATTTAATATACTATTAAACTTTATACTAAGGGATTAGGTTATAAATATAAAAATCTATATACTTTATCCTAGTTATTTTAAATAATTATAAGGAAGTTATTACTACTTTTAAAGTAATAATAATAAATAGTATTAATATAGTATAGTAATAATATCTTAATATTAAAGGAATAATAAGTTATAGTAGTATAAAGAGGGAGATACCTACCCCCTAGTAATTTATATTCTCTTTATATACCTCTATAAGTAGTTATAGAGGTTTCTCTACTATCCTAGCCCTCGAATATTCCCCTATAAGAGTTATATAGTAGTTAATAAGGTACGCCTCTAGGCGGCAAACTACGAAGAAGAAAACTTAGAAGGGAAGAAAGATTAGCAATCATGATTGCGGATGACGAGGGCAAAGGTAACAACAACACTCTGTGTGGGATGCGGTCAAGACAGTAGGCATGCTTTTTAGGAAACAAGCCGCGGTCCGAATTTCCACAACGCTGATTTCTTTTTGATAACAAGGCGGCATCAGATCGACGTCCCTCGGAACACGCTGCGGCATGATTTCCCTGCGCAATCCTTGTTACATGTGAATCGGAACTGGCCCTGTGTTTACTTGACCCGCAATTATCGGACATCATTTCTGAAAGTCCGCTCGAGATGGAATGATCGCACTCACCTTCTATATGACCGATAAGAACAAAACGCATACCGTTTTAATTACGTCGGCCTGGAACGCCTAGCGGAAGTGTGACTAGCGATGCCATTTCGATCGTGAGACATTCAGCAGAGCTATTGTAGTTCAATGAGCAGATAACGTTAAAAGCCTCTTCCTCCCTAGAAAGGACCACACTGACTTGCAATAAATGTCATTTTATTCGAAAGAATCGAATTGATTGCTTAAGTACAGTTTTACTGCGTAGAATTCGCGTGGCTGTCGTACCAGCAAGCAAAAGAGTAACATGAAGTCAGCGCATCGTTATGCGACCGGAGGTACAAAGCACATGAAACGTGCAGCAAGTTCGAAGAGGAGCATAGTCTTGAAGGTTTGTCTATTTCAAATGGCAAAATATTTCTCTCTAGCAACCCGCATTGGCAAACTAATCCAGCATCACCCTCACACAGTCATGATGCTCGCGGAGGAGCACTCTGAGCACTTGTTAGCTACAAATCGACAGACAGTTTGTGATACTTACAGGAAAGATATGATACGTGTCAATGAGTATTCTTCCATTATCAAATCGTTGAAAATGGAGTTTTGCTGCCCATCCCATCTCGCCCATCGTCATAGACGTAATTGCTCTGTCCATGGAGCATCACCTCGTTGGCATTACCAGGGCTAAAGTAGAAGACCTTGAAAACAGTGTGCTTTCTCGATGCCTGACCCTTCCAGGAGCCGAGGTTTACCTCAGCTATTTCTGCCCGGGCGCTGGGAATCAGTTTTGCTTGTCCCGCATCACAGATAGAGGGATACTTACTGTCGCGACCCTGAACATTAGTTGTTGCTTTTTTTATGACGCCATCTTCAGCGAAGCATTCGGCCCATGAATTCGCATTCTATTTATCGTCGGAGAAGGTGTAGAAACGTTGAAGAAACTCGGCTAAAGGCCCGTCCAACGCCGAGGGGTCATAATCAAAAGAGTGCGCCGCAAGTGCTTCAGGTGTCGGATCCATTGGAAAGTTCTGTATATGTTTGATAAAATGAAAAGCGAGTGTCTCAAGTCTCAAGTCTCAGTCTGTTGACCATGCCTCGTGCTTCTTTATCTCATTGCAATCGGGCTGAGCGCACTTGATGAAGCTGTCCTGAAAGCCCCACATCATTCGGACAAGATCTCAAAAGTCCGACAGGCCGTCCAATTAGTCAAACTCGAGCTTTGATACCGTGCGTACATAAGCTATGAATTGTTATACGTTTGTGATACACCTTTTGGTATGATGAAGCACATGATTTACTACAACATTATTCAAGACGGCACCCACGGCACTTTGCTGTTTTTCCGTCGACATTGATGCTGTTTGCGGTTGGATCGGATCATACGGAGGCGAAGAATCCGTTTCTGACATATCACGAGGTATTCACTATTCTCTTGACGTGATGGTTTCTGGATACTTAGACTGGATGAATAGGCTATTTCGCTGGTACTGTTGGAGTCCGGCGTCTGCTAGACCTCTTCAAGAAATAAAATATCAAAACAACTTGGTTCATTCCCGACCACACCTTAGAGACGTTCCCCGAAGAGTGTGCTCTTATCAGGGATGCGGGCCATGAGATTGGTCTGCACGGTTATTCGCACGAGAATCCGAAGGAGATGACAGTTGAACAGCAACGAGTGGTCCTAGACAAGACGTACCGACTGCTACGGAATTCTGTGGCAAGCCTCCTAGAGGCTCAGTAGTTCCGTGGTGGGAGACTCCGAAGGAAGGCGCCGAGCTCATGTTGGAGTACGGTAAGACCCCAAATACAATGGCTTTGAAACTTCCAAGAAGACTTATTTCTGGGGAAGGTCTTGAATACGATCACTCTTCCTCTCACCACGACGCGATACCTTACTGGCTGCGTGTCGGTGACGAGTAGACCAAGGCTGACTACTCGCAGCATTCAGATACATGGATGAAGCCGCTGGTGAGAGGTGAGGAGACCGGCTTAGTGGAGATTCCTGCAAGCTGGTATCTGGATGATCTGCCTCCAATGGTAAACGAAACGGAATGAACCCTGTCTAACAAAGGCGCTAATACATGCAGATGTTCATTAAGAAATGCAGAACAGCCATGGCTGGGTGCATCCATCGGTTGTCGAGGATCTGTGGAAAGACCATTTCGACTTCTTCTACGAGAACTACGACAATTTCTGTTTCCCAGTCACAATTCACCCCGATGTTTCGGGGCACCCTCATGCACTAAAGATGCTGGAAAGGTAATACTTCTGGAAGAGATTTGTTTCAACACGTGCACTAATGGCTAGCCAGGGTGATTCAATATTTAATGACGAAGCCTGGTGTGGAGTTTGTGAAGACGGTAGATATTTGCGATGAGTTCAAGTCTCGCAGCTCTCCTCCTGCTGGAGCCAGAATGCCAGCCGAAGCAGGATCAATTCTTAAATGTTGATTCGTATGAAGGCATTCCTGGACGTGGAATCGCGCCTGAATCGCTTATTTGCGTAGTAGATACATGAAATAAGAAGTCTTCATGATTTAGTTTTAACATTTCATAGATATCATTTAGGCGGCCTTCAATTTAGGGTTGCGCAGATGGTTGCAAGATAAATCTCCACATGACTCTACAACTTCTGTACTCTTTTCTACTCTACAAGTGTCGGCTGGGACAAGAAAAACTGGATGGCCATCTCGCCAGCCAGCAACCTTGTATCGTCCTGGTCTACAAGTCTCAAATACTCCATCATCTTCTCATCATCGGGTATCATCCCAGATTGCTGCACGGCTAATGTGCTCCATTTGGTGATGAAAGTGTCAAATTCCGGGTGCCCCTGGTAGGTCAACACCCGGCCCGGCACTAAGAATCCCTGAACGTCGCACAAGGGAGATTTACCCATCTGCACCCAGTTCGGAGGCAGTGGTCCGTCCAGTTGTACCACATCTTGGTGAAGAAACTGGTACGAGACAGTGTCGCCCTTCAGACAAGGGAAATGGGATGCGAAGTCCTCTGAAAGCGACACTTGATGAACCCCAATCTCCCAGCCCTTGGGGTTCTTCACTACCCGAGCGCCATGTTTGAATAGAAAGGCCTGGCCGATGAGCTGGTGGCCAAAACATCCCCCGAATATTTTCACATTCGGAGAGTTCTCATAGACATCTGCGGCTGGTCAGTGATTGTAAACCATGACTGGACAACATCTTCGAAGACATACCTCGGAGGAAGGCAGCTAGCTTGTGAATCCACGGCTCATCATCATATGCTGAAGCCACGGAACCAGTGACGATGAGGGCATCGAAATCTTCCACTGGCAAGGGATACTCCTCTTTGAGAATCACATCGAAGCCAGTAACCTCGGCAATAATTTGGCCGTTCGGTCTTTTAGCATTGTACGCATTGACAGATGCTAGAATCCAGCTGGCGAAAATGTCGTCGAACTGGCCCCTATCTTTCGCAATGTTCTCGGGAATAGGAAAGCAGCAGAGTACTGCAATCCGGAGTTTGCGGCGTGGGGTTACTATCGTCATGGTGATCCTGGGGTGTTGTCTCGGTTCGGTTAAGTTCTGGCTGGCTGGGAATTTGAAGACAGATAATACCCTTGATAAGACGATACCCAGTTAAACCTTCCCGAAATGTACCGAACAGATATAAATAAAGTGGGAGGATACCTCCACAAACCGGATCGACAGCGGCACAGCGGACATCGCACATTAAGTCTGTTGTGGGGCCGGTGTTGATAACAGCGGGGAACTGCCGAGATAAGACAAGTCAGGGGATCCATCCATCCGGAGCGAATGACTGATTCAGTCGCCTAATCGGGATATCGAGTGCGGAGGCTGAGACCGGCGGCCGTGAGACATCCGGAGCAATGTTACGCTCATGCTCATAAGGTATGCTTCATTGCAGAACGATACAGCAAACATGAGCCAGACGCTGTACAGTATCCCGTGGCTACGCGCTCAACGTGAGATTGCTTGCTGTCGATGTCGTCGCCGTAAGAAGAAGGTCGAGAAACCACATTGATGCGCAATCGTGGCGCCAAAGCTGACACAATGCCAGTGTGATGAGCGCCGCCCTCTGTGCGGCGAGTGCGCCAGGTGCGGTGCAGGTAAGAATGGAAGGCATTTTTAATTACCCGCATCACGGAAGTTGACTCGATTTTGTATCCAGAATGTGTGCCACTTGCCCCTAAGAAGTCTGCAATGACCACGCTTCCAGCTGGGTAAGCAATCTACTGTATCACGCAGGGAATGTAGTTCCCATAGTTATTAGCCATTAGATACGTTCATGTGCTCGAGGAACATATAGCGACACTCGAAACTCGTCTCCGACAGTCCAATCCGTCGATTGCCGGTGACCATTTTCTGAGCGACCCCAGAGCAAGATCTGTCAACACCCCAGCTTCGATGGATATGATAGCAGATGATGCTGTACCTCCATTAAATCTGTTGGGCAGACGTTCTTCGTGGACATGGTGCTTTCTATTGGTGCTCTACTGGTCCATGGATCAACTCCCTCTTCTGAACACCTAGACCTGTCTCGCGCATCCTATTAACGAGCCATGGCAAAGTACAGGTCTTATGAGATCCAAGAGTCATCGCCTATTCTTCGTACGCAGTCATCTCTACTACTTACTGTGCACGCGATGCATCTCGACTCTGTCAGAGACCTCTGCGATTGCGTCTTAGATCCAGTCAAGAATTTTGCGTTATCGGACCTCTCGTATCGAAGATCACGGCGAAAAGTACCTTTACCGCAACAGCATGACATCGACGACGTCGTTTAGAAACTGGTCACAAGGAAATGTCTCGTAATAGATATTATCATATCTGAAACGATAGAACATAGTCTTTGCTTGGAAAACTCGTCGGTGGATGAAAATAACATGTCAGAGGCAGAGACGGCTCTGTGTCTTCCGAAGAGCTCAGGCTCGGCAATCCCTTCGAGTTCAACTCATCTGCGTTTGTATTCACGTCCTGGTTTAAGATGAAATTGTGGTATGAAGGACGACATTCAAGATATGGTGGCATAACCAGCGGAATTGAGGATGTGTGTGATGAACTACTCAAGTTGGCTGCCTGCCTAGAGAGAGGCTGGAAGAAGACCCTGGACGGCCGTGGGCGCACAGACCTCTAGTGCACCTTAGGGCAGGTGCCACCACAAAAGCCTTCCAAAGGTTATCCCAACTGCATAACGCCATACGTTGCGCGGTTGTGTCCAACCACTAAGGGCCAGCGCCCGGCCCGCAAGGCCAGAGTGACGTCTGGACTAGCCGCCCAGACTAAGCAAGCTTAGCCATGCAGGTCATTGGAAGCCCAGGGTTGTCAAGAAGGGTGACGAAGCGATCTATCTTACGACCGAGCTTTGCGCCTGGAGGTAGCTCCAGCTCCCACCTTCGGAAAAGCACGGCAATAGTCATCCTGATCTCAGCTAGAGCCAGACTATGTGCGATCATGTTAGAGAATGTTGCCATGACACATGTGAGATTTGAGACGACCTACTTCTGTCCGATGCACGCTCTCGTGCCTTTCGAGAATGGAACAAGCCACTGGTCTAGCCTTTCACCCTCTCGGGAGAGCCATCGATGCGGTTTGAACTCCAAAACATCTTCACCCCAAATCTTTTGATCAAAATGTAAGTTGAACGCGGACATTCCTACAATCATCTGGCTCTGCCTTAGTGACGTTAACCTTCATCATGTACAGTTAAAGCTTACTCCTGGAGCAATTGCCTTCCCGTCCACTACTAGTGGTTTTTCATCTGGAACAACCCTCGGCAATCTTCCCGGGGCGGGACATGCCAGTCTCAAGGCTTCGTTGATGCAGCCAGTCTGAAATCATTGTCAGTGATATACTGCCTTGCCAGAATGCTGGAATTGTTCGTACCAAAAACGGAAGCTTCTCCAAGTCTTGAAGCACCGGGGATGTTTCGAGAGTAGGCAGGGCCTTTTCGAGCTCACGTAGAAGCTCTTCCTTGATTTTGGGGTTCGAAAGAATATGATAAATGGCGTATGTGATCGTGAGAGCACTCGTATCCGAACCGGCCACAAGAAACTCAACTGCAATGAACTTCTTGGCCTCGTCCGAGATATCTTGGAGACTGTCGAACATCACGGGGTGCTCAGTCCTTGCCCTCTCGTCGCTAGGCAAAGCATTGTACTTATCTATGCAGCTTTGAGCCCACTAACGTGGATCCCAGGTCAGTCAGTGTGATGAAGATCCAAGAACTGGTCTGCCACTGCTCACCTCGTTCATTTTCAGAAATTTCGCAAGATTCTCGTCGATTTTTGCCAATAGCGGAGCCGGCAAGAAAAGTTTGCACGCCGTTAAAACAGGTCGGAAAAGCATCTCCGGAAACACAAGTAGGTTTGAGTGAATGACGTCGAGAAAATCGGCATCAAAAGAGTTTTTGGATGCCTCGATCATGTTGGAGTCGCTGCCAAATGCATAATCGGAAATAGCATCGACAGTCATGCAACTGAACAAGTCAGCAAGTCGTCGTCAAATCTGTGTGATGCCTTTCCCTCACTGGATGGCATTGTGCATATCGAAAGTTTCGTTCATCCGTCTTAGTTTGATCTCGAGCTTCGAGATCTTCTCCAGTATCAATGAACTCAAGTTATCAACGGCTCGCTTCGAAAAGCAGCGATTCAGGTCACGTCGCCGGTTCCTGTGCGCTTGTGGGTCCATTTCCGTAGTCAAGCTATGGGGCCTGTGAAAGGCTCGGTAGAACGACCAAGCTTTCTTGAAAGGCGCAGTTTGATTGTAAATGACCTTGTACAGCTCAGGCTGGATCACATGTACCTCGTTGGGACCAATACGGATAACGTTGCTGTCTGGCGGATGAACCTCCGTTAGCACGTTGAGCAATAAATCAAGTCTCAACACGACGCGCTCAGGAGGAGTTTACTAACCGTACTTGCAATGAAGCTCTTTCAACTGCGCTTCGATGTTAGGGCCTTGCGAAAGTCGATAGAGCCACTCCTCGGACAGCGCCGCTAACTTGGGACCTGGAATTGATGCTAGGGGGTGGAACCGCAAGCGGTAAACTCCGACTGTGGCGATGGCAACGATGGCTAGTGTTGGAACTACAAGAACGAGCTCGAGGCGACCGCCGTTGGCCATCGTATCGAATTTGGAGCTGAGATAATTCATCTCCGACTGCAAGGTATGAGAGTGTTTTGAAATCGTTGTTCAGAACAAAAACCGTTTGTGGTGTGCCACAGAGTTTGGCATGGAAGTGGCAGTCTTTCTATCTTAGCAACTCGACAGAAGTGTCTTCTCCCTCGTTTTGTCTGACAAGACCGGACTTTTGCGGACTTCAAAGACGCCGCTGTGATTCATACTGTTCTTTCTTCCGCGCTGTTGTTGGGTGTAGTGGAACCTATGTGACGACATGACGACTGATTTGAGGTGTCGGGCAGCTCAAGACGCCGAGATGATTGACTAAGTGATTGATTGATTCCCATCACATTTGGATTGGCCCCATTCTGAGCAGGCATCACCGGCTGACAGGGCTAGGCCAAAAGCCGGTGTGTTCCGGGGGCTCATCCGACACACCCATGGATGCAAATAATTGATCAGGTATTTAAGGGGTAGGTCAGCAGGGCGGTACGGATAGTCAATGGCCAACAGGACATTACTCCACTAGGTTGACACATCAGATCAACTAAATTAGTTGATGCTCTCTGCGCGCCGACATCAATTGCGCTGCGCCCCAACTTTCGTGACGACTGACCCGTCACACAGGAGGGCTGCGGAAAGGATGTTGTTAGTCCTAGAGTGGGCTAACAGCCCGAGGGGCGTCGACACCATGTTGTCTACACTGGCGAAGGGCCGGTCACAGCCTCTGCGCACACAGGTGACCCGACCACCGAATGATTACCATGCATTCTGTATTTCACAACCAGTACAGCAGACTAAGTCCATTCACAGATACTTTGGGAATTACAAGAGTTTTGCTATCCGAGCGGTAGTTTCTGGTTAACCGGGACGTACTCCATTTATCTCAACCAATCAGACCATTAAATGTATTCGCGCAGCCAATCGCATAACGTAGCGCCGCCCTCTACGAAGTCGCACATAGCTTCGCACGTAATTAAGGACTCCACGCATAGTTAAAGACGTTACGCGGGCGACCTTAGGCGGCGAAGTTCACAAGACCTGTAGAGTGCTTGTTCAGCCAATTAGATAGCTGGGATAGCTAATAAATGGGGTACTGCTCGGTTAGCCAGAAACCACCGCCCGGATAGCAAAACTCAATTACGATTCTTAGTGGGGGTTACGCTGCGCAGCATTCAAAGCGCCAAGCTACTCAATCTGGTTGTGCCTGGTATACATGCCGCATTTGTACTGGAGCAGATTTGTCAGCGGCCGGCCGGACATTTCCAACGTCTGCCCGTCAATCTTCAGGTGGATGGATATTGATCATGGCACGTTGGAGACGCCACGCTATCATCTTTTCGTCCCGTACACGGCGAGGATGCACGTCAGGTTCAGACGGGACCTTGTGGTGTCTGCGAGTGCAGAGCCATCGAGAGGAAGATGACGAGCGACGACGACTATAAAGCACGTTCCTGCTCGTCGTTCCCTTACTACCGGATGAAGTCTCTCATTGCATAATCGTAAACGACGCCCTCTCAGGATAACTCATTAGTCGAAGATGTCTTTTGTCATGCACTCTAGTCTGCTGCTTAGCTCTGCTTCTGTCTCAGTACTTGTCCTACTGTTCTTGGTACGTCGACTCATCGTATTCACATTCTGGGCCTATGTTTTGATCGTGACCGAGGCAACTGACCGAACAAGGTTCTCCGAAGAGTTTGTTTCAGCCCTCTAGCCCGGCTGCCAGGTACTTCATCCAGGAGGATGCACGGTCAGCTGGCGTGTAAACTGACGATCAACAGGGACTCAATTTTCAAAATGGACGGACCTTCCTCTCAAGTACCACTGGCTGTCAGGTACTCGCTCAGCCTACGTGCAAGGATTGCACGACAGATACGGTTGGCTTCTCCCACACTATGAGCCGGCTTCCTAGCTGACATGGGCGTTAGGTCCTATTGTTCGTCTAGGCCCTTCTGAAGTCAGCGTCACTGATGGCACGGCTGTGAAACAAATTTACAACGTCAAAAGTGGCTTCGCAAAATCTGCATTCTATCGCAGACTTGACCCGGGTCCTGAGAGCATCTTCAACACGAGTGACATAGATTTCTCCCGCCGCCACCGTCGTCTCTTGACGTCACCCTTGTCAGAATCTTCGCTGAAAGCCCTTGAGCCTCTAGTGGATGACAAAATCAAGTTGGCCATCGAACGCATTCACCAGGAGATGAAGATTAGAAGTGCTGCAGATATTGCCAAGTTCTGGCTCTTTATGGCGACGGATGTCATCTCCGAACTGAGTTTCGGAGAATCGTTCGGGATGCTGGAGAAGGGAGAGGTAAGCGCTGTCCCGCCTCGTCGTGTAACACATCGCCGTGCTTTTGCTGACCATTCCTTTTACCCCTGCGTAGAAGAACCAGTACATTAGCGACCTGGAGAACTTGTCCAAGCTTGGCGGCGTCAGAGCACTTTTTCCAACCCTTGTGTCGTGGGCAAGTCTAATACCCGCCCGTCCCTTCACAAACTCGACGGAGGCAGCTCTACGAATGGGACAGTACGCTACCGACGCAATCAATCGGTACAAAAGCTATGCCGCTAAGAACCCAACAAATCAGCGTCCAATGCTCCTCAGCAAAATGTTCAAGGCTGGCGAGGAAGGCCTGTCGAGTATCGAAATCGAGTCTGATGCACAGGCATATATCATTGCCGGCAGTGATACCACCGCCAACACGCTGACTTACTTGGTTTGGGCTGTTAGTCAAGACAAGCGAATCAAAGACAAGTTGTGCGCAGAGATTGCCCAGCTTGACGAAGACTTCAGCGACACGGACCTCCACGACCTTCCGTACCTGAATCAGGTAATTCAGGAAGCTTTGCGTGTCTTTCCAGCAGTACCGGCAACGCTACCCCGCACTGTTCCGTCTGGCGGCACGACCCTCTGTGGATACTGGATTCCCAGCGGTATTACGGTGGGTATGCAGTCTTGGAGTCTCCATCGTAACCCAGTTGCTTTCCCAGATCCAAACCGGTTCAATCCATCCAGGTGGGAATCACCGACGAAGGATATGAGAGATTGTTTCATGCCGTTCGGAGGCGGGTCTAGAGGTGTGTCATATTTCAATACGAGTTGTTCACAGTGAAGATTGGCTAACAAGTCAAACCAAGTTTGTATTGGGTTGCACCTAGCTCGGCTTGAGCTTCGTCTGGGCACTGCCCGCTTTTTCCGTGCTTTCCCCGACGCAATGATATCAAATGTTGAGGGTATGTCTCATGAAGATATGACACCAGTTACCTACTTCTTCATTGGTCCCAAGGGTCATCGCTGTCTTATGAAAGGTCGTGAATGAACACAGTCGGTCGAACGACGGTGTCTAGGATGACACGCACAAGACATGCGGTTAGAAGCATCAGCGCTGCATAGCAACTGGAGCATTGAGAGGCACTCGGCCATGGAGGATGCCTTTCTGCTAAGAAAGGACATGTGAGACATGAGACTGCCCCGATTGAATCAAGCTCCAGCGACCTCATTAGCTAGAAAGAACCTCTGAAATGAATAGCTGATGCCCACTTCCGCCCCTGTGATTAGCTGCCCATAGCCCTCCGCAGCCCTTAGGTAGCCCTTGGCTCGCGCAGCCCATAACCCTCTGTGCACGAAACGGGGAGAAGAAGAGCTTCAGGCACGTTTGTTAGGATCTGATTTCCTGGGTTGGCATTCCCTTCTGGATGTGATGTTGTTTTCTTAACAGTAACAATGACACAGCTCAATCCTTGAAATAAACCATTGCAAATCCTTGATGAGCCCCCTTGGCGAAAGCTTTCAGCTCTGCGTGCGCCGCGCACTCATTGTCGTAATAGGCCATGTCTTCGGCAGATGCAAATGTAGAGATGGCGGCTATGGTGAACCCTTGCGCTCTTTGATCAGCCACGGCCAAAGCGGCTTTGACGGACAAGATATAAGGCTCTCCGTCCTGCGGTACATTAGCGACTTGGTTTGTGAGGGCTAAGTCGCGCATCTTCGCCGAAGGGAAGGTGACAACATAGGCCTGGACAGAGAAGCTCTTACCTTGAGAGCTTTCTGCGGCATCTGCTGGTAAAAGCCCAAGACTTTCTTCTGACTTTCCTCGTCAGGTATTTTGAAAAGAGTAATTCTAGTGATCTTTCCCGCCATTTTGAAAGATTATCTTGCTGTAAAAGGTGTTGAAGACGTTAAAGGCTGCCTCAGCTGCTTGAAGGATGGTGTAGGATTGCTTTCTCTATGGTCAATCTCAAGACAAATATGTACATGAGAAAATTTAACATGACGCCCAGGATTAGATATCGTTTCAATGTCACCAAAAACGTTGAACGCGCAATTGCCGAGGTTCTGCATTGCAGCTCAGTATCACACCTACGGGAGGGGCTTGGGGGCCCTTGTCGTTCCGAGACTTCGGAAACGGACTTTGCTCCGAGTCTCGGAATCGCGGGGTCGCAGTGGCTTCCGTCCGCGACGTATGATATTGATAGTACTGATATCTGTATAGAAAGCTGAGATTTTGAAAAACATCAAGAAGACGGTCTCTGATGCATTTCATTCGCCGTGGCTGTGCAACCCAATCTATCCTCAAGATGAAGTCCTGGCTACCAATTGCCCCACGATCTCACTTCTCGCTCCAAAACATCCCTTTCGGGGTGATATCCAGCAACGAAAAGCCGCAGCATCGCCCGGCTGTTGCTATTGGGGATCACGTTCTTGACCTAGATGCATTTGCTCAAGGTGGTGGCTTCAGCAAAGCGCCTACGCTATCGACAGATCAGTTGAAAGTCTTTTCGCAGCCTACCCTCAACTCATTTGCGGAATTGGGACGACCAGTACATCGACTCGTCCGGTTGTACTTGCAAGAGATCTTTCAGGACACCACCCCCCACCCAGATATCCTGAAAGACAACGATGCCCTGAAAAAGTCGGCTTTACGTCCTGCATCGGAAGTATCCTTGCATTTGCCGTTTGCAATAGGAGATTATACCGACTTTTTCGCCGGGCGCAATCATGCACATAACGTCGGCACCCTATTTCGCGGAGCGGCCAATGCACTGCAGCCAAACTACAGTCACCTGCCGGTCGCTTATCACGGCCGAGCCAGTTCTGTCGTAGTCTCCGGCACCCCGCTCCGGAGGCCGTGGGGCCAGGCCCTGCCAGCACCCGGCGCCACCGAACCGGTCTTCCGGCCATGTGCGCGTCTCGATATTGAGCTTGAGATGGGCATGTTCATCTGCAAGCCGAACAATCTCGGAAGTCCAGTCCCTGTCAATGAGGCTGAGGAGTACATCTTCGGATATGTTTTGATGAACGACTGGAGCGCAAGAGACATTCAGCAATGGGAATACGTTCCCCTTGGCCCATTCAATGCGAAGAATTTCGGTACCTCAATCAGCCCGTGGGTGGTCCTTGCTGATGCGCTGGAACCCTTCCGAACGAAGGGACTGCAGAATGATGTGCAGCTGCAATCATATTTGCGAGAAGACCGAACTGAAAATGTTATGGACATCAACCTTGAGGTTTCCTTGTCTGGTACGTTCGCAAGCCTAAACTTACCTGAAGTGAAGACTAACCGAATCGCCTTTGGTGATTTAGCTTCAGGAAGTGAAGAAACCATTCTCACTCGAACTTCTTCGAAGAACCTTCTTTGGTCTTGGCCTCAGATGGTAGCACACCATTCAATCTCAGGTTGTAACCTTCGTGCAGGGGACTTGCTTGGTTCGGGGACCGTTTCTGGGTCTGAACCTGGCACTCAAGGAAGCCTTTTAGAGCAGTCGCAAGGCGGCAAGGTTCCTATCAAACTGAATGGTGGACAAGAACGTAAGTTCCTCCAAGACGGAGATACAGTTGTCATCAGGGGCTGGGCTGGTGGAGCAGACGGCGAGCTAGTCGGATTCGGGGAGTGCTCTGGACAAATTTTGGCACCGATAGCATTTTAGAAGATTCACCTTAGGGCTCTCAACATTAGGGAATGCGTTGTAATTTCTACACAGTTCCCCAAGATTAGAATACAGACATTATTTACGGTAAACAGCTGATACATAAGGCATCATTTGACTTGGTCACCTCACATGATACCGAGTGTGATCTCTCTCCAAGATCAGTAGGCGGAACCACAGGGTGCAAGAAGTAACGCATGGCAATGGCATTGTCAGTTATGAGGTAGCAATCAAATACCTCGAATAGGGAAGTCAAATCAACTATCAAGACTGTCATGATAGGAAGAAGAAGAGGAGGAAACGTACAATCGGATACGTCCGCAAGTACGACGGATATGCCCGTGTACAGAACGTCTCGTATGAGTCGGAGCGTGAAATCTCCTCGGTCGTCGGCTGCCAAGCTCACCGACGGTCGCAAGCCAGCCGAGGTTGTATTCCCAGATTAGGCAACTCAGCATTTGTCGGAAGTCGCTACAAGTATGTGCCCGTTCCAACTACGTCTACCTCTTGTGGACAAAATCTTCCTCTCGCTTAAACGGCTGCTTCAAAAATAATGAAACCATCTCTTTCAGAACAAATAGGCGTGGAAAGTATTGGTAACGGCGAATTCATTTCTCAGACGTTACCCATACGCATGGCCAATGCTAGACCTGTCGCTTATGGTGGATGCTCCCTCTCTGTCGCTGTGAGCGCAGCCTGTGCAACCACTAAACCCTCCCTTGACCTCTACTCAGTTGTTGGTCATTTTCATGGGCCCGCCTCCCCCAACAAAAACCTTCCTTGCACCGTCGAAAGCACCAGAGACACTCGGTCATTTTCAACAAGACGAGTTCGAGTTCACCAGGAACAACCCGACGGCACGTCTCGTACTTGTCTCGACGTTTTAATTGACTTCCATACCCAAGAGCCATCGTTGCTAGGCTACTCCGCCAGTCCCGTCTTGGCTTGGCCGAAGCCCGAGGACTGTCCCACTGGCTTTGACAATCTCTCAACCCTACAAGCCAGAGGTACTGCGAGCGATGATGAGCTCAAAGAATATCTTCAAATGCTCCGTCAACATGAACAGTTTATCGAAACACGAATTTGCCCAAATGGCGTGTCCGGGCAAAATCTTTCTGGGGTGGCTTCCAAAGTAGTCACAACCCAGGAGTACTTGCCAGTGACTTTGAAAAGGTCCGCTGAATGGTCCCGCTCACGGTCGCCGCTACGTACCTCAAACGAGAACCTCGCGGCAGTTGCTTTTCTCATGGATGGCACATGTTCGTTCGTTCCGTTAACTCATGATCATATGTGGTTTCAAGACGTCACAGCCTGCTCTTCAATCGACGTGGCGCTGAGATTCTTTACAAAAGAAGTCAACTTTGAGAATTGGCATATTGTGGAGAGGAATGCCATTAGGGCAGGGGGGAGCAGAACGTTTGCGGAGTCACGCATTTGGGACGACAAAGGTAATTTGATAGCTCACATGAGCCAGCATAGTATCATGAGGTTGAAGAAAGACGTCACACAATCTAACTTATAGATGCTTTCCCTTAGGATGCATGTTGAGTCCGGTCGTCGCACAGGCAGTAGACTCGAAGTCTTAGTGACTAAACGTCTTAGAAAGGCACAAGCTAAAGTCATTACCGGTGGTATCTGCATTTTATATAGATGTATAGCACCCATTCGAAAGTGGAGGTCAAAGCAATGGCAAGTTATCCGGGATAAATCGTTGAAATTGGGAACCTCTATTCTTCTATGGTTTGACAGCCTTTTCACAAGCTTCCGACCAAGTTGCTCGACACCACAAAGCTCTGAAGGGTTTTGCTCACACAATGCCCATGCGTAAGGACGGAAATTCTTTAGCGTTCTCTGTGTCTATACTAAATTTGGCAACCAGAGATAGCGAATGTGACTTCTCGAAGGCTTGGAGATTCTTGTGGTGATTGAGCAACCTCGGAAGTGGTTGCGTTCCGAACTTCCGAGATCTCGATTCACCCAACTCACCCCGCAAGGGGTCTTCATTACCGCGAGAAATACTTTCCGCTCCTTCCGTAGAGGCGAGTTACTGTCGTTCGCTGTATCAGCCGGCAATGAATTCGGCTTTGGTTGTGGCAATGCGCAAACTCTCAGTCTCGGTCCTGTGGAGACATGAGTTTTAAGGTCGTCTTGTTCTGCGTACGGTCGAGGTGAAAATAGGGCAAAGCTTCATTGTCAAATATGCTATTGCAGCAAATTTGTCGCGATAATAATTGCTGAATTCTCGCCGTGGCCTACAGCGATTGATAAATCTTACCTTGGAGATCATCTTTTCGCTCCCGCCGTCACTAGATTCGCTGGTTACCCCTCGGTCACAAAAGTCGTTTCCTCCAAGTTCAACTACTTCTTCCACCATGCCAGTCACCGACTTCTCCGTGAAAGAGAAGTACGAATATCTCAACGGCTTTGACTCATTCCATGAGTAAGTTCTCCAAGACGGCGCAACGTCCCACACGACGGTCTGGCATATCGCCATCATGAACATCACTAATGTTACTCTAGGTCAGAGGCCATTAAAGGTGCATTGCCAATTGGAGCGAACTCGCCCCAGAAAGCTCCGTATGGCCTGTATGCGGAGAAGCTCTCGGGCACAGCATTTACAGCACCGCGACATGAGAACTTGCAGACATGGCTTTACCGCATCATCCCTGCTGCGTCCCACTCCTCTTTCGAGCCGCTGCGGGAGAATGGCCCGAAACCTGGGGGCCAGATCCACCAGATCCCTAACCAACTTCGCTGGGATCCGTTTGACATCAGCAATGATACCGATTGGATTAGCGGTCTGAGGCCCGTTGGTGGTGCTGGTGATCCAGCGATGAAAACTGGCCTGGGCATCTTCATTTTCGCTGCCGGGAAGAGCATGGACGCCAAAACCGCGATGTATTCATCGGACGGCGACATGCTCATCGTACTTCAGCACGGTGTATTGGACATCAAGACTGAGTTGGGAAACATTCTGGTCCGCCCCAATGAAATTGCCGTCATACCACGGGGTATTCGATACCAAGTCAACCTTCCGGAAGGCCCTGTCAGAGGTTACATCCTCGAGCTTCACCAGGGTCACTTCACTCTGCCAGAGCTGGGCCCCATAGGCTCAAATTGTCTGGCAAACCCCAGAGACTTCCAGATTCCCATTGCAGCATTCGACGAAGATGAGTCGGAATGGTCCATCGTCAACAAATTCAATGGGTCGTTCTTTGTCGCTAAGCAGAAGCACACCCCATTCGATGTCGTCGCGTGGCATGGGAAATACTACCCTTTCAAATATGACCTGGGTCGGTTCTCAGTTATCGGCAGCATTTCCTTCGACCACCCAGACCCGTCAATCTACACTGTCCTTACAGGCCCGTCTGACCATCCCGGCACTGCCATCGCCGACTTCGTTATCTTTCCACCCCGATGGCTAGTACAAGAAGACACCTTCCGTCCTCCCTGGTACCACCGCAACACCATGTCCGAATTCATGGGCCTGATTTGTGGCGACTACGACGCGAAAACTGGCGGGGGCTTCCGTCCCGCGGGAGCAAGTTTGCACAATGTCATGTCCGCTCATGGCCCTGATGCAAGCACTTTTGAGCGGGCGTCTAATGCGGACTTGAAGCCACAGAAGATCGGGGAGGGAAGCATGGCATTCATGTTCGAGAGCTCGCTTATGATTGGGGTTACGGAATGGGGTCTGGAAACTTGCCAGAAGGTCCAGAAGGGGTACAGTGAAGATAGTTGGTCAAGTCTGGCTAGGCATTTCAAGCGTCCAGAATGAGTTGGTACTTCGAGAGATAACTAAAGATGAAATTGACCATTAGTCATGGGAAGATGAAGCCCCAAATTGAGATTGAATTAATCAGATTGACCATTGACCGAGAAGACTGAACGAAACCTATTATGAATATTAAGAATGCAAGCTTTCAAATAAGCAAGAATTCCAACCGACATTTTTCGTGCACCTGTTTCATGACATGTTCATTTCAGTTTTTGTATTCATCAGAAAGAAGCATTTGGTGTCTCAGGTGTGTTAACTTTAAATGCCTAGAGCTACTCTGATATTCTTTTGGCGCACTACACAGGTTATGGGTCTCAAATACCTCATAGTCATTGTAACATGCATCTGTCAACTTGTGAAATTTACTAACTCAGCTAAGCTCAGAGTTGCGCGAGGCAAAGACTCTTGCGAGACTTTGTTTCCATGTTGATTGTGAAATGCGATTCATAATCCAAACGACAAGTGACACAAGCAAGAGCACCGCTCAAGTATCCCTAACTCCCTCGACAACTTCGGAGATGACAACAGGAACCTCAAACTTTGCGTGGCCGCGAGCGAAATAGTAACAGAGTCCAGACACAAGCCAACCAGCCATAACCACTGTAGAATAATTCATATTCTGGGCCGTTACAGGTTGCGCAGATGGGAAAGTGCTGAAGATAATGACGACCGTCATCCACACCAGGCTTACGACGTTCAGCACAGGACCCAGAAGTCCCCCAAGTCTGAAAGGCCCATATTCCTTGGGGGTCAATCTATTCCGTCCAACAAGAAGCATATACGCAATTGGGATACTGTAGGAAAGATATATACCAATAATCGCCATGGAAAGGACAGCATTGAAGGCTGTGGTGTTCCCAAGATAGAGGAATCCAAGCAGGAGCTGCATGATCGTAACCACAGCTATCGCCCTTACTGGGACTTGAAGGTCCTTGTGGACATGGCTGAAGTAGGCATCGAAGGGCACTGCTTTATCGCGCGCGAAAGCCCACAGAGTGCGAGAAGCAGACGTGATGCAGCCTACTGTTGCTGCAATGGCTACCGTGATCAAGGTAAGGGACATAACAGTGGCTCCGGCCCTTGACTTCGTGGCGTCAAGATATATCTGCATGAAGGGAAACCCCGTCGGGGTAGCCAAAAGCGTTTCGAGGGATCCTGTGGAAAAGAGGAGAACAACGACATATACGAGACCCATGAGGCCGTTGGCGACAACGCTGCCTACCATGGCGATTGGGACGTTCCGAGTGGCGTTAGGGATTTCTTCTGCCATGTGACAGGCTGCATCATATCTATGGAAATCATTTCGTTAGTAAGTGCAATATTAACCTAATAGGAATCTCTGGATGATTTTAAACAAAAATAGACTTACCCAAGGAAGGGATATACTGCGCTGATGAGCCCTACAAGCCATGATACCCCATCATTAGTCCATCCACTGCTGTTGACGAACTCAGTGAAGACAAATGATGGAGTATTTTTCGGAGCCATGACTCCGAGAACAATGAGAATTGCAACGAATGCCACAACGTGAATAACCCCTGTTCAAAAGTTAATCAGCATACTTATCGAGCATCAGCACTTGCGGTTGTACCGGAGATCATGTTCGCGTGGGGCAACATCCTTGAACCCCAGATGTTGAGTGCAGAAGAATAGAGAAGAACTGCCCAGTAAAAAAGCATTCCCTGCCAGCGTTGAGGTACATATGAATCATCGTTCAATATGATCAAAGCTTGTGTTTGTAACCCTGCGGCAAATGCAGCTGATGCGCAAAAGACTGTGAGGCCACCGACAGAGATCCAGCCAGTGGTGAACGCTGCAAGTGACCGAGTCTTTGGGGGACATAGAGCGGCAACCCAATGGTATTGTCCTTGATATCACCACTTTAGACCGTTGTAAACATCTTGAGGAGCTTGAAGATATTGAGACATACCGCCTGCAGTCGGGTAGATGGATGCGATCTCACCCAACGAGGCTGCAATGCACACAGAACAGACGAAGGATAGGACACTAAGGCATCTATAAGTCTATTGCCAAGGAACAAAATCATCATCTTAACTTACTAGTTGTAGAAGAGGCAAGGTGCACCTCCACTCAAGAGTGCTTGAGCGACGACAGTTGAGAGTGCTTCCCATGTTGCCATCAAGCAGAGGCAGAGCGCCCCAAGGGTCGGCAGCGAGAACTGCCTCTTGAGTTCCTGTGCATGACCGAGCTGCGCCAGGCGGTCTTCATCGGAGATAGCGTTGACGTTATCGGCCGTGGAATCGATGGCTCTTAGGGGCTCGCCCGTCTTCGTCTCGTTGACGTCCATATCAAACTTTGCGTCCATCTGTGGCCAAGAAAATCAGTTGACAGTCGTACGACTTGTTTTGCTTTCCGGAGGGTATGGCGTGTTGTAGGAAGTAAAGAGGTTGTAAGTTGTGAATGCTCTATGCCCAGCAGCTAGACTTGCTGACCGCTCTGTGGTGGGAAAGATTGCACAACGCATGCAGCGGAATTGTTCATCAACATTCCCCCGTGTTATGCACAATACGACGTGGCGGAAATGTCATTGATAATCCTGCAATTGTGACAGGTCAATGTTGATGCTGGACCGTTGAGCCCCTGAGCGTCGGCGGCATTCCATACCGCACAAATCCGGCGATTGGCATCTACGCGTGACGAGGCAGGACGTGGCCTGTGTGTGTGTGTGTGTGATTTCCGGGTTCCGAGATAAGGACAGTGGCAGCAGCTCAGTGGCTTGGGCTAAGAATGAAACCAGACTGGACGTGATCAACGGCAATAACACACGCAGAGAGTCATGTTATCGGTGCAACTATCTATCTATCCTTGAGACCCTATGAGAGAAGTGATATGTCTGTAGTAGTGAAACGACTCTACCAAATGCAGATACAAACAATGCTCAGATCCTCAGATGAGACCAAGTTCACAATGCTTGGCCTTCTCCAGACATGTCACATTGGTAATTCGAATTATGCCTGTGGAAGACTGAGTTGGAGATAGCACAGACCAGACATGGATCCATCCCATGCTACTTGCTTATCGGACTTCAAAGATAGATCTAGACCTATTTGAGACAAAATATCCGGCGGGGAAGCAAGTGACACCTATCAACGAGGCAGGCTTCATCGCTGGCACTGCCCAGTCGTCCTCGGAAACCCTGTGGTTCCGCTCGGAAGAGACCCTGCAGCAGTCGCCGGCCATCCCGACGTTCCGTGCGGGGTTCATGTCGCTACCCGCCCCCACAGGGGAAAACCTGGGGTTGCAGATGCGGGGGACTTAGCGATCCCAGCAGCCGCTTAGCAGCAATTCAGTTCCGAGAGGAACGCGTTTGGCTGACACCGGCGGTAACTAACAGTACCGACGGGACCCGTACGGCATTTCTCTTGGTGCTGTGACGGAGCTGAGGCCCGGGTAGGGGCGGCAAGATCAGACCGGTATAGATATCACGTCTCAGTAGTAATCATCTTCCCATGAATCGCAATTGGATACCGGTGTGTCTTCAGCTTGACAAAGACTGCGATCACAAGTGCCAATTCTACAGCCATGGCCATCTCCAACGCCATCCAAGCTTTCCAGCAGCGGGTCTTTGACCACGCGCTGCAGTCAACCATCACGGGCATTCTCTTGATACCCCTCATCTACGTCATTGCGAATGAGTTCATCCGCTCTCAAGCGCGCATCGCCAAGTTGGACGGACCCCGAGGGCTACCCCTGATCGGCAACTTGTGGGATATTCGGGTCAACGCAGCAGAGCAATACCGCAGATGGGCGAAGAAGTTTGGATCAGTATACCAGATTCAACTTGGCAATGTTCCCGTCGTCGTTGTCAACTCTGCCTCCGCTGCGAGGGCTCTTTTTGGACAGAACGCCCAGGCTCTCAGCTCTCGTCCGGAATTCTATACTTTCCACAAGGTTAGTACACTCTCTTGTTTGCACATCCTTATATGTTCCTGATGTGAGTGGCTTGACTAACATCAGTAAATAGGTTCTCTCAGACACCGCCGGAACCACTATTGGAACGTCCCCCTACAGCGACTCTCTCAAGCGCCGTCGCAAAGGTGCAGCGTCCGCTTTGAACCGTCCTTCCGTCGCTACCTATGTCCCCCATCTCGATGTCGAAACCAAAGACTTCATCAAGGAGCTGTATGAATACGGAAAGGCCGGTCAAGCACCCGTAGACCCCATGCCGATGATCCAGCGCCTGTCTCTCTCACTTGCCCTGACACTCAACTGGGGCGTGCGCATGAGCAGTCAAAAGGACGGTCTTTTCAAGGAGATCACCCACGTCGAGGAGGAAATCAGCCGCTTCCGATCCACCACCGGCAACCTTCAAGACTACATCCCCCTCCTCCGTCTCAACCCGATTAACATGCACTCGGCCAAGGCGCGCGAGATGAGGAGCAGACGCGACGTCTATTTGACCAACCTGAACAGGGGCCTCGATGAGCGCATGGCCAACGGAACGCACAAGCCCTGCATCCAAGCCAACGTCATCATGGACCAAGACGCGAAGCTCAACAACGCGGAGCTGACCTCCATCAGTCTCACGATGCTTTCTGGTGGACTCGACACCGTCACGACTCAAGTTGCCTGGTTCGTGGCAATGCTGGCCCAGAGACCCGATATCCAGGAGAAGGCGGTTGCAGCTATTCGCGAGTTCTACAGCGAGAAGCAGCCTATGTGCGACTCTGAGGATGACCAGCAGTGCCGCTACATCGTGGCGTTGGTCCGCGAGTCTCTGAGATATTACACTGTTCTTCGCCTTGCTCTTCCGAGGGCCTCGGTTCGCGATGTGCCTTACGGCGAGGTGCTCATTCCCAAGGGATCGGTCATCTTCCTCAACGCCTGGGCGTGCAACATGGGTAGGTTTCATCTTCCCATCTAAGAAGAGACTCGAATTAAACGCTAATTTTTGGCAGACTCTGAAGTGTGGACTGATCCTGAAGTCTTCCGCCCCGAGAGATGGCTGGAGCAGCCCGATGCGCCTCTTTTCACCTATGGTGTTGGCTACCGAATGTGCGCTGGCTCGCTTCTGGCTAACAGGGAGTTATATCTCGTCTACATGAGACTGCTTAACAGCTTCAAGATTGAAAAGTACGACGATGTTGACCATCACCCCATTTCCGGAAATGCGGACCCCACAAGTTTGGTGGCAATGCCGCGGCCGTACAAGGCGCGATTCATTCCTAGAGATCTCGAGACTTTGAGCGAGGCTTTGAGGGAATCGGAAAAGGCGTAGGACTTGAAAGATAGTTTAGAGAGAGAAATATTCACAGGGAGTCTGTGTTAAGCAGTTAGATTAGCGACATGTGTGGTCGGATGAGAAGGGTCCGTAGACTTGAAAAGGTGAAAGGAAATTCGTTTAGTAGAATTCGATAACTGTTTAAAATAGATGCAAAGACGAAAGAATAAGTGAATGACAAAATCCCAGAAGCCAAGAACTCGCCGAGAATGAACACCGAGAAATACCCGAGCCGATCCTTGACTCTTGAAGTGAGGCCTCAAATGATGTGATCCTCCATGATAACCGGCGTTGACGGGTTCGTTGAACTTGCTATCAATTCAGTATCTCTGACCGGCAGCCTCTTGTTGCATATAGAAATCAGGATTGGTAATGGCTGCGCTGTCGTACCCCCATCGCAATACCCACTGTGACCCCCGTCATGAGGGGGCGGGGACGCCTGCGGGGAATGTGCCGGCTCCCGGACCTTGAACCGGCTTTGAGTTGATACAAAACCCCCACTCTTCCCCAGGTTCTGCGTCCGCTCGTTCCTGCGAACTCTAAGTAGCCTTAGCTCAGCTGTCCTCACTTCAGCCAGCGAGTCCAGACTTCATGTCTTTTCACGACTTATGACCCAATAAGCCATGGCTCCTGACAACGACGACTCGGATGCGCAATCGCCAGAAGCCACGTCCTCAGTGCGAAGGAGATCACCGCCGCCAGGGTCCAACCCGCCAAGATCAAAGCGCGCCAAGTATGCGGCTGCCGCTTGGTATGTACCTCTTCTCCCGTGTCCTGCCAATGCCCAGCTCATGACAAAATCTAGCTCCGAATGTAAGAAACGAAAGCTCAAATGCGTGAGAGAAGAAAACGAGGAGGAATGCCGAAGATGCATCACCAGCGGCGTGCAGTGCGTCTTCGGGGCGGCTCCCTCTCAGGATGGCAGCATTGCCCCGCGAGAAAGGCCTCGGGCTTCTCGGAGGTCTGCAAGAAGCAGGTGAGAATCTGAAATGCGGTCAACCACAGGGCTATTCTGACGTCTTTGCCAGCTTACCGAACGATGTAATCATGGATGAGATATCCATGCTGCGAGAGCAGGTGGCTAGTCTAGCCAACACCGTAGGCAGACTGGCCTCAGACAAATCCCGCCAAACATCCTCCAACTCCCCTAGCTCGCAACGCCACATGTCGATACATGGCACTTCATCACCGCAAGTACAAGAGCCGAAGCAACCGCAATTCGTCGGCCCCACGAGGTCCGCCTTCAGCTTGAAAGTCGCCGAGACCTCGCTCACGAGAATGGGCATTTCGGCGCAGACCCCGCTCCCATCCGGTGTATGCGAGTCGCTGGCACCCACTCGGTATCCGACGCCCGAACAGTCCGAGCCAGCACTCTCAGTTCCTGGAACAGATGTGCTTCTCACCATGCCTCTGGATGAAGTCGTGAGATTATTAGAAGTTTTCCAGGAAGAGGTCGAGACGGTGTACCCTTTTCTCGACACCGGAGAGCTAGTTTCAAAGGCTGCGGAAATTAGGTGTTTCGTCGAAGACTCCCCAGATCGACCGGCAACAGCTGGACCGCCGGCTGTGGATATCAAAGATGTCATTCTAGCAAAAGTTGCCATCGCCACGAGCATTGTCGTCGAAGCCCACGGCAAGAACCACGCCAGCAATAAGCTCGTAGAGCCACTGAAACATCTCATATACCAGCTATCGATCGATGCCCAGGCTGATCTGAAGGTCATCCAGATCATGACCATGATTGTAAGTCTGCAGCTCTGGGCTGACCATATCTGGAAGCTGACTATGAGAGCAGAGCATTTACTATTTCTTTTCTGACGAAGAGCTCCTCGCGTGGAGGAATATCGGTATAGCGGCTCGAGCGGCGCTGGAAATGGGCCTACATCAGAACCTGAGCCTCGTCGAGAACTTTCCAGACGAGCGAGAACGGGGTTTGGCGGTCCGTGTGTTTTGGTGTGTTTATGTGCTGGATCGACGATGGAGTTTCGGGACGAGTCTGTCGTTTGCTCTCATTGATCGAGACATAGATCCAGACTTGCCTGAGCCAGTAAGTCAAAACGACGCGGGCGTGGTTAACCATGTTGCTGACATAGCTCAGCCTGACGAGTTCCCTTACCTTCGATGTTTGATCGGCTATGGCCGACTATGCTCGAAAGCCTGGGACGCTCTACCGCCGTTCAGCGCGCCATCTCAAACCATCCCAAAGGACACTGTCGCGTTCCTCGACTTCACTGCGCAGAACTGGTCAAACTCAATACCCGACGACCTGCAACTCCGTCATCCCTTACACCGGGGCACGGCTACCCAGCCACCTCGAGCCTTGCGACGACTACAGGCTTTGCTGTACCTGCGAGGTAACCATATCCGCACGTTGATACACCGGCACCACGTGATAAGCTCCGCCAGCATCGAAGCCGATCCGCAAAAGGCTCGTCTTGTGGTCGACATTGCCATCGACAGTATATCTGTGCTGGTCCACCTGAGCGAGACGAGCGATATATACATGCGCCAGCAGAGCGCATTCAACTACTTCCTCCTGAGCGCCGTTGCCGTTCTGTTTCTGGCAGTATGTCATGGCTCTCGGATATTTGCCGAGCCATGCAGAGACAGCTTTCTCTCTGCCGCTGAATTAGTGAAAGGCTTTTCTCGCCAGGGGACTGCCAGCAGGAGGCTGTGGAAGAGCATCCGCGGGCTGTTGCCCCTCGCTCAACGGATCGGTTTGAGGGGCGACGACAGCAATGGCCGTAGAGAAGAGCTGGGGCGACAGCTCCTGGATTCATCTAGCCGATCTTTCGGGACGAGCAGTAGCCATCAAGTAGTGTCTGCAGATACTATAGATCCAGGGCTGGGCGGCATGGCGTCTGGCCAGAACGTTGGATCGACGGATTTCGGAACGGCGGCTCCTGATGCGTTCTCACTCGGTAATGACTTGATGTTCCTCTTTGATGCGTTTGGGCAGACGGAGGATTCGTGGAACGGTGGGATGCAGGATTATCTGGGCAGTAACGAACAGCAGATGCCGATACTAGGCGAGGAAGAGATATCCAGACACTTTTGGGGGCTGATTTGACCCAAAAAGGGCTTGCATGTCGTCGACCTAGGGTAGCATGGCGGGCAGAGGCGGGGGATGCTCAACCATGAGACGAACATGGGTGCATCGGATAGACGGAAGCGGCGGCGTACACCCAGGGTCTTGGACGGAGTGATCCGAAAAGGCAGGAACAGGGTCACAGTGCAGGAGGCTTTCGTTGATGGGGAAGCCCTGATGCCACTCGTGGGAGTCCTCTCAACCTGGCCAAGGCCGACTTGGCCAGAACCAGCATCTCATGCCAGGACAGTCTCAACACGTGGATGCGATGTGTTGATGACAGCCTTTACGCCTGTAGTGTCATGAGAGAAACGTCCTGGACCATCCTCAAAAAAGATGGACAACAGCTCCAAGTTTTACCATTTCAAGACGAAGACGACCAAACAACCGCCCATGAACCTTTTTGGGTTGGTTGCGCCATCATCGATGAGAGACATGCCGATACACCATGGTCAACCCAGTTGTAGGAACCCGGATGGGGCACATTAGCACTGGTTAACAAAGCGGCTGTGCAAAGGGCTTGGCCTGCATGTAGTCAACTCCAATACGAAGATAGTGGCCAACAAGTCGATGACGGAAGAGTTGAACATGGAGCTTTCGCTGGCGATATTGGCCCAAGGCGGTGGTTCTGGTCTCCTGCCTCATCAGGAATAGGGGAGTCTTGGGTGCTGAAGCGGGGGAGATAGGCGGTGCGGAGAACTCATTACGAATAACGTGCATACCTGAAAATGTGCTGCGTGATAGGGGCGACACTACAGCAGAGGTCGGTCGCTATGGAGTAACAGCCGAGCCTCTCCAGTGGGCAATCTCCACTGCGTTCCCCTGTCTCGGTCGCATGCATAGCGGTCAGTCACAGGAAATAAACTCTTTAAACTTTGAGATAGACTTCGGACGGAGTCGCTTATTTTTGACCACACGGCGTGCGGGAGGCCGTTTGTTTCCTATGGCATCAAATGCCGGTCAGTCTGTCGGTGGGAGATGAGTGTCTCACATCGTGCTATTCGAGTGTTTACATCGTATCCAGGAGCGGGGTAATACAAGATATGGATGGAAGAGATTTCATCTTCTAGATCAACACACGCGGTTCCATGGAACAGACAGACGCGTGTCTGCTCGTTGGGATACGTCCTCTGCAAAGTCAAGACAAGCAGCCAAGCCGTTTGCTTGGCAGCTGCCTATCAACGCAACGCCAACCAGCCAATCGACACGCTTATCATCAAATGCTTGGTCCAGGCACAGTTGCTTGGCGGTGATGACCCGAGCATCGGCGAGCCGCATCGGTCCCCTCTTCGGTCCCCTCTTCGATTTTCCTTCGGCACAACGGAGTTTTGGTTGAATTGATGGATATGTTACGCTGTTTTGCGCGCTCCAGGACATAGACAAGGCTTCAAGAAAGCCCGTCGCGTCTCTGATGGATTATTAACGGATTATCAACTGGTAACCACTGTGCAATGGCACGGATCCGTGGGCTCAAGCGCGTTTTCACCAATACCACGGCCAGAACAAGATCTGTCTGCGGTCTTGGGCCCGAACACGGCATGATACTAACGCAGGCAACCTAAGCACCAAGAGCGTCGCGTCGATCCAGACCATCCTCCGTCAGACAAACACCATGAAATGAGAATTAACTCCGGCGACGACGCTGCAGAGATGCCTGGCCCGGGCCAATGTTCGGGCGGCTTACGCCTGCAGAAGTTGATTACTACCATACAACAGCAGTGCTTGATGATGGAACTTTGGGAAGGGAACAGAGAACGGCAAAAGGAGGCCATCCAGTGTCTCGGGGGAAGTGGACCCCTCGCCCCGCTGTTCTTACGCCGTGGCCACGAAAGCTTTCCCCGGACCGCTGTCCGCCAAGGGGCACTTGACCCCGGGACCTTCCCCTTCGAGCCTCCGCCAAGAGACTCCAAGAACCGTTCGCTGGGTGCCAGAATCGAGCGCCCCAACGGCTGGAATTGCTTGCAAATTTATCGCTCACGTCCCGATGCTACACTGTTGCGCTGCAGCTGTCGTTGATGCCGCCGGCCTGCCATGTCTTGGTCACATCCGAGCTTCCCTGAGTCGCAACCCACGAGGAGACCGTCTGGCTGCCCGCAGCGCCGAGAAATGCCCAGATCGATGGATGATATGGCTAGCAGGCATTCCGGCATGGGCTCTGCATGTCAGAATCCATTGACAGGAAGCAGTGACTGCTCAGAGCTGTGGGAGCTGTTCGAGCTTCGGCCGCCAGCAGTGCGGAAGCTCAAGTATGTGAGAGTATAAGTTCGATGGGATCCCCGTTCTTCTACTGATGTGAGTTCCCAAGGTACCACCACCTCCCCTCACTCACTTCAATTACCAGGCTCAGGCCCATCTGCTCATCGAAACAAACAAGACTGCTGATCTTTGTTTGATTTGAACGTCAGGCACCATGGTTCGCGCTTCCTCTTACCTCGGCTCTCTGGCCGTCCTCGCTGCTTCGGCGGTGGGCAAGGAAATTGAGCCCAACGCGGATCTTGCCGCTGAGCTGTACGACTCTGGCGTCATTCACGAGCAGATTATTGCCAGCAAGAAGGTGAGAGCTGCCCTGAAAGACCTATCATCAGTATGAGCCTAACTAACATCTCGTTCAGGCCGAATTTGCCCGCCAGAGAGAGGCCGGTGCCTACGCCAGTGAGCAATACCCCGAGCTTGGCTACGCTCCTTGCGTCAACGGTTGGGCCGAGGCCATCGTCGGTGACCGCAACAACACCTTCCGTTGCCACAACGCCGACCTCCATTCCTTCCTGAGCCACGCCGCCCTCGGTGACGAGCTTGGTGAGGGTTCCTCATCATGGGGTTGGACCTCAGACGACGGCCGCGAATTTGTGGCCATTGGCCAGTACCAGGGCACTGCCTTCGCCGAGATCAACTCCGACGGCAAGCTCATCTACCTGGGTCGGCTGCCCCAGTACTCGGTGCCCTCCGAGTGGCGCGAGATTCGCTCCTACAAGCACTACATGGTCATCGGCTCCGAGGCCGTCGGCCACGGCATCCAGATCTTCGACATGAAGAAGCTGCTGGACATTGACCCAGCCAGCCCTGTTACTTTCGACGCCAAGGCCGACCTGACCAGTCACTTCAACGCCCTGCTGCCGCTGGGCCGCGCTCATAACGTTGTGGTCAACGAGGAGCTTAGCTACGGTGTTGCCGTCGGCGCCCAGCCCCGCAACGACACCATCTGCGCCTCCGGTCTGAACTTCTTCGACCTCACCAACCCCGCCGACCCCATCTCCCTGGGCTGCGCCAGCGGTGATGGCTACGTCCACGATGCCCAGTGCCTCGTGTACCGCGGCCCCGACAAGCGCTTCGAGGGCAGGGACATCTGCTACGGCTACAACGAGGACACCCTCACCATCTACGACGTCACGGACAAGGCCAACGTCACCAACATCATCTCCCGCATCTCGTACGAGGGCGCGTCCTACACCCACCAGGGTTGGGTCCTCGACGTGAACAACCAAGAGTTCCTCGTTCTCGACGACGAGCTCGACGAGGTCCGCGGCAACGGGCCCGGCGGCGACGGCTACCCCGTCAGCTTCTTCTGGGACATCCGCGACCTGACCGCGCCCAAGCAGACCGGCTTCTTCAAGTCCCCGACCAAGGCCATCGACCACAACCAGTACGTCATCGACAACTACATCTACCAGTCCCACTACGGCGCCGGCCTGCGCGTTCTCGACGCGAGCTCCATCCCCTCCGACCCCACCGGTGCCGGCGTCTGCGAGGCCGCCTGGTTCGACATCTACCCCGAGGACGACGACATGGAGGGCGGCGGCTACGTCGGCTTTGTCGGCACCTGGTCCTCGTACGCGTACTTCCCCTCCGGCTACATCTTCATCAACACCATCGAGCGCGGCGCCTTCGTCGTCAAGTTGACTGGCAAGGACTGCCCTAAGGCCCCCGTCTGCAATGCCGACAACTGCCTCCGCTCGTTCCGCGCCGAGTCCGTCCCCGGCCGTCTGCAGGAGTCTCAGGAGTTCTGCAAGTCTTTCCTGAGCGCTCCGGTCAAGGACGTCAGCGTTCTGCCTGAGCATGCGGTGAAGAACTGCGCCAAGGAGGACAAGGTTGCTCAGGCTAGCAGCGCCTGTGCTTGCTTGCCTGCAGCCACTCCTGCTCCTTGAATGAGAGGGCTTGAAGAAGAGTGGAGGACAAAACAATCTAGCGAATTATATTCTGTGTAAATAGTCCCAACGACCTGTAATGAATAATTTGGGTACGCCTATTAACTTCAAAGCTTTCCGATACGCCAGTCTCCTACCTTTCTGACGTTACAATGTCCTGCAAAAGTCTCCAAAATGCTTGCGCAGGCCACCTCTAAATTGCTATGTTGTTATGTCTACGAAGCTTCTACAGTGGAATCGCAAAACTCAGCCCGGAAGAGTACTGTTTTGAGCCTTCACCACCAGAGCCAAGTCAACGCTTTGCTTTCACGAAGCTAGCGTAAGCGAGACCCCCATGTCCAGCAGCCCGCCATCGTCATGAGCCGCAGGCAAACTGCAGAAGATGCGTGCGGGGTTGGCGTTGTTTGCCCAATCCAACGGCAATCTTTCCTCCAACAACGGCTTATGGTGCAGGAAGACAAGGGTATCACAACGCCATACAGCCGCCATCCGCTGGGCGTAGACGCTACCAAGACTGCCGGTCGCTCAAAGCTGTTGAGATAACAGAGATATGGCCTGATGGTTGGTGCTTCGATGCTGAAGCCTTCATGTCGGGAGCTCATCCGATTGATAAAGATGGCTCTCATCCATCAGACTTACAAAACCTTCTGCAGCTTATCAGCTGACTTGATTAAATGTCTTCTCATCCCGCGTTGAGCAAGAAGCCTCTTCAAAAATGAGTCTCCACCCCGACGAGCTTTCTGATTCTTTGTCCTTTACCTTAAACACTTCCCGGGCTCTCATCAGTTCTCAGCCAATTCCACGTTACCTAGATGAAGATGGGCCGTTTGAGCTCAGACGTGGGAAACTCCAACCCATACTCATCAAGCAACAACCCCGAAGCCCCCGTTTCCGACTCACCACAAACCAAAGGCCGCGACATTGAGCATGGAGCCAGCCAGCTACACCATGGAATCGACACCCGGGCCATCCACGTCGGATCCGACTACGTATACGAAAAGAAAGTCTCAATCATGAATCAAGCCCTCATCGACATCGGCATGGGCCCGTTCCAGTGGAAAGTGTTCGCCATGACGGGCTTCGGCTGGTTTGTCGACAACGTAAGGAGCCTACCCGCCAACATTCGAGAAATCTTTGCTAAGTTCTTCATCCATAGTTCTGGATGCAAGCCATCACAATCATCAGCGCTCCGGTCCGCAACGAGTTCGCCGTCAAACGCATCGCCTTCCTCACGGTAGCCAAGTACGTCGGCCTAGTCATCGGGTCGACGGCGTGGCCAATGACGGCGGATTACATCGGCCGCAAGCTCGCCTTCAATGTGACGCTCCTCATCTCTGCCGTCTCGGGTCTGGTCGGCGCAGGCGCTCCGAACTTTGTCGCAATCGCCACTTTCTGCGCATTCATCGGCCTGGGCACCGGGGGAAATCAGCCAGTCGATAGCGCCATCTTTCTCGAGTTCATCCCCGCTACACATCAATACCTCTTGACGATGCAGTCGGCGTTCTGGTCCTTCGGCCAGGCTATCGCAGCCCTGATCGCCTGGCCTCTCATCGCCAACTTCTCCTGTCCCTCTGGTCTGCCAGCAGGGGAGTGTCGGTACGAAGACAACCTCGGATGGCGCTACACCTACTGGGCCTTTGGCGGTCTGACCCTCATTATGTTCCTTCTCCGACTGCTCTTCAGAGTGTACGAGACGCCAAAATACCTCCTTGGAAGGGGTTTGGATCGCGAGGCGGTCAAGGTTGTTCAGAAGATTGCCGCGAGGAATAGCAGCTCGACTTGGCTTACCCTCGAGCACTTCGAAGCTGTCGATGCCGAGTTAGGCGTCACTCGTGACATGACCGTCATAAGTACGCCCCGCGTGGATACTCGCAACGTGGTGCGTCGACAGCTGGAGAACTTCAAGCCCGAAAAGATTCTCACCCTATTTTCCACCCCACGGTTTGCGCTCTCGACGACGCTGGTGCTGTTCCTCTGGTGCTCGATCGGAATGGCCTTTCCGCTGTACAACTCGTTCATTCCGATATTTTTGGAGAATAAGGGCGCGAGCCAGGGGGGCTCGTCACTTTCAACGACATATCGAAACTATGCCATCCAGGCTGTGTGTGGAATCCCGGCATCCATCCTTGGTGGGTTCACTGTCGACATGAAGCGCATCGGCCGGAAAGGCACTGGGACATTTGCCTGCATTGGAACTGGCGTCTTCTTGTTTCTGTTCACCCGGGCGACAACCCCCGCCGGCGTCACGGGGTTCACCTGCGCCATTGCATTCTTCCAGAACCTAGTCTATGGGTTGCTCTACTCGTATACCCCCGAGCTCTTCCCAGCACCAGTTCGAGGGTCGGCGAATGGTCTGGTAGCCTTGTTTAACCGTATGAGTGGGCTTATGGCGCCCATAATCGCGGCCTATGTCGGGATTGATACTGATTTACCGGTGTGGATTTCTGCGGCGCTGTTCGTTGTGGCTGGATTTGTGTTTCTTCTGCTACCCTATGAAACTCGGGGAAGGGCGGCTGCCTGAATGCAACGGGTTTATAGAATATGCTAAACCTGTATAAGACTCTCATACGGTCTCACTGCTGTTACTCTCATGGTGTTGGTGGGAAAAGACTCTGTGTCGGTAAACCGACTGTTGTTCACATAATCAACTATCACAGCTTTCTGTCCTAGCATGCAACAGACTCGAAAAATACTCCAACGCCCCAAAGTGAGCAACCCAAAAACATTAAAGCAGGCTAACCAGAACAAAAGGCCAGAACTCCAAACTGATTACTGAGGTATACGCTTCAACAAGACTAATTTCAACTATCCAAAACTCCCATTCTCTCCATTACGAAGATGACAGATAACAACGACAAGATTTGAAACGAATACCGGAGGTAGCCCTCTACGAAAATAGCGCGGTATTCAAGCATTGGACGATGGAGCTGCCACTCGTGAGACCCGACGAAAGACAGGTCGCGACACCGCCTACTGCCAATGGTCCTAACGCCGTAACACAGGCAGACGTGTCCACCGCGCCGTTCAACGCGCTGAGATCTAAGCAGACCTGAGGCAACGCTGTTATGCAGTTCGACGCCAGCGCAGTTTGGAGACAGCCAACGATGGATTGCCCGGTGGTGAGGATGTTGATGACACCAGTGACAAGACAGTTTGCGACGTTGCCGACGGCAAAGAGTCCAAGGGCCTGGGTACATGCTGGAATATCCGCGAGAAGGTCCAAGCCATTCACCGTGGAGAGACTCAGACATGTGCCAGGGACAGTGGGACAGACCGGTGTCGGTGGTGCAGGGGCCGTGGTGGGACACAGAGCCGGGTCGGTGATGGTCGTGGTCGTGACCGTTGGAGCAGTGCTAAAGGCGCCCTGGAGACATCCAAAGATGGACAATCCTGTGGTAGCGCTGGTGATGGAGTTCAGAGCGAGACAAACTGCAGTTGCGCCAGAGTTGTAAGGGCCAAGAGCGGCAACGCAGGTTGGAATATCGACTAACAAGTCGATTCCATTGGAGACTTGAAGATCGACGCAGGGCTGAGGAATGGTCTGCGGGCAGGATGCTCTGAGTGTCCGGAGAAGGCAGTCTGCGATCGGCTGGCCCTGGGGGTTGAGACCGAGGTTTGCTGTGAGACAGAGCGCGACGGGCCCGACGGCGAAAGGTCCAAGATCTAGCAAGCAATCCGCTGTGACCAGGGTTAATGGGATGAGACCGTTCGTGGTTGGCAGTTGGGCACAAGCTCCAGGAAGAGTGACGCCACAAGTTGGTGCGCTTGTCGCTGTTGCAGTTACCACACAGCCGGTGAAAGATGTAGTGGGGACGATGCGCGTGGTCGAGGTGGGCGGGATGGGCGTGAGTGACGTGATGGAGCTAGATGAACTGGACGAGCTGGAGGAGCTAGACGAGCTTGATGAGGTGATTGACGATGAGGATGTCAGGCTAGTTGAGGTGCTAGAAGAGGATGTTGTTGAGGCTGTAGATGAGGTTGTAGATGAGGTTGTAGAGGCTGAGGTGGATGCTGGAGTGGATGAGGATGAGGAGGTAGATGCTTGGGATGTGGTAGAGCTAGCCACTTGAGAGGTCGTCGATGACGAGGAAGACGAGCTAGAGCTTGATGTTCCGGTAGATGTAGAGCTCACGGCGGATGAGGTAGAGGAGCTCGAAACTGAAGATGCCGAGGTGCTAGCTGTTGATGACGCAGAAGAGCTAGACGCCGGTGCGACAGACGAACTTCCAGACGAGGAGGCCGACGAGCTGATGCTAGAGGACACAGTCGATGACGACCCTGAAGAAGTTGAGGAAGAGCTGGTTGGTGGCGCAGAGGAACTTCCAGACGGTGTAGAAGCACTTGAGGTAGACAGTCCGGAAGAGCTTGAGGATGTCGGCTGGGGGGATGAGCTGATAGATGCAGAAGAGGTAGTACTCTGGGGCCCAGGAGATGTACTGCTGGATACTGTGGAAGAGCTTCCTGGTGGTGTTGGAGATGGGCTGCTAGAGCTGGGTGATGTTGACGGGGTCGACTGGATGCTCCCAGAAGACGTGTTGAGAGGCGGCAATACGGAGCTTGTTGATAGACTGGAGACTACAGTGGGCGAGCTCGACGCCGATGATCCCGAGGACGTACCAGCCCCTGATGTGGAAGAGCTAGTCGTCGACAATGTAGAAGAACGAACTGTGGCACTTCCAGTGCTACTTGACAGCGAGCTTGTTGTGGATCCCGACCGACTGGTGCTTCCGCCAGTGCTAGTGCTAGTGCTAGAAGGTGTAGTTGACGAGACGGGCGTGACAGACCCACTTGTCCTGCTTGTGGGTGTGACGGAGGAGGTTGCGGAAGGCGGAGGACCGGCAGAACTCGAAGTTGCAATAGATGGACTGCTTGATGCGGCGCTATTTGTAGATGAAGATCGGGTAGATACCAAAGTACCTGTACTGCTGATGCCAGACTGTGAGGTCGTTGAGGTCAAGCCTGGAGGGACCGGGATGCCACTGGTTGAGACGGAGCTTCCGGATGTTGACGAAGTCTGAACTCCGATAGTACCCGAGGTTGAGGTAGTAGACTGGGTACTTGATGTGGATTGAAAAACATCTGGAACTATACTTTCAGTGGTGGACGTCAAAGGCGAAGATGTAGACTGCGTTGCAGAGGTGTTCGAGATGGTTGCGCTGGAACTTGGAGTGCTGGCCGCGCTCGTGCTTTGTGTGACTGTTACTCTAATGGTAGTGGTGGAAGGTGAGGTGCCCGAGTTGCTACTGGCGGAAGTAAGTGAGGCAGGAAGAACAATTTCCGAAGTTGTTGTAGTAGTACGAGAGTTCGGATCTACCGAAGTGGGAATATTAGGCCGACTGGATGGTCCGCCTTGTGAGGAGGTTGCAACCCCAGAACTTGAGGCCACAGTAACGGCGGTATTTGTTCCCTGGGAGGGTCCAGCTGAAGAGGATGTAGCTGGGATGACAGGAGAGGTGGGCGATAACACGCTGGCGTCTTGTGGAACTTCGGAAGACCCGCCAGCGGGAGGAGCGCTTTGTGAGGGTACCAAGGTGCTAGGCAGTGTCGGCCCTGATGACGTGACGGGCCCAGGAGCAGGAGAAATAGAGTTTCCAGGGACATTAGAGGGAATCACAGGACCAGTCGTGGCTGATGATGCTTGCCCGCCGTTATTGCTGGAGAAAAGAGCCGGGTCTACCGGAATAGAAGCCGCAGTGGTCGGTATTTGAACGCTACTTGGGACAAGTATCACCGTCGAACCTGGTTGACCTGAGGGTCCAGGAGGGAATGTAATAGTAGACGTGACCGAACCATCGAATGTACTTGTAAAGATGTTATTCCCTCCTGGGACTACAGGTGAGACCAGCGCGGGTAATACTGGGTCAGCTGGTACTGAGCTTGGATCTAGGACGCCAAAGTCTGGTGGTCCTGTAGGTCCTCCTGGAATCACGGCTGGAGTAGCCGGCAAAATTCCGGCGGGAGCTACGCCAGGGTCTGTGTTTGCTGGATTGATAACAATCGCAGTAGCTGTACCATCCCCTAGTGCTGGAAGGATGGTTACGGTGGTGAAAATTGTACCAGTAACGGTTGCCGCGACTCTGACAACAGGTCCGTTGAACGGCCTGAGTTGGGGGGTTGGAGTCAGAACGACTCTGGTCCCAGTACCATCACCTCCGCTTGGTGGAAGATCAATGGTTGTTGGCGCAAGGCCTGTGAAGGGGGCAGTAACAGTTGTGAACGGGCCAAAAAAGGCATTGAGAGGACCATCGTCGCTCCCTTCATCGCTGCCACCATCATTCCCATCGCCGGAAGGTGATGGAGTTGTTGCTGGATCGAGAATCAACAGAGTTCCAGTCGTATCGGTTCCAGCTGGTGGGATTGTGAGCGTGGTTGTTAGTGTCCCAGGCCCGGTTGCTGTTGTTGGAACATATACTGCGGGGAAAATGTCCGGATCGTCATCTCCAACAGTAGTTGGCACCACAATGATCTCTGTTCCGACCGTATCGCTACCCGCTGGGGGCAACACGACGGTCGATGTGGTTGGTTCAGTGCCGATGGCTGTCAGAGTAGTGAACAACCCAGCCGGGGCCCCTCTCGTGGGCGCAGCCCCATCAGTGGGTGTCAAGACGAGCTGCAAGGCGATGGAGTCTGTACCGAGAGGTGGTATCGTCAATGTCGTGGTCATTATGCCAGTCCATGGGCTTGTAGCAGCTGTGATTGGGCCTGGAACCGGCGCTGAGGCCGGTGTCAAGATGATCTGCCTTTCGATGTCGTCTGTGCCTTGGGGAGGAAGCACTAAAGTCGACGTAACTGTGCCGGTCCAAGGGGCAGTCATAGTCTCGACACGGTCAGGAAATGCGTTCTCAGGAATGAATCCAGGCGCTGACTGGGCTGGATCGAAGGATGACGAAATGGTGTTCTGGGGATCAAATGGGCCTTGCTGGCCGGCGGGAAATGGGTTCAAAATGATCTCCGTGCCCACCCCAGAACTTGCTTGTGGTCCCAAAACAATAGTTGAGAGAGCAGTGCCTTGAGGCAATCCCCTCGTGATTGTTGAGACTGGGCCATTGAAAGTGGCGCTTGGGCTTCTGTGCATGAGTTAGTACAGGAGTTGGTACCGTATGGAGAAAAGGATTCATGTCGATCTTGCTTACAGAGTTGAGGTATATGTGATAGTGTTCTCGACAATAAAGTCAGAGAGCAAAACTGTGGGAGCATTTGTGACTGGCACGGTGGTGCCAGCAACGGTAATCGTGGTATTTGAGCAGATGGCGGCGCTCAGACGCACAGGAGTCTGGTCGACCACCAAAACATACTGCTTGATAATACCTTGATCATCCGGAAGGATGCACTGCGAGTTTGCAAATCTTAACCATAGCAGCATGCAAAGGGTGACAAGGGCACCACGCAGCAGAAGACCTTGCATTTTTTCGTTCTGTGCCAGACGGTGAGCGAGGAACTGTTGAACGAAAGTTTGGGCAACAAGACCACGACAGTGAACGATGAAGACTTCAACAGATGAGCATCGAAGGACTCTCGTGATATCCCACGTCCTGCGAAGGCTCTTGTAGGTCGGCCCTACGCCCTGCTCAATGCATGGTTGGAGATGTCACATGACCCTCGAGATGCTGAAGAGTCTAGACTGTTTCAATCGAGCTGAGTCTCGACCCGGTCGTGTTGGAATGCATCCGGGGAATAATGTTAGCCATCAACGGCCCGCGGCTTGAAAATGACGATCTCCGAAACTTCGCCGCAAGCGTAACGTCGATCAATGTCTCAGGATTTCGTCGCTAAGCATGTACTAAACCCAGTTTAGTCAAAGGCTCAGTGTGAGGCTCATATGAATCACAGCTGAAATCAACTCCAGGTGACGGCTTCGGTAAGTTTTAATTGTCTCTGCCACAATAGGTGCAGTCGGAGGGCAATATGCTCATTGGACCCGAATTCTTCACGGAGCTTTGTACTAGCCTCATTATATTTCAACCAAATTCATCGCGAACTCTCACCTGGGGCTTTACTCAGAACAAGACGAACTCACCGATTGTGATGCGGCTCACCGAGCATAGTAGACTGAAGCGGTCGACAGTCTGCCATTGCAATCGTTCAATACCGGCAATGATTGCGCAACATACTCGCGACATACTCATGACCATTGTATGATCTCATAATGTCATAAAACTGCCGAACCTAGAACACTTCACGTTGGCGATGGCGCCGCAAACCTGGTCTTCGGGACCTCTCCTGTTCTCCCCCGATGCTTGGCGATACCAGGTGACCAAAGTTGGCAATCCGGGACGCAGAGATATCTCGTCGGCCCGAGACAGACGTATCTACCATCAGCCAATGAGATATTGCGCCATCATTGGGGTGACTGGGGCTATTCCCAACAAAGATGGTGTAAGTCGGTAAGTCTTTCCCAAAGCCCTCCGGTTGCACTAGTAGTATTTAAGGTTTAGCCTCACTATTGCCCACAGACAACTTGGTGGACGTTGGAGCAGTTGAGAAGAAGCCGCTGAAATACCTTATGTCTCGGGAACTAAAGGAATTGGTCTTCAGTGGCTTGGAAAGTCCGTTTTCGCTGGACAGCCCGCGAAGCCACTTTCAGCTGAAGGCTGTTGCAGCTTGGTTGAAAGTAATGACGTCCTACTGTCACGGCTCCCAAAAGCCGGGAAGATCGCTCCGTCTGTTTCCCTAGAAAGTAAGAAGCCGAGGCCGGATGCAGACATCTACCCAAAGAGCTCCTCGAGGTCTCCCAGCCAGCACAATGGGTTGCATGATATTCAGTAGCCGGCGTATAATAGGATGCTTATTCTGGATATGTTGAGACTTGCCCTTTCAAACAGCTCCCCTCATCACTCCAATACTGATTATTTCCACGGCATTTGACACCATGCTCTCCATGTGTTTGTCACGCACAACCTTTTTCCCTTTGCTCTTCGGTCTGGCCCTCGCGGCACCACGTATCAGCCCGCGGGAAGATGGCTGTGGAGCCGGAGTAACGGGGCTTCCATCTATTACCTACACAATGATGGCTCCCGTGCAGACCGTTATAATCGACATGACCCAAGAAGACGGATGTCCATGGATCAAGGCAGAGTTGGCTCCCACTCTGGCGCTTCCGACAGCATCGCCCATTGCTTCAAATCCTGGACAAAACCCTGGACCAAACGTTTCTGCCAATGTTCCGAATCAGGGAGCAATGCCTAGCATTTTTCCCGATGGCGCGGTTCCCAATCCTTCTGCCACCACAGGTTTGGGTGGAAGTGCGCCTGCTGAATCAACCAATGGCGGCGGGCCTCCTCAACCTCCCGCTGGGCCCGGCGCAACGGGTCCGATTGACGGCGGCGGTGGCTTCTCCCAAAACGTCCCGACTGCAAACGCCAACAACCCATATTCTACGACCCAGACTCAAGGCGGATCTCCAACCACATTGACTGGTAGTCCGACAGAAAGCCCTCCGCCTCGCTTCGTAATCTACGCAGGCTCGACGCGCAGGGCCTTTGAGCTACCCTATCTAGGTCACAGCCCACTAAGTATTGGCGTCCTGGCCCTTTGGGTTTGCAAAATGTTGGATATGTGGTAGTTTTCGTTACATCGGAGGAGTGTCAATGTGGTTCTTTTGGCGAAGAGCAAACTTTCTATTCATATATTATCACACCGGGTGGATCCTTTGACTTTTCTGAGCGGAGTAATGGGTGTTTAATGGAAAATCTGGATTGTCATCATACTGGTCTGTCCCTTGTTGCATCGTTGCTACCATCTCTGTTGTTGTTGATGTCGTTGTCGTCGATACCATAGTCAATGGTTAAACTAACATGATTGCCACAAAATGGGTAGTCATGGGTTTGTAATTGACCTGTCTTCCTTCTCTCTGACAGCAAATCGATGAAATGAAGTACAAGAAACCCATTACGACGCTCAAGGGCTTTCAGAAATTGTGACATTGTGACCAGGAATAAGTCGCAAGGTGCTCCAGAGACCTCTCGATCACTCATGTGACAGATATAATGAAGATCATGGTCGATCACCGTTAGCCATGAGTCCTCGCTGCGTGTGGTGCCATATCAGCACGCAGACCCAAGGCCATGGTAGGCTAGCATTCGCTAAAGTGAACAACGTCCCTCATTCGTTTTCATCATTCATGGGAAAGTTTCTCTCCTCTTTTTAGATAGCCACATTCTTTAGTATGACTAGACTGTGACAGAACAGCATCACATATAAGATACAAGTGATCGGTCGAGCACCTCGCTCGATCAGGCGATGGTATGCTTCGATTTACTGCTTCTGATTCATCGCAAGCCACTTTGTTCAAGAGGATCGTTTTCTCCATATTTGGCGCCTGAGGCTGTCACACAAGCGATGTCTTGTTATCTTTACTGCGACGCGTCACGTTTGATGTGTGCAGTTCTCCACGACTGTTAACCGATGCGGAGATCAGGCCCAACGTGTCTCGGGATTCCAGCGTCCACTGAAAGCTAAGGACTATCCGGCAGTCAAGGATTTCTAAATGGCACCTGGCAGATAAATGACCAACTTCTGGATTTTCAGTCATGGGAGTAACGGTAGATCTGCATTTGGCTTGGTGTCAAGACGCATCCGGGGCTGATGTTGACTCGCCTCCCTTCTCCTTCAGACCAATCACTTAAGCCCTATGGAGATAAATTAGAAGCAAAAGAAAGAGGTGGATGAATAACCGTCCAATGAAAGACGATATCGCAGATTCCTTGTACCGATGCCTCACACTTTCAGCCCATCTACTTGCTAGCCTCACCTGAATTCATGTTCGCTCGGCTCCGAACGAAGCCTTGCATAAATATGTTCATGTATGAGGTTTGTTGAACTAAAACAAAAGTGGAAGCCATTTCTTCGCAACTTGCAGCAACCTTCCCCACTGATTCAATCCCAATAAACGTTAAGCTCCAAAGCATTACACATACACATTCACACATTCGTCCGCTACAGCTGCAGGAAGTGGCTTGAAGCTTTAGTCGCTATTGGATTGAAACTTGAATAGGCTCCCTCAACGGTGTCCTTGACTGTTCTCCGTGCTCCCATTATGCATAAATGTCATAGATATTATTCCCATGAAAGTGACAAGAGTTTGAGGCTTTGGATTTACATGTGTGCGATCTCTCCGGTTTGGAGCCGGCGTCAAGCAGGATCTGCCATTTTGAGGGTTTGTCTCAGCCACCAAAAGAGTCGAGAGTGTGCCAAGACTTCGTAAATACATCTCCTCTAACCCAAAACGTATCCCGCTATTTAGCGAGACCCGGCTCTAGCTTCGTTCAAACAGTTACTTGTTCGGCTCCTACTGATTGGGGCTTCTGCATCGCTCAAATGCTGCCCGTTCTCATGCCCCATCCGGGTCGGCATCCCACCCTACAATCCGGGCTAACGGTTACGAGTTATTGTTCACCTTGTATGTATTGAGGGGATCGTTGATTGAGTTCTATACTAGACCGGAGCACCAACGTTGACTCTAGTTAGGATGTCACTATCCAAGCACAAGGACATGTTGGCTAGGCCCATGCACATCTCATTCATGTCCACCGACACTTGAAGTTACGCTTCGAGGAAAGAACTTCGCAATCGACGACATGCAACTTTCCCGTAGCCATCCGTCCTCATCAAAATGTGTCCATTGAGAAGTTATGATAGGCTTGTTCTGCCTAATGCATGTTGACCCTCAAAAAGCTCACCATGTCATCCACGCCCTGTGGCTCGTTGACCCAGTGACCTCCTGAATCATACTCGTGCCATTCAACTGCCTTGCAAAATGACCCAAGAGTCCTCTGCAACTGACGACCGAGCTTGATATCAATAACCTCATCATCCACGGCGTGAGCTAGGAAAATAGGGGGTTCGATCGATGGTTGTGTAACGCTTTCTTGGTGATATGGCGAATATTTCTCCGCCAATTCCTCGATGACGACCGCCGGTGGCATCCAGCTGCACCATCCAATCAGCCCACCCAAACTGCCCAACTTTGACGTAGACAGCAAAGCGGCAACTGCTGTTACAAATCCTTGGCTGATACCGCATAAGAATATCTTTTCCATGGAGACCAAGGCGGATTCGCTCTCGATTAAGTTGACCAGGAAGTCAATACTTCGTCTCAGGCCGGCTGTCTGGATATCGGCCTGTTCCTCTGGATTCTCCAGCGACCAGACATCAAACCACTGTGGCATGTCGGTGCCGAACCTTTCAGATGGCATCACAGCGGCTCCGGGGAAGACCCATCGAATAGATGGTAGCAGGTCTGGAAGGGTTCTTGGCTGGTTTGCCGGTTCTGACGCTTCGCTCTCGAATAGCTCATCTGCGAACTCGTTGCAGATGCTGTCTCTGCCATGGAGGAAGATGACCGTGTGAGTGTGCGCCGCCCGAGGCTCGATGCAGTATTCAGTAAAACGCATGTTTGTGGTGCTAGGTGGGGTCTTCGTGATGGGCCTGCGCAGGTTGAGTCGAGTTGAGATGGGAGACATTGGTGATCGCGGTGAGTCGGAGATGGGACGGGTGCTTTTGGGAGGGGGTTCGGTTAAAAAGGTTGCACGCTATTGGAGTTCCTAGTGGAAACCTGAAGCACCTAAGGTACCTGAGTGGCCAACCTCATAAGGTAAGTAGTACTAGATCTTCCGTCAACTATCGCCAGTGCACTTCGTGTTTCTCCGCGAACCGTAAAGGTTTCTTGCGAGCGAGTGCTCATTGGTGAGCTACGGTTGGCTTTCCAGACTTTTCGCATCAAACTAGTATGTTTAGCAAGGCTGAATACGGCGAAGAATGTTCTCCGGGCGGATAGGCTGACAAGCTAAAAGTAAAGATGATAACGGTAACGACGACAGAGATGGTAACGACCAAGACAACGACGACGACGGCAATGACAAGAGAAACAAAAATCAAAATCATGATAGCTCAAATGGATATAAATTTACTGCGTACCCAGGTGAAAGCTATGAGTCCCGCCCGGTTAGCTGGATCTGCCTGGGTAGCAAAGCTCATTACGGCTCCTTTTTAACCAACACGTTGCTGCACTGTGGGTATTATGTGTGAGGTTGAACGGTCAAATACACAGTGCACACCAGACTTATGATTGATGTTTTCTAGTCATAGAGCCAGATTTAATCATGCACTGCATGCAGCGTGCCTATTCCTTCTGGTTTCACAATATTTCAAGTCATACTGGAGATAGCACTGTCCCAGACGCTGCATTTGCCACTCCATTTTGATTTACTGGCCGCCAGAGAACTCATACGCAAACGCAGTCGAGTTTGTCGGAAGTTCAACAGGAATGATGAGCTAGGAGAAGAGATCAGCCAAAGACAACTGATGTGAAAAGAACTGGACTAACCGTATCAGATGTGTATGTGTACTCAGTTGTGCCAAGATCAACAGGACCTTCGATCAAGCCCGAGCGGCCATCAAAGTCGAACCGAAGAGTACGAATCGAAACACTCCCGTCAGCAGGTAGTCCAATCCGACCAAACCCCGAGACGCTGATTTCATAGGAGGCCTGAAGGGACTGAGTTCCTGCAAGAAGCTTGACATTTTTCTCAGAAATAGTCCCAAAGACATCGAACCTCAGGTCCGGTGATGCCGCGGTGGCAACGCGATCGCCTGTCATCCCAGCGTAGTACTTGTACGTCTGCCAATCGCCGTTGGGCTTATAGTTGCCGTCGGAATCCTTGAAGACCAGGTCGGCCATCAGATCATGTAGACCTGCACCACTGCCCCAGTTGGCCCTTAAACCGCGTAGGTTATGGCGTTCAAGTTGAGCAAGATAGAAGGCGGAGTTGGCAGGATTCTGTCTTTCTGGCGCTGCATACTCGTTTATGTCAATTGATCTCTGTGGGAGATTGTGCTGACTGAGGAGTGTATTGAAATCAGGAATGACCTTGTCGAGCTCACGACCTGTGTCGCCAATCTGGTGCCAAGAGTATATGTCGGGGATTGTATCGTTTGCCGATATGGCGGCCAGCCAAGAAGTCCAGGTCGAACTCTGAAAGTCAGGTACAGTTGCACCAGATGGCCCGCTGATGAGAGTATCCGGAAGTTCGGCTCTGGGATGTATGTTATCCTCGGGCTCCTTTGCCAAAGTGGGCAATACTGACCTGATGATTCTGTGAGCTCTAACGTAGTACTCTAAGTACTGATCCCAAGAGCGTGCCCAGAAGATTTCAAGGTCGGGTTCGTTCCAGATGTCGAAGACCAGACCCTCAAGCATGTCGTTGTCTCTTAGATCCTTGACAACTTGCGCGAGGAAAGCCTCCATCTCAGACCAGTCTCCATTGTCTCCCGGATATAGTCCGTCTCCTCCTAAGGAACCGTCAGAACCCCACAGGTCATGGGGAAGCAAGATAAAACCTGCTCCATATTTGCGAGTAGTCCTGTAGTTGGAAAGGGTAGAGTTGAAACGTCCGATATAGCCGTCATATCCACCACCAGCCCATCCAGCATACGGCGTTTGGGCGCCACCGGCACGGCAAGCATTGAACTTGATGTCAGTGGCGAAGTAATCGGGAATGGAGCTGTCTGCGTCTGTACCATTGTCAGGAAATCCGTAGATGAACGCTGATCCAAGAAATCGAGCCTCTCCAGTCGACGTGCTGAGGTCAACAGTCGCAGCGCCCAATGTTGCACGCGGGACGATGAAGGCAGTGGTTTGGCCAAGGTTCAGGGCCACAAAGAGCCCCGAAAGAAGATTTTCGAGCTTCATGATGGTATTGGTGTTGTGCACGCATGAAAGAACGATGCTGATGACGTTCAAACGATTTCACATTATTCTGTCTGACTTATATACCACCCATTTCATCTTCAACCGCAAGATTTGGCGATCTCGCATTTGGTTCATCACCGGATTCAAGGTTCCCCATCGGAGCATCGACTTTTGGCAATATCCAAGCTTGAATATTGACTCCATTCCCATCACAACCCAAGCTTCCCCGCAACAACCCCGCAAAGTACTGATGAAATAGGTTCGTGGTGTTTGGGTGTGATCACCCCATCAGATCCACTGCCGAGGTGACGCCCTCCACCCCCGCCGGGAAATCGTGTCAGACGTCGGGTTATCGATCCCTGCTATGACAGGATCAATTTACTTACTCGGAGAATTCGATTTACTCCAGCAAAGGCTGAGCGCAAATGAAGGGTAAATGTTTAGAACGACAGCAAACAATTGTGGTTTATGACGTGATCTTCGCAACTCGGCGCTGCTTGAGAAATCTAAAGTTTTGAAAAGATTATTGCTATCCGGGCGGGTAGTAGGCATAGATGATAATAAGGACGATAGGGACGACAGGGACGATGAGGATAATAGAAATATTAGTATCAAAGAAACTATTAGACTGAATGTAATAGGTCTCCGCCCGAATAGCAAAACTCTTTGAAACATGGAATGCAAAAACAGTTAACAAATTGCGACTAGTAGTGTGACGCTTCAAGAGCTTGAAGAGACTCCAAGTAGACACAACTTCATTAGGTGAAATATCTGAACCATTGCATCGCAGAGACAATGGCAAACTCGAGCAGGTCCTATAGGAACAGCGAATTGAACGTATCATCCATCTCCGCATAAAACACGACAGGAAGATGAGGTGAGAGTTGGAACTCAACCTTCTTTAGTCAAAGCCTCCTCCCCGCCTGCATATGCATCAACCTTGTAGGAAGCAAAGTCTGATGCCTTAACACCTCTAGCAAACAGTATGTCAAGCTCTTCAAAAGTCTTGCCCTTAGTCTCAGGCAACCGGAAGTATGTCCAGATGAAGAAGACAAACGCACATCCGCCCCAAAAGAATGCAGTCTTGCCTTTCCAGCCTCCCGCCGTCGGATTGAGCTAGGTTCAGGGTTAATATCATGCTCTTTTAATGCTGTAGCTAATGACAATGATTAGATACTCACCATATAAGGATTAACGACGTTGCAAATGATCTGAGCAACGTAATAAGTGATTCGGCTCAGACACACGCTCTTATTGCGGAGGCGCGTGGATGAGACTTCGGAAATGATGGCGTAACAGATCGGGCCAACGGTAAGATAATAGACAGCTAGCCAGGCAAGCATCATGCCGGCTTGACCATAGTTTGCGGCATCTGAGTTGGGTGCGCCGGCACTGATCGAACCGACCACGACAAGTATGAGGGTCAAAAGGCCAAGGCCCCACAGATACAGAGTACGGCGCCCACACATGTGGAGAAGACCCCAAGCCACGATCGTGCCAACTGAGGCTATTCCGAGTCCTCCAACGGACATCTGGAATGAAATTGAGGTGGAGAGCCCAGCCTGAACAAAGAAGTAGGTTGGGGTGCCTCCCATCGCCGAACCGCAAAACGGCTGAGCAGCGAAGGCTAGGCACGCGATCTCGGTTCTGCGCAGGTCGACACCTCGAAAGCAGTCCATGTAGGATGTGCCTTCATCCATTTGGGCCTCGATCTCGTTTGTGTGGATCATCATGGCCACTTTCTGCTTCGCCTGGCTGCGCTGTGAAGGCGAACTGAGGCGGAGGATTGACATTTCAGCTTGGTCATATTTGCCCAGGCGGACAAAGTACCAAGGCGACTCTGGTGCGAACCACAGGATGGCGAAAAGAGGGAGCGGCCACACCCATTGAATAGCAAACGGTACCCGGTAAGACCATTGACCGACTCTCTCCGAGAACCCAGCTTGAACACCGGCTGAAATGAGTTGACCAAGAGCCCAGCAGAGATTGACATAGACGGTGAGGTAGCCTCGTAGTGCAAGAGGGCAAACTTCCGATGCGTAAGCCGGGGCTGTTGTTGCGAAGACACCCCAAGGAATTCCGCAAAGGAATTGGCCCACGAGCAGTACTGGAAGGTTTGGCGAGAAGAAAGAGATGAAGATGAAGCAGCAGATCGAAGCAAGAGACACCAGAAGAACTTTTCGGTATCCGAACCGGTGGGTGAAGTAGCCATTGGCGAAGGCCCCGATGATAGTGCCAACACTCACGGCGTTGCTGAGTCCGTTCTGCCAGGCAGCGGTGATTTCGAAAGACCCTTTGCTTGGAATGTATTCTCCATAATGCTCTCTGAAAGCCGGTTGAGCGAAGAAGGATGAGATGAGGACAATGTCGTACCCTTCCATGATAATCGAGGCGGAAACTAGGACGGACCATAGCGCAGCCTTAGGATACAGGCGGATGGCTTCGAGGAAGCCAAGACTGTGTTCGTCCTCTGCGGCTTGTTTGGCTAAGGCCAAGTCCTTGATCTCGTACGCACTGGCATGAGCTTGTTCATGCTCAGCGATATCTACCGCATCGTCATCATGTTTTGGTGCCATTGCGAGAGTCGCACTTCGTGCAGGCTTTGGGACAAGCAGTGTGTATGGAAGAGCGGAAGGTTTCGGTTGATGATGGACCGAATGAAGGACACTCAACCCGAAAAGGACGACATGATTCGCACAAGATCAGCAAGCAGTGTTACAAACTCTGTGGAGACTTCTGTCATATATACGTGCATAGGTCAGTGAACAGAATTTTGCCGGTCTCGCACTCCTGCCCAGGGGCGTGGTTGAATTCCCCGCACGCATCCTGGATAAAACCTGGGGTAACACACACACGCAATGAAGCTAGACTACGCGTAGCTTTGCTACTGCGGAATAGGTTTACCTGACTTTCAGCTTCGTCGGTGCTGAGATCCACCCCCGCCGGAGTGGTGTCGTGCCACCGGAGTATGTGGGATGTTCTGCAAGTGGATTCTCCAAGCAGCTTCCCTTGATGTGTGTCTCTCCGGTGGAGATGTCAGATAATCAGGCTGCCAAGATCAGATCAGACGAAAATGACGGATAAACGTGTGAATATTTGCTGAGGAGAAAATTAGTTTCATTCTCAGTCGGAATTAGACTGAACAAGGGATGCTAGCAAGTCTGCGAAGGGCTGCTCGACCCCCCAGATCCCCTGCTGCTGCAACGAACCTCTTTCCCCCGAGTTCTCGCCCGGAAGCTCCGACTCTTGTCCACATTTGCCAGTCAACATTCTAATTCCTTCACGTAAAATCATCTTGGGTGCACCTTCTCGGCAAATATCGCCAACTTTCGCAACGTGCCCCGACATACGATGCCCCAGCTTCACGTACGTCTGCACCATCTCATCATCGCATGGTCTATCCAGATGCAAGAACTTCGGCTCTGGTTCCTCAGACTCATCTTCTGCTGCGCTTGTGTCGTTTGGACTTGCCTGTGATCCCATGAAACCATCCCGGGAATGCTCTCGTCGTGAAGTTCCCGGCATCTGTGTTAATGCAGCGTTATGCTGGTTCAAAAATAGCATCATGGTGCTGTAAGACCAGATGACCAGAGTAGAGGCGAAGATGGCGAAGGGCTCCAGAACATTTGTGATGCTGTAGCGTCGAATATGCCACAGCAGAGCCCCGGCGTGGATGATCGATAACCTGGCCTTGTATTGATCGTTTATCGCCCATTTGGCGATGCTCGTTCTCGCTATTTCCACCTTCGACTTGTCAACCGATCTGCCGGAGGTACCCAGCGAGGCTGCCACGGCAAGCGTCCTCATGTGGTTTATTGGTGTTAACAGAATCAGTCGCGAGAGGTGTAGGTGTAATAGTGCTGGATGCTCCCAACCTCCGGCTTTCGCAATTATGGCGTTGGCGTTCCAATGGAGCAAGTCTAAGCAGTCGCATGCGCTGTTTCTCCATCTTGAGAGAATTGGAAGCGATGGTGGCCACGTTTCTTCAACGAGTTCCTCCTCAGAATGCTTGGCGACGTCCGCTGTTGGCGTCCACGAAGAAAGCTTTGATTGGTGTTGATATATAGCATCTTTCGTCCGTTGACAAACAGCGTAGGTCAAGACAACTGTGCCAAAGTCTCCAATGTTTGGAGGCAACTTCTTTCCTGTATACAACATGCTAAGTGCATCATGGATTCGGACTTCATATGAACAATGGTCATTAATGGTTCCATTGATGGTTATAAGATGCCAGAGCACGTACCTGTTTTGGAGTTATCTCTTGAGATTTCTTCCAAGCCTGGTTTCTCCCACAGCGGCTCCGGGCAAGGCAAAACGCCTTTGACGTCGCCCAACCTAAGTAGAGGTTCTTGCTTGAACTCCAAAGCTAAGATAGAGTCAAGAATCTGCAGCAGTTCAGACTCGTCAACTTGTATCGGAGCAAGACAGTAGTGAAGGTCCGGAAAGTCCGAATGGAACGTCTTACCCATACCATCATCCCGGTTCGGATACTGGATTGCTTCTGGATCCAAGCTTTCAATACGTCCTCCTTCGTGGCAGATTCTATGTTCGTTGACTTTGTAGCTGCTATGTTCAACAGGCCGAGCTCGCGGCAGCATTCAAGAAGAAATTGACGCGCCGCCACGTCCAATCGGTTGGAGTCTGTCTTAGGGTTCTGCGATTTGCACACGAGATAGAGAATTGTTGCTTGAACAACTCCCAAGGTCCAGTTGTCATCTGGCCTAGCTTCGCAGAACGAGCCCCAGCATGTCGGCAATCTTGAGCCAGTGTGTTCCGAAATGTGATGTAATACAGCCTTTTCGAGCAAAAGGAACAGTGTCTCTTTTTGGCTGTGATTGTTGACACCTGGGGCATATATCGATCCAATGGCACATACAGCGAGAAGAACAAGCCACTTAGATTTCGAGTCATATATGGATGTTGACTTCCTCAAGAAAGGATACGCCGGATGAAAGCGATGGAAGTAGAGCCTGAAGTAGACTCTTGTGTGCGACAAAGAAGGAAGCTGTGTCGGGTTGAGCGCGAGCCCTTTGAAACATCCTTCATCTTTGAATTTGTGGATTAGACTTTCGTAAGCTTTGGTCGATAAGAGAAGTGGTGTCAGACCGTTTGAGCCTTGGCTGTAATCATCTGCTTGGACGACATTTGGAAGCCCCGGGCATTCGACTCCTTCCTCGCTATATATCTGGACTGGACCTCCTTTGAATGGTGCTCTAGTGGGCGCTCCATCGACGTAGTAGGTTCCCGTTGTTGATGTGGACATGACTGACCCATTGGAGCTGCCGTCATGCCTAGTTCCAAACGTTTGACCTGGACCGTGTATATCATGGCTAGATGCCGCCGGTGGTTCTTGAATCTGATTCAGGGGCTCTGCCACAAGGTTAAACCATGGACCCTGTACAGTCTGGTTTCCAGCCAAGGACAGTGTCTGAAGGCGGTCGTAACTCGGAATGGATGTTCCATCGGCAGCTGTGGGCTGTGCCCAGTCAAAGCTGGTGTAGTACTCAGGAGACAGCCAGTTGATACCAGAAACTCCTACGGACTGATCCGCAAAAAAGTCGCTATTAGCGAAGTTGCCAAGAAGCTCTGCATCGTAGGAGACATTTCCGTCGTGCGTATTGTATTGAACGCCGTCGTTGGTCGTCATCGCTTCCCATCCAATGTCATGGGACTGTACAGCAACCCGCTCGTTGGGGCTTGCGTTACCAGTGGGAAGCATAATAGAAGTGCCATTCTCGCGATTCCCCAGGGCCGGCTGGACATTCATGCCACAATCATCTGGACCTTCTGAGGTATCCACATCATCATTGACCGACACAGGTATAGTACGATCGTGATGTTCGGTGTCTTCATCAACATCCTCAGGGGCATCAGGCAACCCATTAGGACGTCCCTTTCGTCGTCGTCGAATGGGATAGTTACAATTTAGCCCTCGATTAGTGCAACGTTGACACGGTTTCTCCCTTGAGCACCGAGTTCGGCTCGATGCACACTCACTGCAAGCTCTCGCCGATGTTCCATGCCGACGCGATTGTTCTTCATCTTGGTTATGAGAAGCGGTGTGGCGTGTGAGGACGTCCCTTTTGATGTGTCAGAGGTGAGCTCGATCAATAAGTTGGGTAAGACAAACAGTCGAGAAAAGCTTTTACCACATTTGGTACAGTTGAAGGGCTTTTCCCTGGTATGAGAACGCTTGTGTCGTGTTAGATGCTCTTGCCGTCCAAAACTGCTACCGCAGTAGTCGCATCTGAAGTCCATGTCTTGGTGTCAACAAGGTCGACCGCTTTGCTACGAAGCAGAGACTTCGAATTCGCGAAATCGGATGCGGCGTGACATTCAACTTAACTGATCTGACAGGGAGTCCGCGTCCAGCATCGAAAGAGCTTCGGGCGATTGTTCCGCGATACTGACCATGTCGCGTGTTTGTCCGGGTACGTTCGGTCGAAATTACGGCTCGATTGCTGCAGGAGGTTGGGGTAATATACATACACGCACGCGGGGTAATGGGGTAATGTAACGTGCTGAATACGTATCTACATGCGCAGGCTAGCGATTGGCAAGGATGTGAGGCGTCGCGTGCAGCAACGACTAAAACAGTTTAGGGTGTTGAATGGTGTTGGCTATTTTGCAATTGTCAATTTGTCCTGGCGCCCGCGCTGGCAAGAGCTAAACCGTCATATGCAAACCAGGCCTTTCCTTTCCTGGAGAATATGGGGAAGACATATGACAACGGAACGAATTGAATAAGAACCTAACGAAAGATATCTGTCTGCACTCTACTACCGGCATCGAAGCCTTGGATCACCTCTCCAGTGTCATCTGCGCTCTGGACTTCCTTACAAAGACCGGCATCAATTCCAAGGGACAGTCTACCTCGACAGTCGAGCCGCCCTCCCAAGTTCGCATTTCGGACTGAACGTCAGTAAAAGAAGTCCACTGTTCTTCAGATTCCAAGATCGGGAGATAGACCTTCCTCTTCCTCATGTCTTTCTCGACAACAGGACAGCACAGATACGCGTCTCCGTACATATACTGCGTCGCCCCGAGCTTCCAGCATTGCGGGTCGTTGGGAAATTCGTAAAATAGGGGCCGAATGACCGGAGAACCCTTCTCGTGAGCCTCGGCCATAAGCCGTCGAGTGTAACTCCTCAGCTGTTCGCGGATGAGCAGATACTTGCGACAGATTTCATACACAGCCGGCCCATAGGACCAGACTTCGTTGGGCGCTCCGCTGCTGGAGGACAGGCTGCCACTCTTGGGCTCGCGGTCGCCGTGCAACCGCATGACGGGACAGAAGGCACCCCATTGAAACCATCTGACGAAAAGCTCGCGAAATGACTCATCCTCCGGGATGCCACCATGAAACCCGCCAATGTCGGTCGTCCACCACGGCAAGCCAGCAATTCCCATGTTGAGTCCAGCAGCCAGTTGATTGCGAAAGCTTGACCAAGATGATGCGATATCGCCGCTCCAAACAAGAGCGCCATACTTTTGACTGCCAGCCCAGGCGCATCTGAGAAGGTTGACGGGGTTCTCTTGGCCAGAATCCCTCATGCCATCAAAAAAGGTGCGGGCGTAATCGCGAGGGTAGATGTTACCAACTTGCAGGTTTGGTCCTAGAAAGTAACGATAGTTGTCGAAATCATAGACCGAGTATTCCGGCTCAGCTTGGTCCAGCCAGAACGTTTTGATGCCCTTGGTGTAGTAGTTCTCCTTTGCCTTGTTCCAGACGTATTGCCGTGCATCAGGATTCGTAGGGTCATAGTAGACCGTTTGACCCTCAAACTCGAAGTTTGTCCTAACTCCGCGTTCGGTTCGAACAAGAAAGCCTTGCTCCAACATTTCATGGAAATTGGATGATCTCTGATCAACAGTCGGCCAAATAGAGACCATCAACTCGACCCCTAAATCATTGAGACGTTTGATCATGGCATCTTCTCGCTCATTAGTCGTGATGAAACTAATTGGACCGGGCAGTGCAATAAAGAGAAAACAACCTCAGACACGGGCGCGGCCTTACCTGGGTCAGGCCAGTAGAGAGGGTCAAATTTCCACTCTCCCTGCATTGGCCAGTGAAAGAAATCCACAACGATCAGATCAAGCGGCAATTCTCGACGTCGATACTCTTCGGCAACCTCCAGCAGCTGGTCCTGGGTTTCGTATCGAAGCTTGCACTGCCAGAAGCCGAGGCCGTGTTCCGGCATCATAGGGGCCTTGCCGGTAACATCTGCGTACCGCTCCACGATTTGAGCCGGTGTATCGGCGACAACGACCCAATAATCCAGAACTTTCGTTGCGTAGGCCTCGAAGGATGTCGTGTTCTTGCCGAACACCACACGGCCGATGGCTGGATTATTCCACAGGATGCCATATCCTAGCGACGAAAGGGCGAAGGGCACGCTGGCCTGCGAGTTTCGGTGTGCAAGTTCCAAGTCAAGACCTTTGAGATCCAAGTGCGGCAACTGGTATTGCCCCATGCCGAAAATCCGTTCGTCTGTGTCCAGACTCTCGAAGCGCATGGTGAGATGGTAGTCGCCTCCCCGGAGAGGTTTGAATTCGCGGGCTTCGACTTCTATGGCACTGCACTTTGCATCCAGGAGGTCGCGTCTGTTTCTGGCGTACTCTTCGAGAACAACCTTGCCGCTGGAGTTGATCACAGTAATCTTCCCTCGTTTTGAAATGCATGCTTTAGCATTGCCATTCGTAATGGTAGCCGAACCATCATCAGCGATAGATAACTGAGAGGCCGATGAAATGTTTGGAGGTTTCTCTTCGAGAGCCCAAGCTTCCGATGGCATCACATGGGCCTTGGTTGCCCGGATTCGGAATGCATTCGGGCCCCATGGCTCAATCCACACCTGTTCGCCATCATAGCGGTAGATGAGACGGTGATCATCATGTTGTATCATCTTGAATATGGAATACTCCGAGAATAAGTTAGAGAATTGATTTTGTTTTGTGATATCGTGCTTTCCGTGAAAGATACTGCGGGTGGCCCGACTCGAAGAAGTGGCATTCAAAAGACGAGCATCTTTCCAAGCACGGAGGCGAAAGGTACATGTACTTGGAGGTTGACTTTACAGAATCCATCCGACCTTGATCATCTTCAAACATTCGTCATTGAATGTTCCAACCAATGTCTCTCCGTAGTGCATGTCACATTTGCCGGGTGGTTGCGAATGTGTGTCCCGATCACCGACTCCTCTCCACCGGGCCGGTGGGAGCTGTGGGGACAAACTCCGGTGGAGAGCTAACTCGTGCCGGAAGCTTACAGGTTCCCGCGATCATCGCAACTTGCCGTCGGCTCAACTGCTAAAATATTAATTCTCGGCGTTGGTGGACTATCGATTTTGTGCAAATGGGCATCAGCTTTTCCCGGTGGGTTCAAATCATAACGACTCAATCGTCGTCCTTTAATTTTGATCTTGGTTCATCCGATCGGGTTGGTTAACATCGTTGGACAACCAACGCAGCAACAATGATTGAAGGTATACGCAGAAGCATTGCAAGCCAATATTTTTTCATCGCATATACCAAATTAAAGATGGAGATTCACGAGTTGAGCAGCGAGGTTAAGGGGAGACAAGAATTGGCACCAATAGGGGGCAGTAGATAGTCACAGTTACGTCCAATGACTCGCGCCCTTCAGCGCCCGTCTGAAGTCCCCAACTCCATCCCAACTCACGGCTTGGCCGAACCAACCGCATGGGTCCTATGGTATTGCGCCCCCAGATCTAGATTGACCTACGGCAGAAAGTCTCCGGACTGTGGGATTGCCTTACCCACCCCGCTTTGGGGGGGCTTGCCGAGCTTTGAGCACTCCGTTGTCTCCCAACCTTATTCACGAGCTCCGTCAAAGTTCAGGTGAAGTTCAAGGAATACTTTACATCCACAGTTAAAGATGCTGCAAATGAAATGTTTTTCAATTGATAATTGACAGTGGCAAATGGTACTTGATAGCAGCTACCTAGAACCGGTCAGTCTTACGTCTTCGTGAGTGAAGAAGACGATTCGATGGCCAGCGGCGAAATGCCAGCCCTAGGAAGCCCATGCGCGGACAGTCATAGGTATCCCTGAGTTTTCAACACTCTTGGTAAAGATTTTATCGCGGGATCCACGGATTCCGAATAATACAGCGCCAGCACGATCGGAATCTCATCCGAGCCGCTTTCCTATCCTGACAGACTTAGTAGGCTTAGCTTCATCCCCGGGATCGCCTTTTGTTGACTTTCATCCACGTATGGGGGACATATTGTAGACGCCTGGTCTAGAACGGTAGTTGAGGCCAGGATTAGGGTCAGTGGGTTTTCTCCACTTTAATGAAGATCATTCACCAAAAGTGTCATCCCCAAGATCGCATTTAAATGAAAGCTGATGGCTAGATGCTTGTTAGACGAGCCTCAGTTCCCTCATGAGAACTTCAACTCATTTTGAACTGACTAGCACCGTTCTCTTTTCACTGGAAATGACTCAATGTCAGAAATAAAGTTTACCCAACACTCTTCAACACGTGGGTTCAGCAAAAATCGTTCTCTTTCATTGCCTTGTCGGTGTCCGGCAGGCCACATGGGCAGACGACTAAGCTGAGCATGACAGTGATTTCACGAGTCAACAACATATTAATTTTCAAACCGCTTAATCACTGCGCTGTTAAGGCCGCAACTATCTACAGTTGATGTCTGAATCGTGTTAGATCGGTATAGTCTTTACCCACATGTGACGGTTGCTCTTCCGAATATAAATCCTCTCATGTTCCCCAGACTTTAGGTAGCTACTCACCCCTCATCCTATCCACATTCATTCATTCATCACATTCACTTTGCAACAGTTTTCATAACGTCTCCAACGAACCCTTTCGTTTAGAACTCACTTTTCAACCTTCAAAATGCGTGCCGCCACTTTCACCGCCGCTGCTGCCTCCCTCATCATGGCTGTTGCTGCCGTTCCCCAGGGCTTCAACTGCAAGGTGCGTACCGATCCGCCTTGAGGGCAACAAGCTCTCGGCCACCTACCCCACCAAGTACGAAATACTAACATTAATCAAGTCTGAGGGTTTCTGCACCTACTCCGACCCCAACTGCAACTTCTGCCTTAACATCGACCCCCCTGCCAAGCTTAAGGTCTGCCAGGCCATCGACCCCACCTACAAGAGCGCCCCTGGCGACATCACTCGTGGTCCTTCTGGCGTATGTCCAACTACAACCCCTCCTCAAAGTTTCATGCTGACTCTCATGCTACTTCATAGGCCGACTTCCAGTGTGTTGTCACTTGCTGCCACTAAACGAAGATGGCGGAAGTTATGGATCTCAAGGGTTGAGTCGATGTCTTTGTATGTTGCAAAGTTCAGTTAGAAAATGGGAAAAGACAGAAACGTGTGAAAATGGTTGCGAGATCAACGTGAAACGGTTCTGAACACGTTAGTCCATGAAGGTATGTGGCATAGGAGAGCGGCTCGCGGCTCTCGGCTGATGGCACGTGGGCAGCCAGCGCGCTTATCCCACACTTACGCAAATAGGATACTGGGGTTCCTTAGTGCATCCTTAAAAGCATTGTACTGGAGGTCGCGGCTCTGTGCAAGGAATGTTGCCCGGTTTCCCCCGCCATCTAGGGGGTGGAGTGCTGTGCCTCCAGGCGTGCCCATCAAGCGTGGACCTGTCCGACTTCACGTATGTATTTGCTTCATATGTTATTCGAACGTTATTACAATTAATTGATCCCTCTGCATACACAAATAACGAATCTCCACGTTTCTTGACACCCGTTTAGGCATAAGCATGCATGGGGCACGTTTTCTGCTGCGCAAAGTCTTTCGCACATTGGACTAAGACGGTCTTTCAATGTCAATCTCCTGAAGTCTTCATTCCGTTATGGCCACGGCATCTCTGCCCTGAAAAGATTGAGATTTAAGAACAAATACTCCAGATCTTCCAGGCCTCTTGTATAGAATTGGTGTGAGGGGGAAACCATCTCACAATTCCGGTCCTTGCTTTGTGGGACATCAAATCAAGCCCTTCGAGTTTGCAAATCCCTGATCTTACTGCTGGCCCGTCTTTGGTAGTACTTCACTGCTTCCGACTTGCTCGTAGTGGCATCTGGGAGAGCAACAAGCTTGTTCCCATCCTCTGTTGGCTCGCGTAGGAAACGTTCGAGGGTGTTCTGTGGTGTCTCGGTGGCGTTGCTTGGGTTATTCGGTGGAACGGAAGAAGTGGTGGCACTGGGTGTCGTGTGGCTATTTTGAGAAGGTTTCTCGATTAGCAAGTTGCACGTATGATCTTATCCATATCGATTGAGAATAGAAACTCACACAGACTGCATGGCTATCTGGTATGCGTTATGCCAGGTGGCAGATGTTCGAGAAATGCAGTAATTGAAGAATCAAATGTGAAATTTCTGATATTGACGCACGAAAATGTCGATCAAATGCCATGGGACGATGTCCTGTTCTTTGAGAAGGTAGGTTACGGTCATGGTGCTCCAGGGCTGTATGAATACTCTCCACTATCACGGATGAAAGATATGGCACAAAAGGGTGTGACGGGGAAATTAGCGTCAAGGCCCGTTCGCTTCGTGAACCCCCAACGAGCTCGATCGATGCGTCTGTGGAAGGGGTTGACCAATGCACGGGGATAGCAAACGGTTGTTGTCGTCCAGCATTGATAGAACATGAGCCATGTGGTGGTTGAATAAGTTGCTCGACCCTGTCAGAATCATGGGAAGCCCCCTATTTGGTCGGGCCCATAGATACCAAGGCAAACACTTTTGGGCTGGCTGCCTGACCTCAGTGAAATACGCGTTCACGAAGATGGCGTTTGTAATGGAAGATGATTGAACCTAGTTGATGAGTTATGCAGAGTCTATAAGCAACGTATATAAGGGGCACTATGTGGGCATAAGGATGGTGATGATGGACAAAAGTATAGCACGTTTTTGAAAGTCTCGTAGGGTGTGATCAAGTCATATGGCAGGACGAGACGTATGATGGTTCGGACCCTTCTGCAGAAAAAGCAAGATTTGTTTTGCATGCAGAGCCGTGGCCGTTCCGCTTGCCACTTGATCCCGGGATCAATAAAAACAGCACTGTTCGAGCATGTTGTCTGATGAAATTTCAGATACAAGAGACAGGCGCAACAGGCTTGCACATTCATACAGGACGCATCAGGCAGTTCTGAGGCCTCCACTGGAGATATACCTGGAACCATCTGCTTATGTCCTACATGAGAAATTGGGATAGTGTGCATGAAAGTCTATGCTGGGAGCACAAATAAGATATGAAGATGAAAGTGGGCATCCTTGGATGCTCCCTTTCCGAATAAGGGAGGGGCTGGCCAGGTGAACTGAGAAAGTAGGGCATATGACATACTGTACCTGGCAACTCGATAGAAAAATAACAACAAAACTAATGAACGTGATGGTTCGCCATTGGCCGCTTGGCCTGCCATCGTATGAGGGGGTTGAGTGAGGCTGTCTAGCTTCTGAACACGAAGGCAAGTCTGACTCTGGGACAACCTGTTGAGGGCAATGGGTGGGAAAGAGGCGTCGGAGGGATCATGTGTTGAGGCCTCACCGAAGACTGCGAAGCCTAGGGGTATCTTTCGCATGTGACGTCGTGATGCCTCCCTTACATTCCAGCTTCATTTGTTGTGACGATGTCTGTCGGGCGGCTGGCTGATTCTCCCTTGACGACCAGCCTTCGGTTCTTTTCGGATCATGTTCGGAGTTCGAAGAGGGGTGGCTTTACTCGAAATGCCAAGCTGTGGGTGTAGACAGGTTGCTGGAAGTACCGTCATGTGCCGTCCAGTCCTTCGACTTCGTGCTGGCTCACGTGATGTGAGTTGTCATGTAAGTCGAAGCTCAGTCCAGGTCATTGAACAGGGAGCTGACTTGCGTAGAGATCTTTTGTATGAGTCTGTTGCAGAATGCAGGATAGAAGGCGAAGGTATGACGGAAAGGAATATGTGGGTAGAGTAAATGCCGAATCAATGTATAATACAAGGAAATCATAAGCTCAAGAGAGGATCCCTTCCAAAGCTTCGGAGGAGTAGGAAGGTTTGATGAAAGTAGAGAAGAGGAAAAGAAGCATGCAGAGAGTCGGGTGAAGGAGCTGCCATTCTATATCACGTTGGCCTGATACCAGGACAACACAAGCTATACTAAACCTCCGAAGTGTTCCGCGATAGTTGATGCAGAGGAATTGCCTCTCACCGGTAGGTATCCAATAGACTCTTAGATTTCAAGACAACCTCTTGCATTCCGTCCGTTATGTTTCTCGGATTGTTTAAGACAATTTAAGACAATGTAAATATCTAAAGTAGGGGTGACTTTCTATTCCTTTCTTAGCTAGCCTCAATCTGCAAGTTCAGGATGAGAGACATCACGGCTTCCAGAGATATGTGGACTGTTCATCCCACCATATCAGATGGCGCTTTCATCCTTCAAACGGGAGGTATGATTGGAGTCAAGCTCACCGTCGAGACTAAGACGTGACCTCCGTGTTGGCGGTCTGGAATTTTCCCTGCCTCTGTGAAGTACCTACTCTTGATATGCATACTGAATGATGACAAAATGGAACGACGGTCTGGAATGACAGCCATCCAACATTCCGCCCTTCAGCGGGTCATCACACACGGCTGCACAACTTCCAGGCTTGGAAGGGAGGGGACTAGTCCTTGTCGTCCTCGTCATCCTTGTCGTCCACCTCGTTCTGACGATTCAGGGTAGCTCAGGCTGATATGGCACTTGTCTCTTCTCACGGCATCAGTCAAGACGTTCATAGAGCTTTAAACCAAGTCAATGAATATGGAAAAACGTAGATTTTGAAGATTAAGTCAAGGACAAATTGACCTTGTCTTTGGCCCAGAATCTATGCTGTATCGTTTACTCAGCCCCACAATCCCACCATAAACTTCGGCCCCATCACATCATCAACCAAATTCAAACGTCCGCTGATGTTCCCCTTCATCTGCAACCTCATATGAGTCCTCCTAGCGGCCCTCTCTGCCTTCTGCAACTGCTTATGCTGCGTCAACAACAAACTCCTCTGCTCCGCAGCCGGAAGATGGGCTAAGGCCATGCGATCGTTGGCACTCAGACGCGTAAGCTGGGTCTCAAACACAGCCTCGCGCTTCTCAGCACGCGTAAGCGCCTTGGAGCTGTTCTTCTTCCCGGGTGCGGTGAGCTGCATGCTCGCCTTGGACTCATCCACATCCGCGCCCTCGGGGAGAAGGTTGTCACCAGACGATGTCTCGCCAAGCTTCCTGCGAGGACGCGATGGTGCTGGGGCGGAGCGGTGGGAGAGCGTCTTTCCGGAAGGCAGGCGAATGGAGCTGCCCTCCTCGATGGCGTCGGAAATGGCCTTGCGTGTCTTGCCTGCCTCGTCTGCTTCCTCCTCGTCGATCGCGGGTTTCTCATAAAAGTCTCTGTATTCAGAGTCCTCAGCGTGAATATCGAAGCGGCAGTGGTTTTTGCCCTTCATATGCTGTTGGACCGCGGCGGGCGTGCGGCGTTGCGTCCCACATTGAAGGCATTCGCGGTACCCGAAGACGACGAGGTGGAGATATCGCACCAGAGTCTCGAGATCGACGAGGAGTCTCTCCTTGTCGGGGATGAACATGCCATGTAACTTGTGCATGTGCGCGACATTCTCCTCAAAGCTTTCTGAGACTGTGTTGCAGAAAAGACATTCCTCGGGGACGAATTCGGGCTCGGCGTCCGTCTCGACATCGGAGGCGGAGGATGAGGAGTCTTCCGATGAGGGCTCCGTGGTGGGGCTAGTCGGGGCGGCGGCCACCACAGCGGCGTGTTGCTCCGCTGTGATGGGTTCCAGCTCGGCGATGCGGCGCTTGAGATTCGTGACATGCCATTGGCTCTTTGAATGTGCTCGGCGAGTATCCGGATTGTCGAACCGGACGTCGCATGTACCGCAGAATGTTGCAGAGAGCTTGAAATGGGATGTGGTTGATTGCTCCATGGCTGCGGTTGTGTTGGTGTTGGCGGTGTTAGTGGTTATTGCGCCGACCATTAGGTGCGTTTGCGATGAACTTAAGACGGGTAGACTGTGATCTCTGTGAGTGGACTTGATTGCTTGATTTGTTTGGTGATTTGAAGCTGTCTACGATGAAGAACCAATCTGCTTTATACTTTATGGTACTACCTGGAACAAAGCCCATGGCGGAAAATAAAACGCTGACGCTCAAGGATGGCCGAGACTTCTCGATCCACAGCCGCATCTCGACTTCAATTGGCGAATCAGAATTGTGTTACCAACGCATTGTCGAAGCAAACTCATTTCGACATCATCATCGGTCGACACCTCGCTGCAAGACAAATCCTCTGAGTCAAAATGCGGAGCCCGTTTGGCATTATTGTGTCGGCTGCGATACTAATCACTAACAGAATTACTGGGTGACGGCGGTTTCTGTCACGTCTATTCGATAAGGGACTGGTAACACATCAGATTGGACAAAGGCGCTGAAAATGAGTCACCCACCATCATGGTTTAGGAGGGTCGAGACCTGCCTCTTCGGGACTGGTCTGGGGTACCAATTGAATGAGCCATCATGAGTCGACCCACTGGCGGTCCGGGTGACAGGGGGGCGCAGTCGACCGTGCCGAAGTCAATTGCGGGTTGCTTCTCCGAAGTTTACAGGGTCCACTACGGCGACCAGCCGGAGTCTGTTAATTGCCACAACCCGCCTGGGAGATGATTCTTGTCCTGTTTTCACCATTGCGCGTTGCATGTCCGACACGATGCTTCACTGGAGGGTCGAGGAAAAACTTAATGAACTTGGTATCGAATGACTTTTTACCTGCATGTTTCTACTTCCCCTCGCTAATTCTGGAGAAACCACATCATGCTCGACCCTCTACCTCTCTCCTCTAGCAACGCATGACATGAATCAAATCCGCCGTGGGTCTCGTTATCCGATAATGTCCCAAAATGCTCAACCCGCAACTCCCCGAATAACATCCCCATCTTTTAGTAGCTGCGTCCGAACATGACCCACTCCTTGGCGAAGTCCTTGCAGTCGGGGTTCAGACACTTGGTCTCGCCAGCAACGAGGCCCTCGGGCTGATCGAAAGGACGGCAGAGGGACTTCATGCCCATGGTAGGCTGCTTCTTACCCTCAGGGAGGGTGGCGTTCTCAGGGGGCTCGCTGTTGGTCAACTCCTTGATGCGGTCCTCGCACTTCTCAGCCAGGCAGTGGGGGATGACGACAACGTTCTTGGTGTCCAGGGCAGGGATAACCTTCTCCCAGTCGTTGAGAACCAGACGGTGCTCGTCGAAGGACTTCTTGGCCTTCTGGTACATGTCGGACTGGATGGTCTCGAGGAGCTCAGGGACCTTGGTGGAGAGCTCGGCCAAGGGGATGGTGCCCTTCTCACCGGTATCACGGCGAGCAAAGCTGACAACCTGGTTGGCCATGTCCTTGGGGCCGAACTCGAGACGGAGAGGGACACCGCGCAGCTCCCAGTCGTTGAACTTCCAGGCGGGAGTGTAGCCCTCCCTCAAGTCAGACTCGGCGCGGAGGCCGGCCTTGCGCAGCTCGTTGCGGAGGTCGTCGGTCTTGCCCTCGAGCTTCTCACGGTCCTCGGGAGTGGTCTTGGCAGTGATACCGACGGCGATGAGGATGACCTGGGTCTTAGCGATGCGAGGAGGGAGGACGAGACCCTTGTCGTCACCGTGGATCATGACCATGACACCAATGACGCGGGTAGACAGACCCCAAGAGTTCTGCCAGACGTGGATCTTCTCGCCCTTCTTCTCGGGGTTCTCGACGGTGATGTCGAACATCTTGGAGAAGTTCTGACCCAAGCAGTGAGAGGTGGCACCCTGGATACCACGGCCGTTGGACGGGATGTAACCCTCGACAGTGGTAGTGTAGTAACCACCAGCAAACTTCTCCTTCTCGGTCTTGGTGCCGCGAACGACAGGGACGGCGAGAAGCTCCTCGTAGACACCAGCGTAGAGCTCGAGAATCTCGCGGACCTCAACACCGGCAAGCTCCTCGGTAAGGTGGGCGGTGTGGCCCTCCTGCCACAGGAACTCTCTTGTGCGGAGGAAAGGGGTAGTCTGCTTGGCTTCCCAGCGGACGACGGAGTTCCACTGGTTCAGGCGGAAGGGAAGGTCGCGATGGCTGCGAATCCACTTGGAGTAGTAAGGGTACATGACAGCCTCGGAGGTGGGACGAACCGCAACGGGGACCTCGAGGTCCTTGTCACCGCTAAAAGGGTTGTTAGTCGGGGCAGAGGCGATTTCGGAGGGAGAGGTTGACTTACGCCTTGGTGACCCAGGCCAATTCAGGGGCAAAACCCTCAACGTGGTCCTTCTCCTTCTCGAGAGACTTGGAGGAGAGGAAGATGGGGAAGCTGGTCTCGTCGACACCCATGGCCTCAATGCGCTCTGAGAACCACTTGCGGATGACACCCCAGATGTACATGGAGGCCGGGCGCAGAATGAAGAAGCCAGCAATCTCGTTGTAGTACTCGACCATCTCGGCCTTGAGAACGACCTCCTGGTACCACATGGAAAAGTCCTCGTTCTTCTTCACAGTGATGCCGATGATGTCGTCCGTCTTCTTCTTGCCGCCGACAACAGGAAGGGCGGCTTGCTTGGCAGCCTTCGCAGCCTTCTCGGCCGCCATCTTGGCCTGCTTCTCGGCCTTCTTCAAGGCGCTCTTGGATTGCTCGGGGGCAGCAGCGTCGGCCATGTTTGCGATTGTGACTGCGGATCGCAGGTTCGTCACGGGAAGGGTATCGGCTTATAGAATTGGCGGCGTGGTGCCCAGGTCGGCCTGAGTCACTCGAGATTTTGGGCAGAGATGGCGGTGCGATACAGCGGAAAATCTGCCCCGCACTAAAATGTGAGTCGTGTGTCGAGCTGTTGGGCGCGAGGGAGGTGAGGGGTCAATTGGCAGCCACAGGGGACCAGACCGGGGGCCCGAGCGCTCATCAGGGGTGGGTCTTATCACTGTGATCGTGGGGAATCTGCACTGTATCGCCAGTACTAAAATGGCCGCAGAGCAGTGCTTATCTCCAAGCACGGCACGGTCCTTATCGACAGCGCACCTCACCAGCCACAGCTCCCCGGTTCCTGGAACAACTCGGGTCCGAAAAAAAGTTGCGTCGAGGGGACAAGGCAGGCACAGCGCAGAAGCTTCTATTGCTGTCCAGGCCACACCGACGAGCTACCCAAAATCCACCCTCCACCACCTCCCTATCCCGCGATTCACCATTATTGCAGGCAGTGAGGACCAAAAATGGCGTCCATGTTCGAGCAGTCAGGGAGCGGCACCCTTTTCCTCGGTGGCCAGAAGATTTCCGGCGCTGACATCAGAGACCAGAACGGTATGTCGCCGCTGTTGTTGCTTCGCTTGCTGCGACCCCCGGCTACAGCTTCACCCATGCTGACAAAACAAACTCCCAGTCCTCGCGACCCAAGCTATCGCAAATGTCGTCAAGAGCTCATTCGGCCCCAGCGGCCTCGACAAGATGATGGTCGACGATATTGGTGTACGTTCGGCGGCCCCCCTTCCCCCCCTGGACCCCGCTTAACCCCCGGCGTAGGATGTCACGGTCACGAACGACGGCGCTACCATCCTCAGCTTGTTGGACGTCGAGCACCCCGCTGGCAAGATCTTGGTCGACCTGGCACAACAACAAGACAAGGAGGTCGGCGATGGCACCACGTCCGTTGTCCTCATCGCCGCCGAGCTGCTGCGCAGAGGCAACGAGCTTATGAAGAACCGCATACACCCCACTACCATCATCACCGGCTACCGACTTGCCCTCCGCGAGGCCGTTAAGTACATGAACGAGAACATTAGCATCAAGGTCGAGAACCTCGGTCGCGAATCCCTCATCAACATTGCCAGGACCTCCATGTCCAGCAAGATCATCGGTGCCGACTCCGAGTTCTTCGCTAACATGGTTGTCGATGGCATGCTCGCCGTCAAGACCACGAACAACCGCAACGAGACGAAATACCCCGTCAAGGCTGTGAACATCCTGAAGGCACACGGAAAGGGCTCGCTGGAGTCCGTTCTGGTCAAGGGCTACGCTCTCAACTGCACAGTCGCTTCCCAGGCCATGCCTACGAGAATAACAGACGCCAAGATTGCTGTGTTGGATATGAACCTGCAAAAGGAGCGTATGAAGTTGGGTGTTCAGATTACCGTCGATGACCCGACGCAACTGGAGCAGATCCGCGCGAGAGAGTCTGGCATGATCTTGGAGAGGGTAGACATGATCCTGAAGGCTGGTGCCAACGTTATTCTTACCACCAAGGGTATCGACGATATGGTGCTGAAGACTTTCGTTGAGAGGGGCGCTATGGGTGTTCGCAGATGCAAGAAGGAGGACCTCCGCAGAATTGCCAAGGCTACCGGCGCTACCCTTCTCAGCACACTCTCCGACCTTAACGGCGACGAGAAGTTCGACCCGGCGTACCTTGGACACGCCGACGAGGTTGTTCAGGAGCGCATCTCAGACGATGAGTGCATTCTCGTCAAGGGCACCAAGACCCACTCCTCAGCATCCATTATCCTCCGCGGTCCCAACGACTTCACTCTGGACGAGATGGAGCGCTCTATCCACGACTCCCTCAACGCCGTCAAGAGAACGCTCGAGAGTGGCAGCATCGTGCCTGGTGGCGGTGCCGTCGAGACTGCTCTGCACATCTACCTCGAGGAGTTTGCCGGTACTGTCGGTTCCCGCGAGCAGTTGGCCATCGGCGAGTTCGCCCAGTCCCTGCTCGTTATCCCCAAGACCCTGGCTGTCAATGCGGCCAAGGACGCCTCAGAGCTCGTCGCCCAGCTGCGTTCTCGGCACGCACTCTCTCAGCGCATCCAGGAGGGTGAGGGCAACGATGACGAGAAGATTGTCGCCCGCAAGAAGGCGTACAAGAACTACGGTCTGGACCTGACGAAGGGCAAGGTTATTGACGAGGTCAAGGCGGGTATTTTGGAGCCCAGCATCAGCAAGATCCGGCAACTCAAGAGTGCCGTGGAGGCTTGCATCAGCATCATGCGTATCGATACCCTGATCAAGCTGGATCCCGAGCAGAGGGCGGAGGATGACGGTCACGGTCACTAATGCGGCGGCGTATGTGAAAATAAAACAATCAAAAATGGGCCACGTGGGAAGTGATCAAGGTTAGACGGTTCATAGATCATTTGTTAATGATACCTTGCCATGCCAATTTGGACGCTTGTCCTGTACTCCGAATTCCGTTCCGTATAATGGATTCCCCACACCCGTGATATGCATGTTCCGTGTATGATGATTTGTCGTCTAGCACCAACCAAACTTCTCGTTCAGCACCCACTCCACATCCCCATCGCCGTAAAACATCAGGCTCGCAATGCTATCAGTCTCTCTTTCAACAAACTCGTGGGGGATGCCCGCCTTTTCAATCAGCCCCCTCACTCTGGAGTCGGGGTTCCACAGCTCGATGTTGTTCGACTTCCACTCGGCTGCCTCTGCTCTCGCCAGCGTCAAGAGCTCGTGAATAGCCTCCTGAACATACTCATCGCTGCTGTTTTCATTCTCCATGACCAACCTCAAAATATGCATGGTGTTGCCTTCAGGCTTCTTCAATCCGCCATAGTATCCCCTCGTCCACACCGCCCACACCCTCTCCCCGCGCTCCCCGACAACAGCTCCTCTCACCGTCGGTGTCTTTCCAAAAATGTGCTTGGTCATGAAGTCCTCGCGCATCAAGTGCCACAAGATAGCATCAATATCCGGCAGCAACGACACCCGCGTCTTGCTCCCCTTGGACTCCTTCGACAGCCTCGCCCGCAGCAGCTTCTCGTCGACGTGGCTCAGCTCCGCCAGCTCGTGGTATCCCACCGGCTTCGCCTTGCTGCCCTCCTTCTGCCCCTCGGCCCTGGGCTGCGGCGGGAACGACAGGTGCGCGCTCTCGTACGGGTGCCAGCCCTGCTTCGCGTAGAACTTCTTGCCAATGTCGGAGAAGAGCACGGAGAAGGCGACCTCGCCGTTCCGGATGTCGCCCCACTGCTCGCCCTTGGCCATGCGCGCGCCCTGCCAGCCGCCGAGGCGCGGGCCGAGCAGGCTCATCATGGTGGAGGCGTAGCCCTTGCCGCGGTGCTCGGGCTCGGTGAAGACGGAGGCGATGCCGTGGGCGACGGCCTCGGCGACGGAGCCGTCGGGCTTCGCGGCGAGGGCGCGCTTGCGGATGCTCTCGCAGGACGAGAGGATGGGGCGGGCGTCGGGCGGCAGCGAGGGGTCGGTCAGGATCCACTGGGTGATGCCGCCGTTGCGGCTCATGGGCACGGTGGTGAGGTACTCCTCGCGGCGGAGGTACTCGTCCAGCTCGAGGGCGGCGCCCCATTTCTGGTGCGTCGAGGTCCAGACGCGCAGCCGCTCGGCGGGCGTGGGCGTGGTGAGGATGAGGTCGGCCTCCTGCGTCGAGCCCATGGTGCCTATCTTTCTGCGCGGTGTCTGCTGGGTTTGGTGTTGTTGTTTCTTGCCAATTGGGTCCCGCTTTTGGTCAGCTGTTTCAATGGGAGAGTTGGAATGTGGGAGAGACAGAGTCACGGCATCGTGGAGGCACCGGAGGTGGGTGGGAAGGACAAAGCACAGTCCTTATCAAGACATTTGGGGACCTTTCTTTCGGGGAGAGGTGCCCCACCAAAGACGATCGCGGCGATGGCGGGGAAGACCCAGCGAAACCCCAGGATTGAGACAGGCCCAGTTCAAGCCTCTACCTGGCATAAGGTCCAGGCGGCCTTGCAAGGGGAGGGACCACGGGGGGTGGAGGCGGCCCCAGCGATACGGGACGGCGCAATGTGGCACGTTTTGGGAGGGGGAGGAGGGACATCGCAGGGCCCAGCGCCAGCTCGGATTCGAGACACAAAGAAACGTGGATTCGGGAGAGACGAGTATGGCAAAGGTACACTAACACGCCCGTCTCACCAGCCTGGAGGAAGGGTCGAGGTCAGCAGGCCCACACGAACGTGATGAAGGCAAGCCAAGCGGATGCTCGTCTTACGTCACGGGACGAGGCTAGCGGTGAAGTAAGGACGTCTGGCTTCGAGAAGTGATACTGTTTGGTTCTGGTACATACGGTATGTGTTGTGTAGTGTAGCATAGGTAGGTGTAGGCAAGGTACTTTTCTTCATCTGAATGTCCCATGTTGCTTGCCTGTTTCGAAGAGCGCAGTGCCTTGGAACTCTAGGCCTGTTTTTTTAGGTAATTATTTGGCAACTGGGTCCCCCTCTATCTTATCCTGCCTGCCGCTACGGTGCGGAAGGGAGCGTAGGGAGCAACTGAGCAAGGGAACGCACTCGCAATGAGGCAGGTCACGCCGGGCGGTGCGCCGCGGGACCACATCCGAGCCGGCGGAAGCCGATGATAGGCGGGGCGCCGCGGGGCCGGTTTGACGCGGGCGCAGCGGGGTGGAGCTTTCCTCACACACAGCTGCCTCGTACGTCTAGTCACTGCAGGCATGTACTTTTGTATCTTTGTATCTTTGCAGACCTTGTAGAGTGGGAGAAGACAGTTCGTGACCGGGCTGGAGCGAGGGATGCCCTGGTCTGCGTTAGTCGGCTGACTTGGCTGAACTTCCGGACGAGACGTAAACGTCGGGGCGCTTGTGTGATCTTGTCTTGGCTGTTGGCTCTGCGGGTGATGGTGTTGTCGATGGTGTTCATGCGCCGCCCGCAGTAAGGGTCCGGCATTCTTCCAGGTAACGGACTAGTTTGTTGGCTAAGATTGTGCGTGTCTCTCTCTGTCCGTGGAGGATGTGTCGAGTACGCCTTCTTTTCAGCTTTGCAACTGCGTTATCAACTCCAAGTAAACCAGCCACCGCTAGTTCTTCCATGGCCAGAATCCCACCTTATCTGTTGCATGTCACCAGGAAATCAAACTCTATCAAACAGAAACGTCCCTCCACCTTCCATTCCCGTCGCACCCCTGTCCCGCAAAACCCGAACAACCGCACCGTGACCCCTCGCAGCCGCGCCCTGCAACGCCGTCTGCCCACCAGCAGCAGTCCATCCGCCAGATCCAGCCTCGATCTCGGCCCCGGCATCCAGCAACATCTCGCACATGCGAACGTGACCCCCCTCCGCCGCCGCATGCAGCGCCCTCCCGCCCTTGAACCTGCTCCCCTCGGCATTCACATCCGCCCCGGCGCCCAGCAGCGTCGCGGCCATCGCCTCGTCCCCGTGAAGCGCCGCCACCTGCAGCGCCGTGAAGCCCTTGTGCCGGCACGCAGGCGCGTTGACGTTCGCCCCGTGATCCCTCAGCAGTGTCCTAACTATCCCCGCGAACCCGTGCGCCGCCGCCGCCTGCAGCGCCGTCCGTCCCGCCGTCTTGGCCGGCGCCGCGTTCGCGTCCGCCCCGTGATCCAGCAGCAGCGCGACCACGTCACTCAGTCCCGCGGAGCACGCAGACTGCAGCGCCGTCGCGCCGTAGTACCTCGTCGCCGGCGCGTTCACGTCCGCGCCCTTGTCGAGGAGCATCCTGACGATGGAAATGTCCGGCTGCCCGCTCGCAATCTGCAGCGCGTTGCGCGCGTCGTTGTTGCCGGGGGCAGCGTCGACGTCCGCCCCGGCGTCCAGGAGCGCCGATACCACATCGGTGTGCGATCCCAAGCAGGCCGCCTGGAGCGCGGTGCGCCCGTAGTAACCCTGCGGCGGGGCGTTGATGTCGGCGCCGGAGGCGATGGCTAGGCGCACTGCCGGGAGGTCGCCGTCCCGGGCTGCCTTTTGGAGAGGCGTCCAGCAATCGTCCTCGTCTGGCTGTACATCTTCTGAAATGTCCTCCTCTGTAATGCCTTGCATTTTCAAGGCGTGAAGTAGACAGGGAGTTGCCGCGAAACAGGTGAGAAACGAGGGGTGAGATTTAAAGTAGTCCGGCCTTTGCATGGGTGACGGAAATGCGGCACAGTTGACATCTCGTATCAAAAGTTCCTCGGATTATTGGACAAAGTGCGAGGTGTTGACCTTGATGCGATATTTATTATTCTGTGAAGCTACGCCCTTTGATGCACATTATGACGATTGACGCCCTAATCTTCAGTTTCCTTCTTCTTCTTGGACTCGCTCTTCTTTTCCGGCTCTCCCTTCTTCGGCTCATTCTTGGAGCCGGCCTCATTCTCATAATCACCACCCTGCTTCTCATACTCTTTGGCAAGCTTGGATGCCTGGGTAGTTGTTAGTGATTGGCTCCCGTTCATATCACAATATGCAGACTAACCTTCCATGCTGACCATTGTCCCTCGCCGCCGCCAGACTTATTAGGCTCTTGCTTAATTTCTATAATCAAAATTTCAGTTTAGTGTTTTCAAATATCGCGGCTTCTCGTGATCCTTACCTTCCTTGATCTCCTCCCTCAGCTCAGGATCGGTGGGCTTCCCTTTTGACGAAGGCATTCTGGTGGCAGTGTACGTTGAAAAGTTGCTTGTGCGATTGGTTGTTTGATAGGTCCAAAGTGACAATTGAGACCGAGCTTGCTGTTGCTTGAAACCTCGCAACACCTTCACAAGAGACGAACTGGCCATTTTTGAACTCAACAACAGGTCTTCACAAAGCGCTGTATCATGGCTCTAAAACAAGCTGACACCGGATGATGACGCTCAATGACGCCTACATCGCCAGCCACTCCCGCTGCCAGGGAACCACTAACGGACCGGTAGGACCCACACCCAGGTCCGTGCCGTCCCGGCCGCTCGGTGCGGGAACCCACGCTCGCGGTGCCTTTCCAGGCCATCAAGGTCCCTCTCACAGCATAAGGTATCCCGTCTCAGTCTAAATCGCAAAACTTTTGTATTCCTCCCGTGATACTCTATCCAGACGTCTAAGCATAAAGACCTTCTCTGGGTCCGTGTCATGTCATCATGATCCTACGCTGTCTCTCCATCATGACACCGAAAATGATCCCAATCAGTGGATCGAAACCGGCTCAAACTCGACTCCCTCCTCGACTGCCTCGCCATCCATGATACCGTGCACGTACGCCGTACCCACGATGCGTCTCAGCCCCTCCCGCTCAGCGCTCTTCCTCAGCACAAACGGCGCGTTGCATCCCTTCATAACCCAAACCTCGTCGCCGGCCTCGCACCCGTCAGGCACCATGGCGACGTACTTCTCACCCTTAGCCAGCACCAGATCCAGCGCGGAGCGCGTGGTGAAGACGCGGTTGATGAGGATCTGCGCCGCCGCCACGAGGGCCTCATTGGCCTCCTCCGCCGAGCGCCCCGCCAGCTCGATCTCGCGGCGCAGCACGTCGCGCTCCGCCCGCTCGGGGTCGAGGTCGTCCTCCTCGACGGCCGTGCAGAAGCGGTACGCCAGCTTCAGCGTCGCCATCGGGACCTCCTCCTCCTCCGCCTCGGCGCGGAAGAAGGTCAGCGTCCGTAGCACGGCCTCCAGCCCGGACTCGCCAGTTGGGTACGTCGCCTTCTCGAAGCCCGGGATCTTCTCGAGGATCTTGGAAAGCGTGAGAATGTCCTTCTTCACCCAGATGGAGGGCCGGTCGGCGTGCAGGTGCGCCGCGCGGGGCACGCCGCTCATCTGCGCGAGGGTGTCGACCTTGACGCCCTTGAGCAGGAGGACGTCCTCGTCGTCGTTGGGGTCGAAGCCGAAGTCGAAGTCGGTCTCGCCCGCGGCCTCGGACTCGGCGGCGTCGGCGACGGTCATGCGATGCCAGGGCCGGCGGAAGTCGGGCAGCCAGGAGGGGAACTTGTTGGCGCTTCCGTTGAGGTGCTCCGCGATGCCGGCGTGGTCGAGGAGCTCCTCGCTGAAGGGCTCGTGGAACAGGGTGCGTCCGAAGCGGAGGGCGGTCTCTTCGAACTTCTCCGAGTAGTCGGGGCGGAACTCTTCCCTGTCGCCGTCGGCGGCCAGGCCGAGGAGGGCGAAGTAGTAATCGCGTGGGTCAGCGGCCTCGACCTCGCGGAAGGAGAGGAGAAGACTGAGGAGCTCGGTGGAGCGCTTCGGGTCATCGTCCTCGTCTTCAGACTCCCACTCTTCCTCACTGCCCTCAGCGGCCTCTTTGCCGTGGTCATGTCCCTCGTGATCGTGCTCATGTTCGTCATCTCCACCGCAGCAGCCGTCTCCGTGCTCATGATCATGCTCATCATCATCACCACAGCATCCATCCTCTTGTGCGTTTCCCCTCATAGCACCAAGCTGGTAGAACCGCAGTCTTTGGGCCATGTTCGCCATCAAATCCGCCGCGCTCTCCACCTCTTCGCCCTTCTCATCAATCAGCGGCCAAGGCGGGCTCTCGGGCTCCTCCAGCGCGATCGTAGCAGGCCAAAGCTGCGCCCAGTTCACCGTCTTCTCTCCGCAAATCATCAACACATCTCTCGCGAGAATAAATTCCTGCACGATCCACACCCTCTTAAACCACGCCCGGTTCCAGAACCGCGACACAGCCAGCCAGCGCTTGTCACCCTCAGCCGGCAGCTCCGCCTCCGCGCCGGTCGGCGCATCGGGGACGGGCTTGCCGAGTGAGTCCTCCATAAACGCGCGCGCGCCGGCGTTGAGCTCGTTGGGGATGCTGACGCGCCAGTACTTCTCAATCAAGTCCATCGCATCGCTGCTGCCGTCGGCCTCCTCGCCGAGGTATGCCAGGGCGCGGCGCGCGCTGACGTAGATGTCGTGCATGAGCATGACCTGCGCCTGCTTCTCGGCGGCGTTGGCCTGGTTGATGCATAGCGCATCGACCCAGAGCTGGCGCGGGCGGTCTTGGAGGCGCACGCGCTTCAGGCAGGTGAAGAGGTTCTCTGTGATGGACACCTCGGTGGATGAGATGGTGATGCTGCGCGGGGTGTCGTTGGAGCCCCAGACGTAAGAGACGGCCTCGTAGGAGTCGGCCGACTCGGGTAGTTCGCCATCGTGCTTGGAGGCCTCGTCGATGTAAAGGTCGATAGGTCGGACGATAAGCTCACCCTTGAGGGGTTCGTCGAATTTTCCGGGCGCGAGCGAGAGGATTCTGAAATCCCGCTCGCCGAGGGCCGTGTGGTCAAATCCAGCCATGGCGAGAAAAAATCGAAGATTCACTCAGCTAAACGGTTTGCTGGGAGTGTTTTTTCGATTTTTTGGTGGATGTGAAGGGTGACTGAGTAAGGTGAAAAATTCAGCGTTTGGTTTTGGAGATGTGGAGTGAAGTTGGAGATGAGATCCAGGAAAACGCTGCATGAAGATTCCCACAGTGGGCGAAATGATTTTCATTGGCGGCAAGCGCTAAGCAGTTGCAAATAAGCCACGACCTGGTGGACTGAAAAAAGTGTGTATATGCATTTTTCTCATGATGATTGGAATTTTATTTCCAAGTAAATATTACACCTTGCCCTTTTGTGGTGGGTTTGTCGATGATGGACGGTTTTAACAGCATCAACAAAATTCAATTTCCATAGCAAATCAAAGTCTCAGTATAAGCACAATGCAATAATCGTCATATTCATCAGATTTTTCTGAGACAGAATTCTTTTCATTCACAAGGCCCTCTCAGTTCCTCTCATCGTACATCTAGACTAAACTCCGACAAAGGAAACTCGTCATCATACATCAACAGCCTCTACAGGCCCAGAGCCGTGTTAAAGGCATCAGCAGCCGCCTGGCCCTGCAATCCCTGGGCATCAGCCTGTCCCTGCTCGCAAGCAGCCACAGCATCGTCGGAAGCCTGGCACCTCGACGACAGCTGCCCGCAGATGAAGCTGCTGATGATGTTGATGTTCTGTGCCGAGCCGTGCTCGGAGTCACCCGCGGGGCCGAAGGACTCCTCCTTGCGCCCGTCGAGGCCTGCGGCGAACTCGATGCTGGGGTCCTGGCACTCGCCAAAGTCGAGGTTCTGGCGCGTCTTGATGGCGTTGCTGGCGATGCGCATCTTGCGGCCCTCGGAGCCGACGCTGGAGGAGCGGCGGAGCTTCTTGAGGGAGGCGGCGGCCAGGCAGTCGTCCTCCTGCGCGTCGCAGTCGGCGACGGTGATGTCCTCGGAACCCGAGTTGGCGGCGTCAGCGCAGGCGTTGTGTTGCACGGCGCAGGAGCGCTGGAGGGCGGCGCCGGCGTTGACGAAGGTGGCGCCGTTGACGGAGAAGGGCTTGTCGGAGGCGGCGTCGGAGGTGACGGGGGGAGGGGGGCCGCCGAGGTCGCCGGTGAAGGTCTGCACGTCGGTTCCGGTGGCATCATTGCCTCCGTTGTTGGCGTTGTCAGCGTTTCCGTTGTTAGCGTTTCCGTTGTTGTTCTGGTTGCCGTTCTGGTTGTTCTGGTTGTTGCCGTTCTGGTTCTGGTTGTTACCGTTCTGGTTGTTGTTGTCGGCATTTCCGTTGCCTGTGGCATCAGCAGCGTCGTCGGCGTTGTTGTTCTGGTTACCGTTGGCGTTCGCATTGCCACCGTTTCCAGCAGACTGGACAGCATCAGCAGTCTCGTTGGCAGCGGCAGCATTGCCGTTGGCGTTGGCGTTGTTCTTGTTGCCGCGGCGGAACTTATCAGCAACAGCCGTAGCATTGGCAGCGGCTCCGGAATCAGCGGCAGCGTCCTTGTTCTTGTTGCCGCGGCGGACCTTGTCAGCAACGGCGGTGGCGTTAGCAGAAGCATCAGCGGCGGCAGCGGCGTCTTGGTTCTTCTTTCCACGGCGGTTCAGGAGAGTCGCACGGCGGAGTCTGAGTTTGGTGACAGCGGTAGAGTTGCTGGCTGCAACGGTGTTGGAGTTAGTCACGATGTAAGATGGTATGGTTCTGGAACTGGAGGAATCTTACCAGCTCCGTCGGCACCGTCAACGGCAGCCTGGATCTCCTCCGGGGTGGCATCTTGGACGAGGAGGTTCTGGGAGAAGATGCATCCCTCAGCATCATCGGCGTCGTCGCAAGTGTTGCCCGCACCGGTGTTGTCGTTCGGCTACAGCATCATCAGCATTTAATCCCCTTTACCAGCTAGTATCACAGATACTCACGTCACCAGGCTCGAAAGTGCCCGAGTCAAGCGCCAGCATGGGGTCAGCCCCAACAGCAGCAAGCTGCCTCGCCAGCTCCAGCGTAATCTCCTTGTTCGTCGCAGCAGCGCCCTCCGAAGCAGGGTCCTGGTGCTGGGTAAGAGCAGCAATCTCGGGGTTCTGCGCCGTCTCGTCGCACAGCACGCTCTTCAGGCCGACGGAGCCCGTGTTACGCTCCACAGCGCGGAAGACGAGCGCGCTCGCCATGCCGTCGACGTCGTTGGCCGCCTTGGCGGCGGTGAAGGCCGAGTCGGCGGTGGCCTGGTGCAGACAGTCGAGGTTGGTGACGTCGCCGGCGCCGGCCTCCGCGGCGGCGTTGCCCAGGAGGCCGAAGACGGCGTCCTGGATGTTCAGGGGGTTGTCCTGCTTCAGGAGCGCGTTGACGGCGCGGAGGTACTTTTCGTGGGAGTGCTCCTGGGGCACCTCGGCGGCGGCGAGGCCGAGGAGGGCCGAGAGGGCGATGGAGTTTTGGAACTTCATCTTCTGTTCGTTCGGGAAAAAGAAATGTGGTAAAGTACAAGGTAAAAGAAGGGCCGGCCTAGTGATCTCGGAGAAAAGGACAAGAATGTAAAGAATGGAAGAGTAAAGAATACAAACAAAGTTCCCAGAACTGAACGAAAGAGAAGAGAGAGTATGCGTGATGAGGAAACAAAACTTCCTTCTGTCAACGGCTGAACAGAAGATGGGGACTTATATACGGACATGACGACGCGGGACAGTGGTCTCCATCAGCAGCAAGCAGAGACGCCCGCCCGCATCGCCGTTTGTTCGTCTCATCATCCCAACCCGGCGCACCGCGAACAGCGGCCCCTGAGCAACTCGCTTGGGAAAGCGACTCTGTCGATCTTGGGTCCTCGCCTGTCGCTCCGCGATGGTGATGCGGCTTGGCGGTTGGGGCCCGGAGTTGTTGGTGGGTATAGCTGTCGGCTGGGCAGTCTCCGATGCGGCTCATCCACTCGGTAGGGGTGATGCAGGACATGGCCATGTGCGAGCCAAGAGTTCGTCCGGTCCGCTAGAGCGGGCGATAGGAGGAGGGCGCCTGCTGGGACCTGGCAGAAAAACCACCTGTTTCGGTCGCTGGCCGACTGGATGGGCGGAAATTCCGAGGAAACCACCAGGGACATATCTCTCGCCTCGTACACTCGTACAATATGGCGTCCAAACTGCGCTCGAGCGACAACTCGGTTCATCTTAGGCAGACACTCCTTTGGTGGGCACCCTGTCAGGAACTTCCTCATCACTAGATGAGTCTAACGTCAAATTCGTCAGCTAGTGAAGTCCAAGGTCGTCATCTTCACCTTGAAGACACAAAAGGAGCCTCACCCGATCAACAATCAAGATGTGGTCCCTCCGCCCCCTGTTCTTGGCGGAGAGGAACTGAAGTCGAACAGAGTTTGAGGAACTCGGAAATCAGACGGCAGCTGTCGCGGGAGGACGTCTCATCCACTCCGAGCCGCCTCTCAGAGACCCGTCATTGGCTCGCTTCCATCCGTGCGGCCATGTGGAGTCAACAGGGGTGTTGGGGGAAGCGCATCCTCGTCAGCAGCAACAGCAACAATGGCACGCTGGCACACAACACGCACTTCCACTTCTGCATTGTCCACCACCAGCGCGACAGTTGTCGTCGTCTTGGCATCTCAGCTTGGCAAAGCATGAGATCTCAGTAATAGGTTGCGTAATAAGTTATGTGGAAGGGTTTATGTGTCAATGCCCAGAGTGTCATCTCATCAAATGCATCTGAAAAGCGCCGATCCCCTCTCATGCCGATGATGATGGCTTCCGGGTTCTGCACTTCAGATGATCTCACAAGATGAACACTGAACATCGTCCATACACACATCTGGGGAGATAGAATCTTAACCGCAAAAACAGGATCCAAACGAGACCGACAGCGGAAAATATTTGCCAAGGTAAAGAGACTCTATCCACGATAGACATCCTGCGCCCCGCAACCCAAACACGGTACCGAGCAGGGACTCTATTTTCGCAGCCGCGCTCCCAAAACATCGAGACCCTCTTTACCGCCCCGGGGCCCAACAACACCTGCAACGCCCAGACCTCCTCAAAACAAGTCGTTTGGCTCCTCCTCCTCCTCCTCCAGACCCAGACCTCGACATCTGTCCAAGGTTACGGCCACCCTTACGTGAGCAACCCAGGCGGCAACACACTGCGTGGTGCCACCGCCTGCGAGTCGTCGTCCCACCCTCTCTCGACCCCATTCCCAGAGATCTCCGTCCCAAACACCAACGCGTCACCTGCCGGGTCCCGGAGTCGGCGATCTCTTGCCAGCGAGCAAAGGAAGCCCTCACTGCCGAGCCAAATTATGCGCCACGGCATGCCATTCAGCCACTTCCCCAACTCTGGGTGCATACAGGCAGAGCTGTCACATATGGACGGCTCAGTCTGATCGACTCCGCAGCCGGCTGTCAATACCATCTTTTCCTCCAACTCTACTCAGCGAGACTGAACCAGTGTGCAAGTCTCGGCGACTGGGCCGAAGCTGTCAGCGATCGTTCCGTGGTACCGAACCCTCCGGATGGGTTTGAGCTTCCTCATCCGATTGCTGCTGTCGATCGTCTTGACTCCCGAGCCTGTCATCTTTTCCATCATGCACCCAGTTGTCCCGTCCGTCCACCGTCAGTCAGCCCATCACATCCCACACGGCACATCACAAACCTGACCCGGCATGGCTATTATGAAGTTGCGAGGCTACTCATTGTTCCTGGACGCTCTGTGACTTTTGTACATTGGCATCATTGCCCGGGGACACGTCTAAGAAAAAAGAAAAGACCTCTCTCTTTGACTCTCTTGGAACCCAAACCCCAAGCACCATTGGTCGTCTCCGATGCAAAAAAAGAAAAAAGTGTTCTCTAGTTGGTTGTTGTTGCTGCCATCCGCACCGCATCCCCCACGAAGGGGGGACCTGCGGGCTGCGGCGTGGCTCTCTCTCCTCTCCCTCTCATCATCCGTTTTATACTCGTACAAAGGTGGTGCTTAACCGATGACCAGCTTGCCTTCCTCGGGGAACTCGTACTCGGGGATCTCGAGGTTGAGGGGGGCGGGTCCTTTCCTGATACGGCCGGAGATATCGTAGTGAGAACCGTGGCAGGGGCAGAACCAACCGCCGTAGTCACCAGCCTCGCCGATGGGCACACAACCCAAGTGCGTGCAGACACCTGTGGGGTAGAAACGTTAGTTTGCGGCTCTTCTTGACAGATTCACGTCCTAGCTGGGGTCACGAGGGCCCAGATATCCCATCCCAGCGGGCCTCGATGGCCCGGATATCCGAAAGCCGAGGAAGTGCGAAAATCCATTCAGATCAGGGATCACGTACCAAGCATAATAAGCCACTCGGGTTGCTTGACACGGTCGTCGTCGGCCTGGGGGTCACGGAGAGAGGCAACGGAGACCTTGTTGGCCTCGTCGATCTCGGCCTGGGTGCGGTGGCGGATGAAGACGGGCTTGCCTCTCCACTTGATGATAACCTGCGGCCCAGATTGTCAGTCACAGTTCCCACTGGCCCTACTGCAGAACCTAGCACCAGGCCACTCACGTTCTTGCCCTCGGGAATGGCGTTCAGGTCAACCTCGACCTTGGCCATGGCCAAAACGTCGGCGGAGGCGGACATGTTGACGAGGAACTCTGCAATTGAAACCACCCGTCAGCCAATGCTCGTCCAATAGTATTTCCCCCACTCGTTCCCTCGTCTCGTTCATCGATTCGTTTATCCGGTGGCTCGTTGGTTGGGGGAAGAGGCTCGTCGTACCCTGGACGGTGGACTTCGCGCCGGCGGCGGTGATGGCGCCCATGGTGCCGACCATGAAGTATGAGATGAGGTGGTTGCCCTGAGCAGAGCCCTTGCTCATGTACTTGCTGAAGTCGGGAATCTGGCTGCCCTTCTGGGCGCCCTTGAAGGGGCTCGAGTAGCTCGTGGCAGTGGCGTCGTTCCGGGCGGCCGAGGTGCTGAGAGCGCGCGCAGCCGTCGCGGCGGGGCTGCTTCGCGCCAGTTGCCGCAGGCAGGTGCGGGAAGCGTGTGCGAGGGGCGCCATCTCGAGAGATTCGGGAGGGTGGAGGGGAGAGGGTTGGTGGTTGTTGCGAGATGCAATTGGAGAGGGATGACGTTTGGGCAAGTGAGCGTCTTTTTTCGTGATGCTGTGGTTTGAGGATTGCCGAAAGCTTTCTGGGCTGGCGGCCTGAGGCAGAACGTTGTGAAATTGGTGCTTGATGATTGGCTGGTGGGGGCACCAGAGTCCCGACCCTTTCCGGGTGGCACGAGTGGTGATCGAATTATGCTGGATAGGTGCAATGCCCCCATTAACCGATTGCCAAGTTGGGCAAATTTTGACCGTGAATGCTCCCTTCACCCGTCTCCAATGGGACAACGATTGGATGCCGATTGAGATCGCTGCTTCTGTCATACGGTTTGGTCGTCTGTTGGATTCAAAATGTCTGTATTTCATCTTATTCAGCGTCACCTGGTGTGACGGCCTGAGTCCTTGACGTCGTCCCGATATCCTGCATCTACTATTGTACATATGCATACTACACATTAGTGCATACGCTTCAGCTCCTCTACCAAGTCTCTCATGCGCTCAACTGTCGGACCCAGCCCCTGGACTACAGCTTCTTGTCTCCCCGCGTCCAGGTCCAGGAATCGCTCAATCAGCTCGCCGTCGACGAAGCGGAAAGGTCCATCCGCGGACCGCTTGGCATTCCGGAAACCTCGCCACGACATGAATGAAAGTCCAGCTCCAGGCTCATCTGCTTGGCCGAGGGTCTTAATCACCCCCGCAAGCCTTTCCTGGAATTGCAGTAGCAGACTCTGGTATTCGGCCTTGATGTCTGCAAAGACGTATATTGATCCCTCAACCTAAGGTGACGTTAGCAGCTATAGCTATGTCGGAATCTGATCGCAGATGCTTACCGTTGCGAGAAAGGCCTTCGGTTCAATCGGGTCGTTCTCGCCAGAGACGACGTCAAGTGGCCGAATCTTGTTGATCTGCTCGCCGAGGTGGAATTCGCTGATGACTTCCATCTGCTTCTTGTCGTGTTCTGTTGGTGCATTGGGGTTTCTGCGCAACACCATGAGGTTGCCCTGTGCATCTGCCTCAATCCACAAGTCTTGCTCTAAGTGGCAAACCGCGGTAGCCCAGATGTACTGGAAATGGCGGGCCCGCTCGACGAGTCGTGCTTTGTTACCGTCCTGAGCCGGAATAAACTCGATAAGTGTCATCGACTGCATCAAATCGGCGACGCCAATCATGTTGCCGTTGACATCGAGATCCACAGGAAACGTGGATGGTCGGAAAGTAGCCAGTTTGAGGAGCGATCCTGATGTTGAGGACTCCTCGGCGTAATCGTACACGACCACGGTTTTGCTGAGGCCAGCAACAAGCTTGTCGCCCATCACAGCGAGACTTCGGCATGCACCCTTCAGCTCATGGCTAACGATTTGGTACGGGTTCTTATCAGAGTCGACCCCGAGGACTAAGATACGTCCTTTAACCTCACTATTTTCATCCATCTCTGGATCGGCGAGATAGCTAGTGCCCACGATAAATCTCTCCGCAGGTTGGCCAGAGCTGTCCGGAAGCTTGGCTCTGATAACGCTTTCAACCAATTCCGTTGTAGCGGCGCCATCAAGATGGAAGGGCTTTCCGACCACGCCGAGGACGATCTCGTCAACCAATTGGAAGGAACTTGTGACCATCTCCTCGTTGTTGAACAGTTCTCTCCGAATGGTGCCGATACCGAAAGCCTTCAACGCCGGCGAGTAGGCTACTCTGCGTACCGTCTGGCGCAGGGGAAGTGGATTTACGTGTGTTCGCCTTTCGACATCAATATGCGCAATGCGAACATTCTTATCAGTGGCGAGAACAATAGCATCAGGAAACGCCTCCGAGTCGAACGGCGCGATGTAGGTGACGTCCTCCGCCGTTGCCGCTGAGTAAATTATGCGCCCCTCTGAGCTGTAGATGAGGCTTGAGTGCTCGGTGGTAGCGAAGACGTTGCTAATACCATCGCTGTCAGGCCGCGGAAGGATATGAAGGCCTGCTTGTTTGCTGCCAAGAATGACACTTTTTCTGCCAGACAACGAGTAGTTGTCTTTCGAAACATCGAAGGACACCACCTGCCCGTCTTCCAACGAGACGAAGAGAGTAGGGCCCAACAGATGTGGCGGATGCAGCTGTACTAGAGCAATGTTCCGGGGTACTGAAACGCTGTCGTCGGTCTGCTTGATGGTTTCACCGTGCAGAGCATCAAGCGTTTGCAGGTCAATGATGGATATGGAGCCTGTGGCCCAGAAACCCACGACACCGATATTATCCATGTCCGTTGCGGCATGAATACACGAGATCTGGTCGCCTTCTCCGCCTACTCCACTTCCCAGCACTTGCTCCCGAGCTGCAAGATTCTCCAAGAGGCTCAATGAGACCAGTGTGGTTCCATCGATGGAGAGCAGAACCCATTTGGCATTGGATGATGCATTGACAATGACTTTGCCTTCTGGCGCTGACCACGTGCTCAGCGTGATGCCACCTTCAGGATCAAGTAGCGCAGCGCTGTTAGCTGTGACTTGAAGCAATTGACCGTTCGGCAGGGTCGACGCGATTAATGTAGGTTTGTCTAGTTCAAGACCTTGGAATTGAAAGACCTCCTCGATGCCCTCCTCTGCATCGAACCTGAAGACTCTTGTGTCGGTGATGAAAGAGACGACCAGGGTATCATCTTTGTCCGAGCCGTTAGACCGAAGAGAGAAAAGTCCACGAACGTCACTCAAATCCTCTAGAACGCCAATATCCTCAAGACCGACACTGCTCCTGATGCTCCGCAAACTGCCGTTCTGATGAACACCACAGCCCGCAACGATACGGGCTTGGCCTGACGAAAAAGCATTGCCGACCTGGCTGTCACCAGCATTACCCAGGTCCATTATGGCGAAGTCAAGGATAGGTGCAATATTGGGTATTGTTTGGACAATTTGTGTTGTTTCGGAGCCAGCGGTGACGTCGACTTTGAGCAATTGCGAATCGCCGTAGTGGGACCCCAAGAAGAGCATGCCGTCCCCCATGTAGACCAGGCAAGATGCCCGAGATGTAAGACCGAGATGCGTGACCCTCAGCCCCGTGACCACGACGCCGTCGGTGTCAATGGTGAGAAGTTGTAAGTTGCCATAGTCGTCGGAAAGAAAATAGTTCCTGACATCGTACTCGGCGTAGGCAACGAAAATAGTCGGGTTGTCTATGCCAGCAGACACCTTTGTTTTCGTGAGAGTGTCGACATAGACAAGCAGAGTCTCTCCGACAACAATTAGACCGCCAAGCTGCGCCTTTGCCGCTGATGTGTCCCTCTTGTGGTAGCGCTTGACCTGGTCCTCCTCGACACTGACGGGAATAAGGATTCTCGCATAAGGGTCCAGGATCTCCATGTCGAGCTCTCTGTCCTTTTCGGCATCGAAGTTTGAAGTCTTGGTATTTCTGTCATCACTCATGAGGCGATAGATTGCCAACCTCGCATCCTCCTTGTCGATCTTACTCTGGTACAAGAAGGCAATGGTGGGGTGGCCGGTCTCAGTGGGCACGAAGGTGCTGGCCTTCATGGAGAGTTCCGACAAACGGACTTGCTCCCATAGAGGGTCTAGACGGGAAGCATTTGGAGCCCGAGCTCCTAGTCGCATGACGTTCATGACACCCTCCCATAGGTGCATGGCCATGAACCTGCCAGAGGGGTCGACCAAGCACTTGTCCTGACTCTGGGCCTCGCGCATGTGCGGTTCTCCACTGTCCTCAATGACCTGCTCAGTGACGAGTCTCTGAAGATCGGAGTCCCATCTTGCCGTGAAGTATTGGAATCGGTCGGTGCCGACGAACAACAGGTCGGTCTTGGAATCTTTCGGAGTGAGGCGTTGGAGGAGGAGGACTGTCCCGTAAATGGAGACGGAGCCGAGCATGAACATGTCGGTGGGCGTGACGCGCCATACTTCCAGCCTGTTGGATCTCCTTGGAGGAGGTTAGCATGCGAAGGGCAGAAACACGACTATCGCGATAGCTATCTCGAGACTGTCCCGCAGAGAGAGAGGCACAGGCAAAGGCAGAGGCAGAGGGCAGACTTACGATACCACCAAGCTTTCCTCGTCTTCTGTCAGCCGCAGTCTCAATGCATGGCGTATGCTGCTGGGCCGATGAATGGGTGCTACGTAAGACATTGCGGCGGTCTGTGAGCTTTGTGAGGTGGGAGCTCTATCCCAAAGTTGCAGCCCATGGAGAATGTCGAGATGGGCGATTTGGTGAGGTCGGTGCTGCTGCGTCGGAGTTTAGCAAGAACGTCCGGGCCACTTGCTGCAGCCCGCTGAGTTCGATTTCATCATCAATTCAGTGACAAAGGTGGGGCCATGACCTGCCGACTCCAGCAGCGCGATCACTGAAGTCACAAGTGCAGGCCACTGCCGCCGCCGCCCACCTCATTGCGGAGAGCTGCCGGGCAAGGGTCACAGTGCACATCCAGCAGCGCGCCTTACGCATTGGCCACTGAACGCGCCGGGCTCCCGACTTGGCCGGACACTTGGACACTGCTTATCTGCAGAATCTTTCGCACTGTCCGACCTCTATGAAACGCATGTAAAGTAGCAGTGTGGAATGCAAGGCGTCGCGCACAGTACGAAGGTCCCTGCACATCGGGGAGGAGCGATTGGACTGACAAGTCTTTCTCTTCCTTGAGATCAACTACGGATGTGTTTCCTCCCGTTCAAATCCAACGTTCGACCGTTCAAAGCAGCTCACATCTATCGCCGGTCCATGAGGTCATTGGCGATAAACCCCTCTTCGGCCATCTGCGAGATCGCCGTGATACGACGCGCCCTACGAGACACGCCCCAGGCGAATTGAGGCTCCCCGATGAGATCATGGCCTTCTTGAGACCTCATGGGCACCTCCGGTTCGGCAGCTCCCAGATCATCGCCCAGTTTAGATGAGGCGTTTCTTGCCCAAACTTGCTAAAGTCCACCCGGTGCTCGTCGATATCACGGAACCCGGCCTTTTGGTAGAGGCGATGCCCAGGCACAGAGGACTCCAGGTACGCGGGCACGCCCAGCCTGACTGCTTCCTGCATCAGCGGGGTCATCAACTGCAGCCCAGCACCCCGTCTCTGGTGCTTCGGATCTGTCACCAGGATATGCAAGTCTTCGTCCCGCATTAGTTGTCAGTCGTTATTGCGCCAGTCTGACGGCCAGTCTGACGGGTGGAGTAATGGCCACTTACAGACACACGGCTTGCCTGTCATCAAACGCTCCCGCATCTTGTCTATGCCAACAAACAATGCTGTGCACGCCTCAGCGTTGGATCCTGGCGGTGGTACACGTGGCTTGGGCACCGGCAGCCCCTCCGGATAACTGTTGAACTTGGCCCATGCCACAATCGCCTCGTCGCCTTGAAGCTCTGTGTCCACAGCCTTGAGGAAGCGCACGGTCGGATCCTCCCGAAGCTCCTTCTCCAGGCCCTCGACTCGGAGCGCCAGGGGATCGTCTGGCAAGGGCCCGGGAAACAGCACAGGATAGGATGGGCTTTCTGCGAACGCGTCGTGCTCGATTTCGGCGCAGCGCCGGAGATCGGCTGCAACGATGGGCTGGACGTCGATTGGCATGCTTGCAACGGCGAACTTCTCCAACGTCTGCTTTGTCCCAAATCGTGTTCGGGTCGAAATCTCGGTTTCGATTCCAGTCGCGGATACGGAGCCTTCAAGTACTGACTTGTTCGGTCATAGCAGTACGCTGCCTAGAGAAGCGGGGACGCCGGCCTGGTGACACCGGTGGGTCCCCGATCCATGGATTCCACGGGCGACGGAAGCCATTCGGTCTGACTCATCACCGTCCTCCAGGTGCCCGCGTGAGATGTCGCTGATGGGCTGCTCGGTGCCCATTTAGGAAGCTCAGTATCGATGGCGCTATGCAGTGAGCTCTGCACGCTGGTCCTCTTGCGTCTTTCGTGCAGGTGCATACCGAATGCCATTTTGGCAGCGTTTCTGCAGATCCAGCCATTTGTAATTCATGCAGGAGGCGAAAGGGAAACATCACGCTTATAGATGGATGCTGCAAATAACCTCAAGGTTATGGTTCGGCAACGTCAAAAGGCTTGTTGCATCCATCATCAACATGGGAAGAACTATCGCCATGTCGCTTGACCAGAGTTCATCGTGGATGAGGCCGGCCAGATCTTCCGTATCTTGTCTGTAAAGGCAACTGCAACGATCCGATGTTTCTGAGATGGCCCTGGCTGACTTACATGCTGTCAACCTGACAAAGCTATGATCACAAGGGTCGGGGAGCTATGTCCTTGGCGATGGCAACAAGCTATGAACCTCTCGGGCTGCGCAGCCGGACACCTTATCACAACCTGTTTCCATGAGGCTGATATCCAATAGGGCTCCGTTGATGGCAGTCTGCGGGGACGTGCCGCGAGCACCAAAACATCGGACTGGCATCGACGCACTGCAGCTGTCCGCGAATTAGGGTTGACGAGCATATCAACTACTGTCGCCGCTTGCTGGTGCTTTGGGAGGCGCAGCTGTGCCCGAGCTCTTAACTGCATACACTGAGACCATATCACTCAGAATCCCCTCACAATCACTTTGCACCGTCGAAACGCGCTCGTGCTTCCATCTTGCGTCCCCGGACGCACAGTCTAGTCCCTCATTGGACTAAGCTTGACGTTCATCCCATGATTTGGCGTATGACAGCTTGCCCTTGGATGGCCTCTTGGGAACTCCCCGACCTCTCGCCTGCTGCCGACCCTGTTGTCTGCCTCTAGGAGAGACAGGATTCAGTTTCATGCCTGACTGCAGCCCTCACCGCACGAGGTTTGCTAGGGCCGCATCCCTGATGCATCGGCAGCTTGCCTACCCTTCCTGCGGGGAGCTGCTCGCACAGATCAAGATCTTCCCCCGGATACAGAAGTCTGTTCCCTTTTCGGAAGCCGGCGGACAGCCGTTGAGTACTTTTGTACTGCTCCGCTGTCAAGAGTGGGTAAAGACACCTTCGAGTACCTCCCGGCCGAGAGACACGGACGTCAAACACGGACTCTGACAGCCCACCCGACAGTCGACAACAGCGTCGGGGACGCAGAGTTGCGAAGGTCCAGGCCAGAGTCGACTGCAGTTTACATCGATCACCAGCGGTAGACCATGGGTCCTCACCAGATTCAGTTCACGGAAGTGTCTCACGGTCTGCGTCTGCCGAGTCTGACAGGAGCTAACGACATTGCATCTACTCTATCATGGTCCTAATCATGATCCAAGCTCCTCATCATCACAGACAGCCCGAACGAAGGTTATAAACCCATTCGATCTCCCGACGACAGAACCTTTTTTTTTTGGAGCATCAGACAAGGAAAACAAAGTCAAGAAGCTTGGTTGCCTCCAAAGCTACGCTATATCTCCACAAACTCTCAAGACCCTTCGTCTGCCATCCAACCTTCTTCACAATGTTTACCCTTCCTCTGGTCATTGCCCTTCTCAGCCAGTCGGCGATCATCGCCACTGCGCCGGTTAACTCTATCAAGGCTCGCGACAACCTCGACGACATCGAGGCTGCTCTTGCTCCGGTCTCTCAGTCACTTGCCCAGGTTGACGCCGCCGTCCTTGCTCTTGATGGCGGTCCGGTCACTGCCAACAACCTCCTCGTCTTCTCTCAGCAGGCTGAGGCCACCACCAACCAGGCCACTCTTCAGATCCAGCAATCCGGAAGTCTTGGGGCCATCAGAGCTGCCAGGCTTCGCCGCATCACCGATGGTCTCCTCGATCAGACGACCACCACGGTCACTGATCTCGTCTCAAGGAAGCCTGTTCTTGACAACCTGGGTGTGAGCGGTGTTGCCTTGGATTCTCTCCAAAGGCAGAAGATTTCCACCATGGCTCTCACTGCCGCGCTTGAAGAGAAGGTCCCTAGAGTTGGACAGAGAATCGCCGAGGAGGACAGAGCTCAGCTTGAGAACGTCCTCGATCAGGGTATCGCCGCCTACTCCCAGCCCGCTGTCCAGGCAGTTCCAGTCACTGTCATCCCAGCTGCTGCCCCGGCTCCCGCTCCTGTCCCTGCGCCAGGCATTGTTGTTCCCGCGGCCCCAGCTGCTGGTGCACCCCCGGCTGCTGCTCCGGCGCCTGCTGCTCCTGCTCCTCCTGCTGCAGCACCTGCCCCGCCTGCTACTGCTCCCCCAGCTGCTGCACCTGCTGCACCACCTGCTGCTGCTGTGCCCGCCGATCCTAATGCCCAGCCATCCGCCGAGCAACCTGCTGCTGGCTGGCCTGAGGCTGCGAACCCTACTCAGCCTGAGCCTGCTGCTGGCGCTCCTGCTTCTCCTCCTCCCGCCGCTGCTCCGGCACCGGCACCCCCAGCCGCCGTTCCGGCTCCGGCCCCGGCCCCGGCTGTGCCCGTCGCCGTTGTCCCGGCCCCCAACAGCCCTCCTCCTCAAGTCACTCCCCCCGCTGGCCGCAGGGATCGCCGCAGGAAGAAGAAGGCTGGTGCCAATGTTCTCAACTCCGCCCAGGAGTAAATAATTCACTTGATGGAAATTTGGAGTCGTTGGCGTTTCAAGGCACCACAGTCGTGTATGACAGGGTACAGGATGTTATGACAGATGATTACAAGATTACAATTTGAAAAATAGAATGAACCTAATGCATCACACGTCAGAAGGACTTTCTGGAATCAGTGATTTGCTGCACAACCTGGCTCCGACTAGTCGGTGATGTCTTAAGCTTATGCAAAGCTAGAGTTTGACCCCTGACTGTGCGTGCATCCGGTGAGTCGGCGATAGGAGAATGAGTGAAACAGCCTTCGCTCTGGCATTCGGGCAGAATTTCTGATGATCTACGGTGAAGGATTGAGAGACACATACTCAAACGGGCTTCTCCTCCCATTGTAAAAATCCAGCAGAACACCTCGCATTCGGAGATTGTCATCTAGACCGGTTTCACTGGGAACGAGGCTACGAGGAGAGAGCATCACGACAGCTCGCCAAGACTAGCTACGACGAGTCTCGAACCCCCTCCTCATACGCCTGCAGCAGGATTTCATGACTTGGACACGAAAATCCCCTCCTCCTCCCCCCACCTTGGCTCCATTCCCGGTGAAGCGGCAATACCTGTGATGACCCCGATTCGGTGCATTAGCCCTCCCCCCCTCCTCCCAGCTCCCCGTAAGCCCATCCTTAACGACAATGGATGTTCGCGGTCGCGGTGCGGTTCCCATCCGCACTAATTGAAACCCAGCGGCGCTATTGGGCGCGCTGCAATGCCATGCACGTCGTACCGACCCGACTAAGGCACCTCGAAAATTGGGAATGCGACATTCCGTCTGTCGGAGTCGCAGTGTGCTGGCCGGCTTGGCTGGGGCTTGCCTTGCTGCTGACCCCCCGTCGTCCGCTTGGCTGCATTCGGCAATACCAGCATATTAGCCATCGACCAGTCGGTATCGTCACGTCACAATTTGTGGCATTTCTTGACAGGCTGGTGCTGAGCGGTATCAACGGGCGTTAGGGCGTCGGCTAGAGTGGGCGATGGTAGCGTGATGGATCCCGACTGGGCAAGCGGGAAAGCCACGTTGTGTGTGATGAGAACGCCATCCGGGGGTGAGCCCCTCATGGAAGCCAGGAAAAGGATGTGAACGGGCATGTACAGACGAGGGTTTGATAAGTATGAAGAGGTGTCCCGAGTCCATGGTCCCAGGTCGCAGTTGTGCTTCTGTCTTTCGCATGCTTGCATGTGTCTCATTCTGCAGTCATGACTGTCATTTCTCACTTGTACGACCTTCGGTGGGCAGTCTTGGGTGTTTTGCTAGCGGTGTACGTTGGCAAGAAGATTCAAGCATACAACCGGCTCAAAGCTTTCAACGGCCCTTTTATCTCGGGATGGTCTGAAATTTGGCATGTTTTTGCTATTCTGAGCTTCAAGTCCCATTTGAAGTACCATGAGGTGTGCAAGAAGTACGGTACGTCAAACACGCAGCCAGATGTTCTTTGATGCGAAGCCAACGTTTCCCAGGATCTATCGCACGCATCGGACCTAATGACCTGGTCACATCGTCGCCGGAACTTTTGCTGCACATGAGCGCCGTACGGTCACCATACACCCGGACTGAGTGGTTCTATCGAGCTTGTCGCGTACGGCCCGACAAGGATCATGTCTTTAGCGAAATGGATGAAGAGAAACATAAGCAGCTGAGGGCAAAACTAGGTGCTGGGGTAAGCAGGAAAAAGCAAACATCACTTTACTCTATTGACAAGATTATCAGTACTCTGGAAAGGAGAATCTTGCACTGGAAGATTCAGTCGACACCCATGTCTCTGAACTACTCGACCTCATCCGGTCAAAGTACCTCTCAACAGAAGCTTCAGCAAGACCTTTGGACCTTTCTCAAAAGATTCAATATCTGACGCTCGACGTAATCAGCCACATTAGCTTCGGCACTCCCTTTGGTGACTTGAGCTCAGATTCGGATGCCTACGACATTGCCAGGTCAGCTGAGGAAGGCTTGACAGCAGTCACTGCCATCATCGCCCTGGGCCTGTATAAAATCTTGCAGAACCCCTTTGTCGCGCGTTACATTGGTATCAAGGAGACCGACCCCTCGGGGTATGGCAGAATGACTGCCAACGGCAGAGCAATTATCAAAGAACGCCTCTCCCGCGATACGGAGAAGAAGTCTGACATGATCGCTTCGTTCATCAGGCATGGAATGGATGAGGACGACATTGTTTCCGAGGCGACGCTGCAGATGATTGCTGGTTCAGACACAACTGCAGCGTCGCTGAGAGTGGTGATGTTGTACCTCCTTACCCATCCTCGCGTCTATGCCAAGCTTCAAGCTGAAATCGACGCATTCCATGCGGGCAAGCAAGTGCATGAGACTTCAGGTATCATCTCGGACGCCAGTGCCAGGAAGCTAGAATATCTGCAGGCTGTCATCAAGGAAGGCATGCGCGTCCATCCCCCTGTCACTGATTCGGTACCGAAGAGGGTGCCTGATGAGGGCGACACCGTCATAATTGACGGAAGAGCCGTATTTCTCCCCGGTGGAACGAATGTAAACTATGCGGTCTGGCCTCTGCATCTTAGCAAGGACATCTTCGGGGAGGATGCTGAAGAGTTTCGGCCGGAGCGTTGGTTGTTGGAGACGAACGAAAGCAAAATTGCGACCATGAACAAGGTCCATGAGCTTGTGTTTGGATACGGCAAGTACCAGTGTCTCGGTAGGCCAATTGCGATGATGGAGATTGGCAAGACTGTCTTCGAGGTAAGAGAGGAGGATTTTCCACCAAACAATTGGGCTGCTAGCTAACGCTTCTGTAGTTGATCCGGAATTTCGACTGGTGTCTTGCGAAGCCGGACACACCTTGGAGGGAGTCTAACTATGCCGGCATTTTCGCACATAGCAACATGTGGGTACTAGCGTCAGAGCGGCAAAGGGGTTTGGCAAATGTGTGACCAAACATTTTCCATGTTTCTTCCTTTCAATGACGTGCATACGCATGTAGTCTGGGATTTGGCGCTTGGTTGGTTGTTGGTTCTTAACAAGAGATTGGCAAATCAGACCAACTCATTGGCTGCAGCTTCATATTCAACTATCAGTCGCTAATACAAGATTTTTACCCGCCTATTTTCTCTTTCCCCAACTCCAGTGTTGGTCGGGCCTGTGTGCCAGCGCTCTCATATCGGCAAGCTCTTTCGCCTCTGGTCCTTTCTCCAGCAGCAACTGCTCAACGGCCTTCTTAGCATACTCTGCAGCCTTCTCCTTGTTCTTAATTGAGTTATAATTCAATCCAGCGAGTCTGTAAGCTTCGTAGCCGTGGGACTCGTCCAGACGCTCTTGCTCGTAGAGGGTGATTAGCAACTCGATCATGTCCTCCTCGAAGTTGGGAAAGTTCCAATTGCTAAGGTCCTGCTCAATCTGCCACATCCGGTACAGACGGTTGTCTGAATCGCGGATCAAAGGCGGTGGGAGGCTGCAGTGGTTGCAAGTGCAGCCAAAACCCCAGTTGCGCTTCGCGCGGTCCTGGCGAACTTGACGTGAGCTGAGTGAGTCCACGTAAGAGATTGTGAGCTCTTCGCCGGGCTTGATGTCTCTGACGGCATGGGTGTAGTGCCGGAGATCCGAGTCGATGTAGAAGGCGACGCTGACTTGGTTAGACAACATGTAGTACACCGGGCAACCGACGGGTGACACTCACTTTGGTCTACAGTCATGATTATATCGAGAAACCTCGGGGTAATTCCCGAAGTGATGACCATCCCTGATGCCAAGCCTCAGTTCAAACGAGTTGGTATGGATGATATCATGAACCTTGTGGCCACCAGATTGCCCCATCTGTTCCATGAAGATCTTGCGGGTGTCTTCGGGTAGGTGGCTGATGGCGACATCAAGAAGTCTGTACTGGTTCTCCAGATCAACGTCATCAATGAACCGCCGATGAATGACAACAGCTGGAGGATGAGCCATGATGCGTTGTCCTCTCTTGATGTGCTGATTTGCGATGACTCCCAGTCCTTTCCCCGGCATCTCGACGATGCGAAAAAGGTTACTGTCACCCTGTTCCTCATCTCGCGCTGGCTTCGTGAAGGCCGATATATGCGACGCCTCTTCGGCATTGTACGCCGTACTCACGAGTACGATTCCGCGGCCATTCGCAAAAGACGGTCGCGAATACGCGCAGTAAGCACCCGCGCAAGAGTGAGGACCATGCCACCCTTCGTCCGAACGCCAGATGTCCTTCTTGGGCTGCTTAGTCGTCCGGTTGTTGGCGATTCCGACGAGGGAAGGTGCTTGCGCCGACCAGATCGAGCCCTTGCCACATGCCAGTGAATAGTCGGGGAACAGCGGGCTTGCCGCACAGAGATCAGGGATTGGAACTTGGTTTTTGAGGTGGTGTTTCTGCGCGACTGCACAGAATGCCCAAGAGGCGAGCAGCAGAAACGGCTTCATGATGAGTACTCAGGAGTGTGATTGAACAGAGATGGAATGAGAAAGAAACTGACGTTACTTGAGGGAAACTGTTAGAGGCAGTCGGGAGGTTCTTGGTGCGGCGGCCTCGATGTTTCAAGGATGCGTTTCAAGATCTCCGCACCAAGGTCCGTGGGTGGTTGTAGTTCCTGAGCTTATTGCACACCTTAAAAAGAGCTGCCCCTAGAACGTTACTAAAACTTGCTGGGAAAGTTACACTCCACAGTCAAAGCTACCTCTGCACCGAGAGCAAAATCGGGGAGCCGGTCAAACTGCTGAGCGGGGTTGTCAAGGCCTGAAACCAACTCCTTGAGACCCGGATTTTTGTCTCCTCATACCACGCAGGGTGAGAGAACGATAAAGGCGATGATTAGAAGTTTTCAATTGATAGCGCAGCAACATTCTTGACCTTTTTTGACTAGAGTTGCTGGGTGTCGACCACTTCGATTGAGCTCAGCACAATGACTGAAACAAACGCACTATAATTTTTCAACGCATGTATCAAGCTTGTCTTACCTGATTGAAAGTTGCAGTGCTGCAGGCTCTCACAAGACGTTGTGGCAAGTGAGTCGTCTGCAGGGACTGCAGTATGTAGACTGCCGGTTGGTGACAAGTGCCCTTCACGAGGCTTGCTGAAAATGGAGCTTTGCTATCCGGGGGCGGGGGTACTGTATAGAAGGTGACCAAATTGTATGAGGGTTATCCTCAATGTTAAGATGTTCGCTGTCGCAATTATACGCGTCGTTGTCGTCATCGTTGTTGTCATTTGAACTGAAGCGACTGCAAGTTGCCTTTCGCTGAGGTACCACAGCTCGGCGGCAAGTAACCAGTAAGTATCTTGTTCATTATCAGTACCTGAACATCACGGCTGTCAATAAGACAACCTCTCGTTGTCGTCGGCTGGTATATAGTAGTAAGGACCCCGTGGATCCGACCAAAGCTCGTCAGGATCCAATCCCAGCCTCTCTGCGACCATCTCTGTTGCTTCCCGCCTCGCCTGGATGGATCTGGCAACTAGGGCCTTGTCTTTTTCTTGCTCCTCCCAAGGAGCGTAAAGATTGATGTTAGCAGCTCCAGACAGTCGGTGCAGTCTAGACACGAGCCATTGGAAAGTGATAAGCTCCCAGTTGGGGACTTTCTGGGGATCCTCGGACCAGATGGTGAAGGTGTGGCCGTTCTTCAATGGGACTGCGCCGTCGAGCTCGTTCTCGTGATCCCAATACTTCCACATCTGGCGTGGGTCTGCATCCATTGTGGGAGGACTGTCGTCAAACCCTCCCATTTTGGTTTTCTGGAGCCAATGAAACCGAAGTTCGATCCCATGCATGGGCTTCTTCTTGCTGGCAAACTTGGTCTCCTTGCCTCTCTTGTCACCTTTGGCAGTGACCTTTTTATGCGGCGGTTCGTCTTTAGCTGCCTCAGCACCTCTCTTCACAGCAGATGGCCCCGTCCCAGGCTTCTCCTCAGCAACGGGCTCTTGAATAGTCACATATTCATGTCGCTGGCGAACAGGCTCGAGGCCGAATACCCTGTTGTTCCACATCTTGCGAAGCGAGCTGCTCAGAGTGATCATGTTTGCAGGGGAGTCCAGTAGATCGAAATCACCAGGTGCAGGCTTTTCGCCTCCTGAAGCCTTCTGATTCAGGATTTCCATCAGTTTGTGCTTGAGATCTATGCCCAGAATGGCCCCGAGAGGTTCGACTACGTTGGCCTGGATTTCCGAGCGTCGCGAAAGTGAGGAGAATGGGAACACATGGCAATCCTCGTAGCTACTCTGGTGGGTAAGAACACATCGGAAACCGTCTCGGCTTAGGGCCTTTGAGCAGGTTAGCATAGGGATCGAGAATGACAGAATCATAGAAACTACATACCGCCTCCCTCTGCGCATTGCTGCGCACTAAATCTAGCTCTTTTGTTGACATTTGGGTCTGGCTCACTGCAAGATGTCAGTCATGCGAAGAGCGCGCGATCGGTGATGTCGATAGACTCACTCCACCATATCACTTCACCCACGTTGCGGACAGCCATCAGGAAAGCGCTGAGCCTGTCCTCTTTCTCTTTCGCAGCCCCAGTGCGCATAAAACGTTGAAGTGCGACGAGTTCGTCCCAATTCATGGTCAACAGTACCGCCCAGCAATTCGCAGATGTGACCGTCTTTCTATTATGAGCCCAGGATAACATTCTTTCGAGGTTCTTGTCGTGGCGGATGGTGTGATGAAAGCTCCTCATCACCTCGCGTCTTTGCTCCAAGGTAGCTTTGCCGTCGTCTAGATAATCGATGCGACCGTCCATGATTTGCAAATTGTCTCGGAAACAGTCGACGAGTTCGTTGCCCTTACTAGGGATGGATGGCGGGTTGTGTCTCATTTTGTTGTGTCTCGTAGGCGTGTCGGAGATCAGAGTGATGAGATTTCCGAAACCAATGAAAGTGTTGCGCCAAATACCTTGAAGGCCCTACCTTGAAAAGACCTCTTTGATACGCAAACACCCTGTGAGTCCAGACTGAAATTTCAAAGCCAAGCTTAGTCGTTAGAATTTCCGGTTTTCGCCGCCGTTGTCGTCTTCATCGCCGTCATTGTCGTCACTGTCGCTGCTGTCCCACCTAGTCACCATCCGCCCGAATAGCAGAACTCCTGCCAAAGCGGATCTCCTTCCTGCTATCACAACTTTTTTTTTCTAATCTACTGTGATCTCATATCTCAATTGAGTAAGGCGAGGTTATGTGGAGCGTTCCTGCTGTCGAACCGCTCGTGCTGCAGCCTCGAGATCGTCTCTGACGAAGTGGTCCCGGGCATTGAGCGGCACCTCCAAGACCTCTTTTCTCCCTAAACTTACGACAGATATATAATCTACGAGACTTTTACACCGCTCCATAGTTGATTAAGAACCAAGCACGCTTCCCACGGTTCGGTCTTCTATTGGATGTGAGGCCCTAGGTACGTTCCGTTCGACGTTGGCTTGGGATGAAAGACTCTGCATTGAATGAGGTTTGGCAATTGTTTGTGATAAACAGCACAGCCTTAGGCCGTAGATGACTTGAGAAATGTAGGGCAACGCTCTTGTTGAGGTATTTGAGTACGGTCTACAGGTTGCGAGACATTTTGAACGGGTTCATAGTACACAAATTTGGAGTACTGTGGATGAAGCCTTCAAGAAGATGGCTGAGAGCTAGAGCCCGAATTCATATTGTTAACGGCACAGAAATGGAAAAGAATCTGCTTTCGACAGGCTGAGAACTAGGCAAGACCTGTTGAGATTTCTGATTGTTCTTGTCATATAATAGTTGTTATCAGCCGTGATAACAATCATCATGGAACGATGTATGGACGATTTCAATCCTTCGCGCATTTAGTCATTCAACTCTTGACTATTCGATTATGATTTCCTCTAATGTACCAAAAATGTCCTCAATATCGTCTGACTGCCATAGAATTTGCATAAGCCCATATCGTTGGTAAAGTATCTCCCCCCTTTTCTGCAATAGTAGCCCAATGTACCATTCGTCATCATCCGCAACTAAGCCCAATGGTAACCATTGTATGCTAAGACCTTCATCTAAACCCGCTAGAAGGGATTCGTATAGTGTGTCATGTTGATTTGAGCGCTGAGCATCCACATAACCAAACACTTCACCATTAATCCCCTTCCCCCGCCTGTCCTTGGTAGAGGCGATGAGTTCATTGTTTACTCTTTGTAGGAAGACAACAATCACTGGAGCTCTGATGTAAAGTCTAGAATCCATGCCTTCCGTCAAGGACATATTTTCGCGGTGTACAGGGAACAGTGGTGGCCGCTGTGGGTGATCGTCACGGACGAACCCAGCATCTTCGATTCGACGAAAATTGACCGGGCAATTTGATGCCCAGCTCCAAGTGGGAAACTGGGTCTGCACATGCTTTGGTGGTCGCATCTTCAGGTCCAGCTCGTCGCGATCCATCAGATCTTTACACGCATGGTACCATGCAAGTCCCTGTGCAATGCTATTTCGGAACACGCCATGAAAATATTCAGCCCCACAGCGTTGGACAAGTAAGCTCGCAATTCCATGAATGGCGTAAATGCGGTCCCTTTCGTACGTCAGTTGCTTCGAGGAATAGGTGGAGATAAGCTGATACCAAACATAGGCGAGGACTTCGTCGTCTGGCATTGCTAGAGCATCTCGGGGCTGAGTGTACCAGGATGCATCTCCTCGATCTTCCAATTTCTAAAGCCTGCCTTCAATAAACTTGGAGCTTTGACATTCGAGATAAACACCATTCAAAGTCCAGTGTATTATACGTTGAGAAAGCATCAATTCCTGGACGTACCATCCGCGTTCCATCAGCGGTGATGTGCAGAGCACATTCTTCAGATTCTCTTCCGATTCTCAGCCCTTCAAAAGGACTGATTTTGAGATTGTGCTGGATGTGAGTTTCAAAGTGACGACGCGTGGGACAGGAAATCTACCCAGTGGTCGTTGGGTGAGAAAGCCTTCCGAGCTATCGCGCGCCAACGAGGCTGATATGCAACATTGCGCGTTGGCATAGTAGTCTCTCATCCTCATGGCTTCTAGTTTGAAGTCTCCAGGATCGTCTTTTGTGGCTTGGACAATGCACATTGCATCGACCCAAAGGTATCGAAAACCCATCATTCTCGTCAGCAGGATTGCATCCCTTATTGTCTTAGGCAGCATTCTCGTGGATAATCCGCATAAACGGCTTTCCAGATTATCTCGGGTTGTTTTAGTGCTCTCGTGACTATGACCCCAGCAGTAACTAAGAATCAAATATGGATGGGTGACTGAATTGTGGTCCGTTTCGATAAGCCGAATTGAATCATCCTCAGCTTCGCCGATATCAATCAGTCGTTTTGGGAAGACCGTGGTGTCACCCGAAAGTCCACAGTGACTATGGTTCTCTTGACGCTCATAACAATCCTTCATCCATGGTAGGATTTGGCCTTTGACCAGTTCTCTCAAGTCGCCAAGAATAGTTCCCGGAGAGAAACCTACATATAAGACACAAACATGAGTGTATAGTCTCGTAATGGAACCTCCTGAACTTACGGTATACTTGCCGTTCCTCCAACATCTCCGACGCTTCCCGTCCGTCGGTTGTCAAGCGGGCGAAGGAGATGTAGGCAGAGAGCTCAACTAACGTGCCTTTCGCTATCAATTTTATGAAAAGCGAACGTGTGGAAGTATCAACCATCATTGAAAGTGATGCGTCGAAATGCAACATGATTTTCTCTTTTGCAACATTTTCGCTGTTAATAATGCTACACCAGAAGAACTGACAAAGTGTACAACCTGTAGCGGCTGATTCTTCAAGTCGACCAAACGTTTTGTGGGGTGGATCTGGCCAGTAATTCACCCAATCGGCAATTGGGAGTTGCGGCCATTCAAAAAGTTGGCATGAAGCGCATAACTGCACAGAGCCTATCCCAGTGGTTGTGGTGGACATAGTAGCTTCGTCCTCTGAGGAAATGTCGCCAATACAGGTTGGGCGGGATGACAAGTGGTGAGCAAGTGTGCTAGGATGCTGTATGAGGGCGAGTCGCTACACATGATATAACGTAGACGCGAGACTTCGCATCCCCACTTGCAATGTGCGTTGTCAACACCGCCGCATTCGTTGCTATATCTTCTTATCTGAGCGCATGAGATGACACATTCTGGATCATTTAACTTGATAAAGGCATTGGTCGTTGGAGTCAATGATTGGAGTCTGCGAAGCTTGTGCCTGTGGGAAAGGTACCGTGCAGGAGCTGCGACATTTAATGCTCCAATCAGCTATGCTACCGCAAATATTCCGTCAAGTGGTTGCGGTTCTGACATGTGTTAGGCCCAAAGTCGAAGTGCCCCTCATTGCAAGAGTTTGGCTATTCGTGCGGATACTGCTGACAATCCCGATAGTAATCGATGATGACAATGTCGATGATAGCGATAACAACAACAGTGGCAATACTAAAGATATTAAAGAAGAAGGCGAGGAATCCTCAAAATAAAGACTGATTAAATAACTAACATAGGCAGTGATCCGCCTAAGTAGAAAACCTTTTGCCTGGCATCTTAGCATATAGCACCATGATTCACTAGCCCAGATGAGTTAGCTGAATGTGAAGGTAAATCGAAACGAGGCTGGCATTATACAAGCCTCTGCTTAGAACGGTCCGTGGGAGGCTTTCTTGCATGTCGACAAATTTGCACCTGGTGGTCTATGTTTCGAACTCGACAGTGACGTTGACCCCAACGGGACGGCCCGTGTCGACCAACCTGGCCTTCAACTCTTTCGCCCTTTCCTCCTTACCAGCAACCTCACCGATCTCTAGTCTCAGCTCTTTCAAAGAGAGCGGCCGACTCTCCAAAAAGTCCATGATCTTCCATTCCAGAGTCTCCCACCTCGCCACCTCGGCATCATCGTTTTCACGATTGAGATCATCCCACTGATATTTCCACCAGAAAGACATCTCATTGGTAATCGTAAGCACCTCAAGGCTTTCTGGCAAAACATCGATGATATCAGCGGTGCCTTGCGTCTTCCAGCCAAGAAGAACGGGTAAGGAAATATTCAGGTGAACCAGGCTGGTGAAATCTTCCAGCGAACCAATCGAACCGCGGATGCCCCAGGGTCCTGGCCCGCCACAGTCGATGGCCGTTGACGACCACAAGGTCAATGACAGTGATAGTTCCTTGAGTGATTCCTTTAGAGGTGCCAGAGCAGTTTGCAGGTTTTCCATGTTGAGCCATTCTTTCGCGCAGTCGGCGTCGATAGCGATATCGACTCTCAAGACTTCGAGAGTTGGGGAATTTCGAATGATTGTGGCAATGTTGTCTTCTGTGAGTTGGCATCTTTTCAAGACTAATCTCTTCAGTGTCGGTGCGGTAAGCAATGAAATCGGCTTAATCGGCTTTCCGCCGTCATCCACTCTGTGCAGCTCAAGCGTCTTGATCGAAGGCAGGCTGAAGAAAGGCAGAATGGATTCTGGGTAGATGCAGTATCCGAAATCCTTCGCAAGATCACCGTCGGGGATCGGTATGCTAAGTTGGAGTGTTTCAAGGCTGTTGAGAACGGAGCTGTTGTTGGAGGAGTATATGAGCTGCCCTAAGGTGCACAGGAATTGGTCCCGGGGAGGGCGAGCTTTGCCTCCGTCATCGTGACTGGCTCGGTCAAAGGTCTGTATCTCCAGACTTATCGCTGATGAAAGATGAGACACGATAGCAGCTATGGCATCTGGTAGTTCAAGCCCTCCAGTTGCTTCGCCTTGCACGTTGGCGAGCCATGATCCGAGAACAGCTCTTTCCTCCTCGTCGAAGTTCTTGCTGCAAAATTCTCGTCCGAGGCGCTGTGTGGTTCGCATGCCCCGCAGAGTCACGCTTCTTATGTTGTTGATTCGCGCGGCATTTCGAACAATAAAGCGCATTTGACTGATGATCTTGGGTATCGAGCCATCATTCCAATCCCAGCAAAGTTCATCTTCGATATGTGTCGTCATTTTAGGCCTCGTGGTACTTTAGTGTTTTGTTTGTGGTGATTGTGAATGCCCCATAACGAAGTTACCCCAGGGCGCGAGTGGACGCATTCAGCCCTGTACCTTATCCGTCATGTTGGGTAGAATCCCCTGTAAATTTAGTTGCTGACTGGCTACGGGATGCCATCAAACACCCGCTCCATCTAGGTCGGCCAAGTGCTGTCGGCTGGGCGGTCTGGCTTGCCAGATGGGCCGTGCATTGAGGACCCTCCAAAAGAAATCCGGCGATAATTCCGTCCAAGACCACCGACATTCCGTCAACCCGTCCTGATGCTCTCAGCCGCGCATAGTTTCTGTCAATACGCGCCAAAGGAAGCCACTGTGGCGGGCAACACGGGCTAGTCCCGGATTCAAAGCAGTAACACGACTAATGCGAAGTATCATGGCGATGACATCCCAGAAGCCGAGGATTACGAGGCCCTCGTAACGTCGAAACCCCACGCCCATCTCCACGTGCATTGCCTACGTATCGCGCGCCGAACACGGCCATCCCGAACCAGCGAGGAATCCTTCTTTGCTGCTGCCATTCGTCGTGAGTGGGCGATGCAATTCTCTAGGACTGTTGCGAAAGGTCGTCAGCCCCCGGCGGCGTTCCGGCAATGGCTGAAATCTCCGTTTTTGAGTGCCGTTTGCTGAGGGAAACGCCGCCGGGGTGGCTTGACACTCCTTTCGGACACCATCCCAGCCACACAGGATGTGATATAAACCTTTCAAGTCCTTCACAGTTTGGGGAGTGATGTCTCACTGGTGCAGTCTACCTTTCCAACATGTCTGATTCCAAGAAAAGCATCAGCTCTGAGACGGACGAGTCTCTTTGCGACAGCCCTCCTCCCTATGAGCTTCACTCATCCGGCGCGCTTCTTTCTAGCGCCGCAGCCATATCTGGTAGGTTCATCGCTGCCATGTGGTGTTTCTTACTAACCATCAACCAGCCGATGGTCAGGTCAACATCAACTTCCAGTCGGAGGATCCTGAGAAGCTTGCGGAGGAGCTTCCACCCTTCCCAGATGATGACGATGCCACTGCGCCGACATTCAACCATAAAACGGTTCCTCCTCTCAATGTCGTGATTCAAGTGGTCGGCAGTCGTGGTGAGTGGAAGGCATCCTCATCAATTGGAGACGACAGTTATTGAACTGCTGCAAATTAGGCGATGTCCAGCCCTTCATTGCTCTTGGCACAGCTCTTCGCAGATACGGCCATCGCGTACGGCTTGCAACCCATGATACATTCGCCAAGTTTGTGACGGACTCTGGTCTGGAGTTCTTCCCTATTGGCGGTGATCCGGCAGACCTGATGTCGGTATGTTAAACCATTATCATCGGTATGGTGTTTCCATCATTGACCACATCATAGTACATGGTCCGCAACCCCGGACTGATCCCATCAATGGAATCACTAAAGGGCGGTGACGTTGGACGGAAGCGCACCATGATGAAAGAGATGCTTCACGGATGTTGGCGATCTTGCATCGAGTCTGACCCCATCAGCAAGGAACCATTCGTCGCAGACGCCATCATCGCCAATCCTCCAAGTTTCGCCCACGTTCACTGCGCTCAAGCATTGGGCATACCCGTCCACATCATGTTCACCATGCCATGGACTGCCACCCGCGCCTTTCCGCATCCGCTCGCCAATATCCAACGTGGCGATAATCTCGAACCACAGACAACCAATTGGCTTTCCTATGGAGTCGTTGAGTTGATGACATGGCAAGGCCTCGGCGACGTGATCAACTCGTGGCGACGCAAAGACCTTGAGCTCGCACCGATACCAGCAAGTATGGGCCCAGGCATCACCACTTTTCTGAAGATCCCGCACACCTACTGCTGGTCACCTGCCGTTGTCTCCAAACCTGCTGATTGGGGTCCGGAAATCGACGTCTGTGGATTCTTCATGAGAGACGAACCCTCGTTCAACCCGCCATCCGACCTAGACGCCTTCCTCGCATCAGGCCCCCCTCCCCTCTATGTAGGATTCGGCAGCATTGTGGCGGATGACCCCGCCCGACTGACAGACGTTATCATCGCAGCAGCAAAAGCTTGCAATACTCGCGTGATCATCTCTCGGGGATGGAGCAAGCTCGGCGAGGGGAAGCCTAATACGGACGACGTCTTTTATCTAGGCGATTGCCCGCACGAGTGGCTATTCAAACGGGTATCAGCAGTGGTTCACCATGGAGGAGCAGGGACAACAGCGTGCGGCCTCACCAACGCCAGACCAACCATCATCGTGCCCTTCTTCGGTGACCAGCCATTCTGGGGTCGAGTCGTTGCCGGTGCAGGTGCCGGGCCTCTGCCAATTCCTCAGAAGGAACTCAGCGTGGAACGCCTGACCGAGGCAATCCAGTTTTGTTTATCCCCAGCGGCGAACCAGGCTGTGAAGCAAGTAGCTGACATTATGCGACGGGAACGAGGAGTGGATGCTGCTGTCGAGTCTTTCCATCGCAACATACCTGCCGCCAGCCTTCTTTGCGACATGCTGCCTGGACAGCCCGCCGCCTGGATGTACGAGGCAAAGAGCAAGTCAGGCCGCAAACATCTCAAGCTTTCAAACCAAGCCGCCACTTATTTGATCGACGCGAAGAAGATCAAATCTTCCGACTTGAAGCCCCTCCGAACGAAAGAGTACAACACCGACGTCACGCGATGGGACCCCATTACCGGCGGTGCGTCGTCACTCCTCGGGACGGTGACCGACTTCACCGTCGCGTTGGGCGGCACTTTCATCGACCCATGGAAGGAGTATAAGCGCTCCAGAGCTTCTGGTCACGAGGCTGGACGGGCCAGTGGTTCAGCTGCCTTGGCTGCTGGGAAGGGATTCGCCTCTATGACGGGAGCTGTCGCCAAGGGTGGTCTTGTAGACATGCCACTTGCGCTCACGGAAGGTCTGCACAACGTTCCGAGGCTGCTCGGTGACAAGCCTCGAGACAATGGCAAGGTGGAGGATTGGAAGAGCGGTGGCGTCGTAGCTGCAAAGGTGAGTCAAGCCGTCGTCCAGAATCAATTTGGGCCGCCTCTAACTTGATGTCAGACCTTTGGAACCGGCTTCTACGACGGCATCACCGGTGTCTTCACCGATCCCTACAAAGGTGCAAAGGAAGGAGGGGCTCTCGGCCTGATGAAGGGTGTCGCCACAGGCTCCCTCGGTCTTTTTACCAAACCAGGCGCCGGTAAGTAAACAAACTTCGTTATCCTCGAATATGTCGGTCAGAGCTGACCCGTGATGACCAGGGATGTTCGGGTTGGTGGCATACCCAGCACAGGGAATTCATAAATCCCTCAAGTCGAGGACGGGACGCGGGCATACGGTGTGGCAGGCAAAGTCTGACCTTCTGGACCGTGACCGGCGGAAGCAGCGCGAGGATTCCCCCCGCGCCGGAAGCAAGGTCCTGCAGGTGTTTGATGCCTACTTTGCGCAATAAAGTCGCATGCGGAGTGTATCATTTGGGGCGGCCACTTAGACAATAGCATTACCAAGCGATTGGGTTTCTACTGCATGGATTTTCTAGCTTGCTTGGCGTATCTAAATGTACTTGGTGGTTCCATGCATGTGAGAGACATTGGTATGGGACAAGACGGGTAGAAGATCAGTGAGAAGATGGGGCGCTTGATCGAATACAGGCTCAAATGGAAGCTCTCTGATGGCTCAATGCCTAACGAGTTCCACGAGAGTAAAAGGGCTCGGAACGAATAGTGCGCATGGAACGCTTCTGGCTGACCGGTCGGAAGAGAACGCGACAGATACGTCAGGAACAGAGGACGAACCGTCATTCCATGACCACCCACTTGCCACCAACCACCTCACAGCTGAAAGACGAGGCAAAAACAAAGAAACAAGCATGAACCGATGGCAAAAGTCCGTCGGGCTGCAACGAGAAACAAACAGAAAAAACAAAAAGCGGGTTCTCCACCTCCGGGACCCCGGTCCCGAGAACCTTGATGTCCCGGGCTCGGGCGGGGTTTGAGAACCCGGAGGGCCGTTGCCGACTCAGCCTCCCATACTCAAAGACCACTTCCACCCTCACCACCCTCGAGCTCGAAGCCAACACGACTTTAGCACCTCTTGGCCGTGGGGTCTTTCGCCTTGGCTACCATCTGTTTTCTTCCCCATTGGCCAATGGGGACTACATCCCTCCAGCGTCAGTCATGATCGTGAGCTTGGCGTTGAGCTTGCCCGCTTTGCTTGGCAATCACCCGACAGCTCGACTAACACAACCTCGCAGATGCCAAGATGGACGATATTGTTCGCGAAGGGCAGTCATGACCGAGAATGAGCTTGAGAGGTAACTCCACATGGGCGAAATATTGGCACTTTGTCAATCGAAGAAACGAAAAAGCTTGCTTGTGAGCTCCGGAGGAGGGGCTCGTTGGGAGGGCTACGGTGGTCTGGACGGCGGAAGATGGCTGGCGATGACTGCATACCCGCGGCGCATGTCGTTGCCCGATCAGCACATACGGCCGGGAGGGATGATGGCAGGGCATGACGAACGACGACCGACGAACCCACGCGAGCAGCAAACCCCTCATGGGCAAACAGCTAGCTCGCGTCTTGGCTCGACATGTCGAAAGAATCCTCATTGGCGTCCCAAAGCAACGGAACTAATCTCTCGATGAAAAAGAATTTTCCCTCGCAGCATCCCGCAGCTATAAAAGACCACCCGCATACCTCCCCATCACCAACTCTCGAAGAAGCTCCAAGCTCAAGCTGTTTCCCAAGCTCCTAGCTCACCTCAACTACATCAGCCCTTTCAAGCTCCTTGAACCAACCCTCCAAACACCTTCAAGATGATGTACACAACCCTCACCGCAGCCATGCTGCTCCTCTCCGGCGTCTCGGCCTCTCCCCTCGCCGTCCGCCAGGAGACCACCACCACCACCCCCTCCGCCTCCGTGCCCACCCCGGCCGAGCCCTACTCCTGGTCCAAGGACTGGCAAAAGACCTTCCCCATCCACCAGTCCTGCAACGCCACCCTCCGCGCCCAGCTCGAGGTCGCCCTCGCCGAGACCCAGTCCCTCGCCGCCCACGCCCGCGACCACATCCTCCGCTTCGGCGACGCCTCCGAGCACGTCCGCAAGTACTTCGGCAACGCCTCCACCGCCGCCGCCGTCGGCTGGTACGAGCGCGTCGTCTCCGCCGACAAGTCTCCCATGACCTTCCGCTGCGACGACCCCGACCGCAACTGCGCCACCCAGTCCGGCTGGGCCGGCCACTGGCGCGGCGACAACGCCACCGAGGAGACCGTCATCTGCCCGCTCTCCTTCGAGATCCGCCGCCCCCTCTCCTCCGTCTGCGGCCTGGGCTACAACGTCGCCAACTCCAAGCTCAACACCTTCTGGGCCACCGACCTGCTCCACCGCGCCTTCCACGTGCCCACCGTCTCCCTCGGCCAGGTCGAGCACTACGCCGAGGACTACGCCGAGGTGCTTGACCTCGCCAAGAACAACGCCAGCCTGAGTGTGATTGACAGCGACGCGCTGCAGTACTTCGCCATCGACGTCTGGGCCTACGACATCGCCGCCCCCGGCGTCGGATGCTCTGGTGAGCTCGAGGAGGAGCACGACCACGACACGCCTGCGCCTACCACCACCGCCGCCACGCCCGCCGCGACCACCTCCAGCGCTCCTCAGGAGTGCCACACCCACGCCGACGGCGTCGAGCACTGCACCTAAGCGTTAGTAGAACGAAAAAGGAAAGATGGTTGAAGAGTGTGTTGAGTGAGGAAGGAATGAGAGAGAAAACAGCCCCCCTTGCATGCCGGAACGATACCACTGGATTCATGATGTTAGACGAATATTTGGGAAAGAAACACAAATACCTTTTCGGGGAGGATGACTTCTTAATGATGCATAGAATAGACGAACACCCTCATTATTTATACCAATCAATAATAGTAGTGGCATATTTACTGTCAAAGAACCAGACCCTTTGCTTTCCATTGTCTTTTGTAAATGCCTTGTTTAAACCAACATAACCCGGGCGATCTCCCGCCGTGATTGAACCCTTTCTTGAACCAACACACTCCTGCACGCCTCTGTCAAGCCAAGCCAAGCGCGTCCGCACTGCCTGTGTATGCTTTTGTGTCATGACATGAAACCAATCATTATCTTGAATGCCAGTGCTCCAACAACTCTCTACGCTATGCAAACATTTTACTCCGCAACCAGGCCTTCCAAAACATTCATAGCCTTGGTGCCCTCGTTCTCAAACTTGCTGACCATGGCCTCGCACTCCTGACGCAGCCTCTCCTCGGCCTGGTTCGCGTTGAAGTGGATCCACTCCTCAACCGTCATCCTCTTCTCCGGGCTGGTGAGCTCGGTGCCCTTGTGCAGCAGCCTGTCAACAGCATTCCTCTTATCCGACTTCTCGGGCGACCCAAAGATGAGGTCGATATCGACCGGGTTCCAAGGCGTTGTACTCTGGAGACTAGCCAGAACCTTGCGCTTAGTCGGTGAGTTGGGGCGCGCCGGCGTGGATGAGGGTGCTTGCATCACACGCTTCTTTGCGGTAGCAGATCTTGAGGAAGGCGGCTGGTTCTCTGCGTCGGAGGATTGAGGAGATGGCGAGGGAGAAACAGCTGGTTGACGAGCTGACTGAGCAGGTGAAATACGCGGAGCCGCTGTTTGTTGTTGAAGGCTGCGACGTGTCGAGGGGGCAGCAACCACTGGGGAAGAGGATGCAGGTGGAAGGCTCTTCTTCTTCGGCTGCTGCTTGGGTTGAGGTGTTGGCTCGGGGGCTTCTGACTCTGGCTCCTCCTCTTCATCTTCTTCTTCTTCGCCCTCCTTCTCATTTTGGGGCTCATCTTCATCCTCTGCCTCATCATCTTGCGGCTCAGCTGGCGCTGGCGTCTGGCGCGCCGACGCAAATGATTGCCTTGCGGAGACCTCGTCAACTTCGTCCGCCTCCTCTTCGTCCTGCTCAGGCACTTCCTCTGCCTCAATTTCAGCCTCGGGTTCAACTTCGGGCTCAGACTCGACCTCGGGTTCGGGCTCGACGACTTCTTCAGGCTCGACTTCAGGTTCAGCAACTGGCTCTGGTTCAGCCTCAGGCTCAGCCACTTCAGGCTCAACCATATCAACCTCCTCTGTCTTGCTAGCCTCAAGGGAAGCACGCAGTTCAAGCGACTTCTTGGACGGGCGGCCGCGCTTCCTGCCGGTGCTGCCGGTGCTGGTGCGGCTGCTGGTGCTCATGCGGGCGTTGTTGGTAGTCTTCGTGATGACAGTAGCAGTGCTGATCTCGTCCTCCTCTGGGTCAACGCGCTCTTCAGGCTGGGCTGGCTCAACTGGCGCTTCCGGTTCGACTGCCATGGACAGCTCGTCTTCCTCGACAGGAACTGGCGCAGCCTTGGCCTTCTGAGCCTTGGTCTGCTTCGAGACCTTGCGAGGGCCAGCTGCCTTTCGTCCCTTCTTGGGAACCTCGAGGACTTCGGGCTCGTCGATGGTCATCTCGGCCTCGAGCTGCTTCAACTCCTCGTCGACGGCTGCTTCGTCGGCCACGTACGGCTCGGCATCGAACATTTGGCTGTCTGCCCGCTCAGGGCTGGCCGCTTCATCTTGGGGCACATGGGCCTTCTTCGTCTTTGGCTTCGGAGCAGGAACCTTTTGCCTTTCGGAATCAGAGTCTTGCATGATGTCCTCGTCATCAGTCAAGGGACGCTCCAAGTCTGCCTCGAGTTGTCGTTGAATCTCGTCATCTTCTTCGGGGAAAGCACCAGGCGCAGCTCTTAATGAGGCAGTGGAAGCCGTTGACTTGAGCGACTGTCCCGAAGCCTTTCGCGTCCCCTTGGTACCGGACGCACGAGCGGTCTTGCGGCCCTTGGGTGCTTTTGCAGGTGCCGGCGCATCAGCAATACTAATGTCTTGTTGCGATTGGTCAATGACGGAGCTGTCTGCAGCAGCCTTGCGACCACGCGGCGCGCGTTTTTTCGGTGCGGGTGCCTCGGAGACGGTCATCGCAGATTCGTCCGCTTCGTCGCTTGTGCGCTTGCGACCGCGGGCGGGCTTGGGGGGTGGTGCTGGGTCTTCTGCCTCCATAGGCTCGCTCTCTACAACCTCGACAGGCTCGTCCTTCTTCGCCTTGGTCTTCCTGCCCTTCGCCGTTGTCGTGGCCTTCTTGGCCCTTGATCCCTTTTTGCCAGGCATTGAGGCGGTCGTCAAAACGCTGTCGTCCACCTCGGCGGCGGCGTCGGTAAGAGTAGTGATATCTGATGCTGCTGTCGCTACGGATTGAACGGACAATCGCGCCGCCGTCTTGGAGCCTCTAGCTGCCTTGGCCCTTGGCTTCTTGGTTGCGCCGTACTGTTCCACGAGGGCAAAAAATGGGCATTCCGGTGATCGGTTGCTATGCTCGTCCCTGCGGATGTCAGATAAGTCCATAAAGGGAGAAGGCAAGACACTAACCAAGGCTTGTCACCCTGTTCCCACCCGTCTAATGCCAGGTCGCAGTAGGTACACGTCGCCATGTCATCGTATTCCAGGGAAGGCGTGTACTTCCATCCGGCCTCCGCAAGCTGTGAATGGTCAGCGCATGAATCAAGATGCAGGTGCAACGCGACTTACCTGCTTAGTCTTGCACTTCCAGCCTCTCTTGCCATCATGCGGCCAGCGCCCACCGAAAGTCTCCTTCCTCGCGTTGATCATGCGGGTGCTGGAAGGATCCTCCGACGCGAGGTTGCCCACGTTCGCTTCAATGCCGGCAACAATAGCCCACCCACAGTTAGGAGCGTGCTTAACATGCTCCTCCAGGGCATTGTCGCCTTCTTCCCACCCATCGAGGGACTTATTGCATAAAAAGCACGCGACATTATCGGGGTTCTCGGGAAACGGACGCCATACAAAACCTGCTTTCGCGAGCTGGTCCAAGTTAGCGCGCGTCTTCCTTCTCGATATCTCCTCCTGAATTCAAACGTACGTCCTCGGGCAAAAGATATTTTGCGTGCGGCCATGTCAGGTTCTTCGAGGCGCCTTTCCCTGCGCCAGATGCGCGTCGTTTCGGTTGAGGGAAGGATTGTTTGAAGGAGGCAAGACGGCCTTCGAATGTGAAAAATTCCGCGGGGACCAAGCCTTCGAAAGACATGGCGGGTATGATTTGGTATGGTGTGTCTGGGGAAGGTCGAATTTGGTGAAGGTATGAATGTCGCGATCAGGGACGCGAAGCGTTTGCGAAGGGGTGAAGGGGCGGCGGCGCGTCGATCGCAGAAAGCAAATGTTAATCGCAGCAAAAATGCATTAGGACCGTGTGGGTTCGAGTGTTAATCGCGTCGGCCGTGAGAGAGAATAGGAATGCTGGAGCTGCGAAGGTTAGTAGCGAGTTGTTGTTGAATTGGTGTCGAAAAGCGCAATGACGGCGTCGGCCGTGATAAAAGCGAGGGACGGGAGTGTGCCGGGCGTGGGCTGGATCGGCAGAGCCCCAATCGCATTGGCTAGATCTGTCGCGTTTGTTTACATTCAGCTTCTGCTGTTCCCGTTGCTAGCGGCAGGAGTTGGGTGGGTCCGGCGGGGTGTGGCTGACGGATGCATGACATGAACCCTCACGGCGCATTCGAGCTGCAAGTGGCTGGAGCTCATTGCTATTGATTGTGGCTCAACCATCAATAGTATCCCATCACTTCCCGCATGCAGCAGACTGTACTGCAACGGACTTTTAACAGTGTTATTTGGGGCTGTTTCCCCGTCATCTTGTGATGACCAGTGCTAAAGATACAATTACAACACTGCTTGCTTCAACATGAATCAGCATTTACTGGGGAATGCCCAGCTCCTTGTAGAAGGCCTCAGTGCTAGGCTTGCGGCCAAGGAACTGCTCCAAGGTCAACATCTCCTCCTGGCTACCGCCCTTCTCCAGAACAGTGTGCCTGTAACGGCGGCCCTCCTTGCCGTTCATGGGATCAGCCTTGAAAACAGAGTAGAACATGTCGGTCGAGTACACCTCAGATGAGAGGTAGCCGTAGTAGCCGGCATCGTATCCTCCAATAAGGTGACCGAAGCAGGCTTGTCCGTTACCCCAGTTGCTGTCATGGTTAGCTTCCAAATTCGTTGGACGATGAATCGGGGTTTCAACATACTTCTTCTCGCCCTGAGCTTCGGGGCCCTTGATTCCAGCAATCTGGCCACGAAGCTCGTTGTAGACCTCCGACATTTCCATGTCCTCAATCTCCTCATGGCTCTTGGGGGTGTGGACAGTCATGTCGAAGATGCCAAAGTGAAGCTGGCGCAGGTTGAAGAGCGCAGCGTTGACATGCTTAGTGGAGATCTGCTTCTCAATAAGATCGTCGGGGATCTTCTCGCCAGTCTGGTAGTGGTTGGAGAGAGACTTGATGACGCTAGGAGTCCAGCACCAGTTCTCCAACATCTGGGACGGCGCCTCGACGAAATCTCTCACAGTGCTTGTTCCGTGGAAACGGCTGTAAGTGCAGCGGCCAGCGAGGTCGTGAATGCCGTGACCAAGCTCGTGGAAGAGCGTGACAACCTCGTCGTGCTTGAGCAGAGAAGGCTTCTTGGGGGTAGGCTTGCTGAAGTTGCAGACTAGCGCAGTCGCAGGGTACCTGCGAGAGCCGTTCGCTTGCAGGTAGCCAGGCTGCAGGTTAAAGTTGGCAGCGTGGCCGTACTTGCCCTGACGCGGGTGGAGGTCGAGGTAGAGGTAGCCAACAAAGCCGTCACCCTCAGAAGCATCATCCCAGACGCTGAAGATGATGACGTCCTCGTGCCAAGCAATATCGTCGGCCTTGCCAGTAGGGCTCAATGTAGCACGATCCTCGGGCTTGAGCTCCACAAAGACGAAACCCAGAAGCTCCTCGAAGATCTTGAGCATACCAGCAATGGTAGAGGTAATGGGGAAGTACTCGGCAATCTTATTCTCGTCAATACTATACTCCTTCTCGATCATCAATCGGTCGTAGAACTTGTGGTCCCAGAGGTAGTAGTTGCCGTCGTTTGACACGCCGCGAGCCTCGGTATCCGCCTTCTTGAGCTCGAGCAAGTGCTCAACCTCCTTGGCACCGCCAGCGGCGAGGCGAGAGCGGAGGTCACCCAGGAAGTCTGTGACGGTCTTGGAGGTCTTGGCCATCTTGTCCTCAATACGGAGCGAAGCGTGGTCGGGGTAGCCGAGCATACGAGCAGCCTCGTCGCGAAGGACGATGGCCTCCTTGAACAGCGGAGCATTCTGGTTGCATTTATTCTCGTTTTGAATAAAAACCTTGCGTCTCGTCTCGGGGTTCGTCGCGAACTTGAGGGTAGGGAAGAGGTCGGGGTACTTAAAAGACAGCTTGAGCTTGCCCTCGTTGTCGCCGGTACCCTTCTCGAGGCCGTCAATGACGTCCTCGGAAACTCCGTCGAGCTCTTCGGGGGTGAACCAGATGCCGCCATTCTCCTCATTGAGGTTCTTCTGGAACTCGATCTGGATCTGACTAAGACGCTTCTTGATCTCCTTGAAGCGGTCTCGCTGAGGGCCAGCGGGCAGACCCAGTCCCATCTTGATATACTTCTTGTAGTCCTTCTCGAGCAAACGTAGGCTCTCGGGGTCAAGCCCCTCGGCGTCCTTGCGGTTGTGGATTGCCTCAATCAGCTTGAAGACATCCTCCCTCATGTTCACCTCGATGGAGAAATCGTCCATGATCTTGTCGGCCTCGGTGGACGCCTCGCGCAGGGCAGCATCTCCAGAGACGTACTGGTAGAAGCCGAGTATTCTAGTCGACAGGCCACTCTCGTTCTCATCCTTGGCGATGGGGCGCATGACATTGTCGAAGGTGGCCTTCTCGGCGGGGATCTCGGCAACGAGCTTGTCGAGGAGGGCACGGGTCTGGTCGCAGATCTTCTTGGAATCGCCGACAATGGACTCCTTGGTGCCGGTGAAGACGGGCGGCGCCTGGGGCGGCGACTTGTACTTGTCGGGAACCGTCATGGCAGCGGTCACCAATGGGCGGTATGTGGAGGTGGGAGTGGCGACGAGGGGATTCGGCTTGAATCGCAACTGGGCGAAGAGAGAAGTGATTCTCGGAACTGCTCGCGGGGCCGCCAGGATGAGAGATGTTACGAGGAAGAAGAGGGAGAAGGAGAGTATGAGGAGGGGTAGGCGCTTGAAGTTGAAGAAAGCGAAGGACGCCACGGCGACTGGGCGAAACACGGTTCGATCAGTCGGTCTAGAGTCGGAGCGGGGGAGGGGAAGCAGCAGCACCAGGTGAGGCGGTGGTCGCTGATGCAGGGTCGGTTGGATGCGGTGGTCGCTTGCTGAGGCGGTTGTGCTGGTGGTGGTCAGGTAAGGTAGGTACAGCAGGCGAAGTAGAGTTCGAGTAAGGCAGGCGCGGGTAGTTACGCAAAGCAGTGGACTGAGGTGGTGACTTGCAGGAGCTCAGGCGGGGACGATGTCTAAGTGGAAGGTGGCTAGTGGTTGATGGCGGGACGTCGTCTGCCAGCGACGGTGGTGCTGCGTCCAGTCCAAGCTCCCGGCGCTGCGACATCCGCCCCACGCTGAAGCAAGCGGGGTGTCAGTTGTCACCTTTGCTGTCCTGCCCGACTATGTGCTGTCTTGTAAGGAGATATGTTTGTTCTAGATGGTTTTTGACCATCTGCACATCTGCAGAGCACTTGCATCTTTTTCAATCACTTGGGCCATCGTTTCAATTGCGTTGACGAGGGTGTTGGGATGGTCAATGGACTATGACCAAACAGTGGCACCCCAGTTGGACCCTTCTGCAGGTCCAGATGTCCCGACGCAAGCCACATCGCCTGACACTGAGAAAGATTATGTAAGACAGCGGCATCGGCTAATGCGGGGTGCTGCGTTGCTGGGCAGACAGCCGGGGATGGTCGCAACAAACGGCTGATGACATCTCACCGGCATAGTCTGGCCAGCAAGACAAGAGTAACAGTGTTTAAGATGGCTGAGAGATCAAGCATAAGGATAGTTGTGGAAATGGATGAGATGAATTGATTGCTATCAGTGCCGCTGATCCGCAGCCCCCTCTAACCCCTAAAACAAACAAGCATGACCCTCGATGCTGTCCTGCGCACACACACATCGCACAACCTCCTGACGTCCGTACGTGAACATGCAAATAGGTATCAAAGTGTTTATTTCTTGGTGGTATCGGTTCTATCGAGAGCCGTACATGATGATCCAGAGCAAGCCTCTGACGAGCAAACTCCGGAAATACCCAAATTCCCTACAAGTAGCGAAACAATCGCCCAACGCAACGCAACGCAACGCAAACGCCATCCCATCGTGCCAGCCATGCAAAATGTCTTCGTAAGCTGCTCTTCTTGATCTTTCTCTCCCGTGTATGTCGTACAACTCGCTCAAATGCCTCCCCTCAGTCCGTCAGCTAGGTGGCGAACGTTTAGTTGGCAAGAATGGTGCGGACGAGCTCTGTGTCTGTTGTCAGCAGTTTGTTACGCATAGAAGAAGTGCCTGCGCGAGAGGCGATGGGGAGCGTACCGGTGTAGTTGACCTGGCCGGAGCTGGTGTCCACGGCCTTGAGCAGCTCGTCGACCTCCTCATCCGTCATCTTCTCGCCGAGGTTGGTCAGGATGTACTTCAGCTGGCCGACGCCGATGAAGCCCGTCATGTCCTTGTCGAACACTTGGAAACCGCGGCAGTACTCCTCGGGCTCACCAGGGTCGCGGAAGCCGCCGGGGCGGTTGAGGATGCGCTGGAAGGTCTCGAAGTCGACTGTTTGCAAAGTCAGTCGCCGGTCATCTTTCCCTTCACGTCTCGTCCGAATCGCATCGCGTGTCGGATCGCACAGAGTGTTCGGCGGCAACAGGTGCGGAGGAGGGGGCAGGAAACTCACAGTCGCCTCCGACGTTCTTCTCGAGGTCGCGGATCTCGGTGAGGGTAGGGTTCTGGCCGCAGGCGCGGAGCAGGTCGCCGAGGCTGTCGATGGCGACACGGCCGTTGCCGCGCTTGTCGAACAGGGAGAAAGCCTCCTTGTAGTTGGTCGAAGCCTGAGCGTCGTACTGGTTAGAAGCCATTTTGGACAAGAATTCTTGGTTGCGTGTCTGCGCAAAGGTCTCGATGTGTTCGCGGGGTTGCGAGTTTGATGCGTCGCAGCGGATGCAGAAGAAAGTAGAAGTAAAATGGCGCGCAGAGGTGTATGCAGTGGGAGAAAGATTGGGTGGGAGGAAGGAACAGAAATGTCGTGATGCAGAGTCGGATGCTTCTAGCCTGGCGCCGAGTCCCAAAGTGTGCTTGCCCTGTTGTCGCTGCCAGTGGTTGGTTGGTGCCGCCGCTGATCGGAAAGTTCGCCCCGTGGCTGGCCGCTGTTGTTTGGGTCGGACGCTGGACCTGTTGGCGGGTGGATGGCGGGCTGCTCGTTCTTTCTCCCACTGCAATTTTCCCGCCCAAAGTGCTTCTACAAGGTTCGCCGCTGAACCAACCACACGCTAAGGCAGGTTTTTTCGACTCCTCCAGGCGAGTACCTCACTACTCACGTCGAAAAAAGGGGCTGCCGAATGGCTGACTGGCTCCTCCCTTCCCTTTGTTTACATTTTTCTGTGTGAGGGAGGGGTGGGGGTGGAAAACAAAACAAAAAAGCAATTGGGGGGGACTCCAAAACTCACCATTCTGGTCTGTGTAATGTGGTACGGCTGGTTCCTCTGTTCTGTTCTCTGGTAGGACGGGCGAAAGAAAGGCATACTTTTGGGGTGTTGTTTTGATTGAGACGAAAAAACCACGAAGCAGAAGCAAAGCAGACAAAGGTGTTTTCTGCAAGTTGAATGTTTGGCGGTCGAAACGCTTTATGTTCTCAAACCCCCCTTCCCCTCCCCTCTCCTTATCCTGCTGTTGGCCTGTCCTCTGCCATTTTTTATCCAATGTTCATTTTTATCCAAGCCGGCCCTGGGCCATGGGGATTCCCAGTCACCGTTATTCATGCGGTTTACAGACGGGCGGTGTGAGTCTGCCCGCTGCACCGCTGTGCGCACTATTGGGGGACGGGAGGCACCCTGGGCGGGCGGCGAGCGGTAAGCAGCACCACTACCACTGCGCCAGGCAAGCAAGCAAACCACCAAAGGCAATCAAGGCGAACACAGTGTGCCACCACTCGGTGCAGCGTTTTGGGAGTCTCAGTCGACGCACCCGCCAAAACTCCTGAAACCTGACGGGGCAACGAGGGCCGGTGGGGTCGCAGTGGCAGGAGCCGAGCGCCGCGGGACCCGCACAATCTCAGGCCCGTCGCCGAACGGCCAATGACGTCCCGCGAATGTCTTCTTCACCCATGGCCGCCAGCGACCCAATTCCCACCGCTAACTGGGCACCAGTCATCTTCTACCCTTTGAGCCCAGCTATATCCAATTTGTGGAGGTTTACGCCACACTATGAAAATTCTGTTTATACTTTAATAGATACCTACTAAGTATCGTGATATTATTTATAATAACTAAGAAAGTTTTAATCTAGGTTTATAAGAATATTATTAATAACCTTAATAACCTATAAATAACTTACTATATAAGGTTATATAGGAGGAAGAATATAAGTCTATTCTTCCTCTACTTATTAACTATCCTTAATAAGATTAACTTATTATAATTAAACTAATTAAGATACTTATTACTAAATTAATAAACTAGAAGATAAAAGAGAAGGTTAATTTTATTACTTTTATAAAAAAGTATAAATAATATATCTAAGTTACTATTAATAATATAAGTTTTAATATTAAATCCCTAGATAAGTCTAAGGATAAGTACTACTACTAAATATTTATCTATTAAATTATAGTATACCTCCTCTCCTAATCTAATAAGGTCTAAGGTATTAAGGAGTACTAAAAGGATTAATAAAAACTCTATAAAAAGCTTAGATATAATGAGTAAATAAGAGAGGTTTAGGAGGAGCTTAATAAGCTAAATAAATATAAAGAATATAAGAATAAGGTAATTATAGCGATTACTATAATCCTCTCTAACTATTAAAGTCGAGAGAAGTGAAGGGAGAAGGGAAAAGGGGGGGGGGATTATAAGGGTAGCCTACGTGCTAGTAGAGTTTCTAAAAAGTACACTTTAATACACTATATCACTTCACAGTGAACTGGGCACCAGTCATCTTTCATGGGCCATGGCGTGCACTATCGACAATCACTTTCGCAGCATCGTCACTTCACGAGATTATGCACCGCACTTTTATGTCGTGACATGGCCGTCGTCTTGATAATGAACATCTCGTCGCTTCTCGCACGTTGTGATCGCCCTCGAGCGGTTCGTCCCGACACCTCAGACTCAGACCCCGAGCCGGCGAGTCATTCCTCCACCCGTCGATGACAACCTTCACTTCCTCTTGGCCAGGATTATCGTCGTCCCCCAGACCGCCTCGACCTCCACCTCCCGCCACCTGTCGCCCTTCGCCTTCCACTCCGGCACCGTCTCCAGCAGCCGGTCAAACAGCGCGTCCGCAATGTCCCCCGTCCCGCCCTCCGCCCGGCTCTTGATCTCCGGGTGCGCGTCCAGCCACCCGCGGTACGAGCTGAACGTGCGCACGTAGCCCTCGAACTCGCCCAGCTTCAGCGTCTTGCGCTGCCACGCCGCCTCGGGGGCTACGTCCCCTCCAATCTGCGACGTGGTGCGGTCTGGGTCGTAGATGATGCGCTTGACCTTCTCCCACTCCGACGCGGGCGGGTCGACCACCGACAGGTTGTCCCGTAGGATCTGGCGGCCCGGCTTCTCCCAGTACTCTCCCATCGTCTCCAGTGGGAAAGCAGGTGAGGCCTGCCCCTCGCCGTAGCAGAAGTGGTCGAAGATGGCGTTGGCCTCGGGGTATCCGATGAGAATGTTGTCCTTGTAACCCCAGAATGCCAGCGTGCCGCCGCTCTTGACGACCCGGGCGAGCTGGGGCCATACTTTGGAGTAGTTGAACCAATGCGCTGCTTGACCCGCCACAACGAGGTCCACAGACTGGTCCTCCACGAAGGAGAGGTCCTCGGAGCTGGCCTGACGGAACGTGATCTTGGGATCTGTTGTTGACTCTGATGCCTGCTTGACCATGTTGGCGCTCGGGTCAATGGCGATGACCTTGCTGAAATGCGGCGCCAGTTCCCGTGAGATGAGGCCGTGGCCACAGCCTAGGTCCAGCGCCGTCCCATTCGACGACTTCGCATTGTGGTATCCCAAGATCGTCTTGTACAGCGATGCTGGGTATGACGGGCGGAAAGCCGCATATCCAGCCGCGTTGAACGTGGAGCGTCTGGAGAATGTTAGCTAGTTCTCGTCCATGAGGTTGCGTAAAAATGAGGGTCTGCGTACGCAAATACAGACATCGTGAAATGCTTCTGTGTATCTGTAATTGGTGTGCTGCTATTGGTCGGTGCTTCTTGATGTCGTAGAGAAGGGTACAGTTCAGCTTGGTGTTGATGTTTTGATGAAGTTCAAGTCTGGCCTCCCATCTGCAACAATCCCCAACAAAGACGCACCCAGTTCCTCTTTATCCTCCTTATTCGGCTCTTTTGCAAAATCTCACGGCACCAGACAGCCGAATGATGTTGCCACAGCCCAGTCACGAAAGCCTCAAACACCGGCAGACTGACTAAGGTATCCGTCGACATCAAGCAATGTGCGGCTCAGCCCAGGCCTCATCGGCCGTGGTTCCCCAGTTTTCCGCCCCCCACGCGGGCGGTAACCGCCCGCGGCGCATTGAGAAGTGGCCTCGGGCTCGGCCACAGCGTCTCCACCTGACGTGCTCGGAGCTCCTTATGGCATGGAGATTCGAAAAGCGCCGAGCCGCCCTACCCCTCATCTCCGACCACCTCGCTCTTCCTCAACTCGAGCCCTCACCACTTGCGATTGCTCATTTCACGATTAGAGATCACTGTATTTTTGCCCGACATGTCGACCGAAGCCACCGCCCGCGCCTTCTTCTCGTCAAAGTTCTTCGCCGTGGTGGGCGCCAGCTCGAACCCCGCCAAGTTCGGCCACAAGAGTGCGTTCCGGCTCCCCGAGTCATCCACCCCCCGCGTTTTCTTCAATCCTTCTCCCGCTCACTCATGGAGCTAAAAGAGGGAGCGCTGCCACTTCACTCCAGTAGACACTCACACATCACTGGCTACCTTTTCTCATAAACACACCTGACCCCTCACAAGACACCCAACAGGGCCACTAACATAAAACCTCCAGTCTTCGCATGGTACCTCCACCACAGCATCCCCGCGACGCCCATCAACCCGACCTCCAACACCGTCAACGCCGCCGGCAAGGACCACCCCGCGGTCCCCAACCTCGCCGCCCTGCCCAACCCCAAGGAGACCTCCGTCTCCATCATCACCCCGCCCGCCGCCACCCTCAAGGTCCTCCACGAGGCGAAGGAGCTCGGTATCCCGGCCGTCTGGCTGCAGCCGGGCACTTTTGACGACGCCGTGCTCGATTACGCGCGCGGCGAGGGCGGCTTCGAGGCCGTCGTCGCGGGCTTCGGCGGCGGCACTGTCGGAGGCGAGGGCTGGTGCGTCCTCGTTGATGGAGAGCGGGCGATGAAGTCTGCGGGGAAGCTCTAAGCGTAGCGTACCTAGGCCAGGCCACGATGGAGGAGCAGCAGCAGCGGCAGCGCTGTGCCAAGAACGACGGGACGACCACGTTGACATGTGTGTTACGAAATGAATTACGAGAATTTACCCTTTAGTTTGGGAATGCGTGACCCCCCGCCCTAGGCACCGGGCCTCCAAACACACACGCCTGGATCATCCATCGTGAAGAAACGCCGCGTTGGCGAGGGCTCACCGAGATAGCTCCGTTCCATGGTGCCTTTAAAGTTGTGACGACGTTCAGGTCACACCGCCACCACCCCTCCTCCCCTTCTCCCCGCCACCTCTGTTGCATGCAGGATCACTCCAGCAGATCGAGGGNCCCTCCTCCCCTTCTCCCCGCCACCTCTGTTGCATGCAGGATCACTCCAGCAGATCGAGGGTCTTGGGATCTTGTCATTGATTCCCCCGGTGTGATCGAGTCAAGTTGCCAAGTCTGGGGTAAGGAACCTAGCGCGTCGTCCGTCGGGTGCCGGACCGGATTTTGAGCCTCAAGTGATCCCATCACGAAGTTGCTCCAGTTCACACACTTCCCCCAAGGAGCAGAGAATCCGCCCTCCCATGAATCTGATTTTCTACTCAAATTCAATTCTTCACTTTCAAAGTGATTCGTCTCACCCCATCTCCCGACATCTCATCTCCAATCCCAACCCCTGTTCATCCTCAGTTCAACAACAAACGGGCGACGCACACGCCTCATCCGCTACCCCGACTTCTGCTCCCTTGATCCGTCCCAAGCTTTCCCCGCAATTTGCACATCCAGTCGCCGGGTCTCCACACAAGCTGAAGCTTCATCCCCAAACATCCCCAAACTCAAACCAACCCAACGCGTATTAGTCTAGCTCCCCCTCTCCTAGACCAGCGCACCTATTAACCTGCGTGTGCTGAGAACTTGGAGCTAAGAGCCCTTCTTATTACTATGGTATGTCGAGGCGCTCACGGGTAACGATACTCGCGTGGGCCGCATGCGCTACTGCAAGCCCGGGCTCCGCGTCCCTCCCGTCCGCCGTGTTATTCCCCTCGCTTTGCCGTCTCAATCCGGCCGGCACAAACATCATTGGACCATTCTTCATGCTCTCTGTCAGTTCTCTGTCAGAAACTCCCGTTGGCCGCTGCCTCGTCACATATGCGCCCTCCCTTGCCTCCACGCGAGATGAGCGAATCAGCCTCACCTGGAGCCCCAATCGACTCGTCACAACGGTCTTCTCTCCTCCCCTCGTAACCAGAACCGGCCGTACGGTGGACGGCTCCAACTGAGACGTTGACAGAAAACTTCCCCAGATTCGCACGTCTGCGCCCCTCACTGTCACATCCCAACCCCGTCTAGTTGGGGGACATGGGAGGGGGACCCATAAACGTCCAGACCTCCTCGAACCCCAAACGTGACCTCCACTCAAGAAACTTCCGCCTTGGGCGAATCATCCTCTGTAGATCCTGCATCATGCCACTCCCGGTCCGGCATCCGGGGGGTTTGCAGACACCACCCATCATCCTTTGTGCCGAACCCTCCACGCTCTCTGCCGGTCGCCCTAGCGAAATGCCCTCTCCGTCCAATGCCTCTCCCCAATGATCGCAAGACAGGAACCCCGTCTCGTTCCCCATCATGGAGGTCCTGCTGCCAACTCTCCGACTGGACCGGTCATGCCAGCAGGTCCTTGCCAAGATGGCCGGTCCTCATACCCATGTCGGGGGCTTTAAGTCCTCCTCCTCTGGGCGTAAGGCAGTATGCAGATGGGGGGAAGGACTAGACTCGTTGTGGTGTCCTGGGGGGGCCTTCATAATGGAGGGCTCTGGCAGGTTCACCTCATCTTGCTCTTGCGTCCCTGACATCTCTCGTTGTTTGTTCCTCATTGTTCATCCAAACCTTTTCCTGTATCATTAGCTACTCCGTCACCAACATCATTGTAACAAAAGACATACATATCTTTATTTAATATGGCAACCATGGACCACAAAGAGTTCCAAGAAGTCCGCTCACATTCCCACCACAACGGCCACCACCGGCCGCCCCGTGGCCCGCCTACGCCGCAGGCCAACGGCTACGAGTACGCCGACGAGTACATCCACCCCGAGATGAGCCGCGACGACGCCCTGAAGAGGATGAAGACGGCCGGGTCCATCTCAATCTCGCCCGAGCTGTTTGAAAAGCTGTACCTGTCGCCGCAGAACCAAGTCAAGGGCGAGTTACGCAAGACGTTTGGTAACCCTACGCCAATGTTAGTCCCCCAATTAGCATACATGTCTGCGGATGTATTTACTAACATGATACAGTGCCATCGTGGGCTTTCTCATCTCCCTGACTCCCCTTTGCTGCGATTTGATGGGATGGCGTGGTGCTGGTGGCAGTGGAGCCGCGGGCATGTAAGTCCGTCCCATTGTCCCCTCATCCTCCCCTTGAGTCTCAACTGATGTTCCATCATCCAGTCCCATATATTTCTTCTTTGGCGGCCTTCTCATGTTCGTCGGCGGTCTGCTGGAATGGGTCCTCGGTAACACGTTCCCGGCGACGGTCTTCACCACATTCGGAGCCTTCTGGGCCTCCTTCGGCGGAACCCTCAACCCCTCCTTCGCGGCCTTCTCGTCGTATGCCCCGGCGGGCGAAGCTGGGGCCGCAGGACTGGCGACCAAAGGCTTCAATGCCAGCTTCGGTAAGTCATCAATCTCTCGATGGTAATTTCGTGTTGGAACTGATCGGTCTGCCAGGTTTCATCACCCTCGCCATGGGCATGATCTGCCTCGTCTTCCTCGTTTGCTCCCTCCGAACCAACATCGTCTTCTTCGTCATCTTCCTGACGCTCGTCCCTGTGTTCGGCCTCATCACTGCCGCGTATTGGTTCCTGGCCATGGACTTTACTGGAAACTCTGCGTTTGCTGCCAAGCTTCTGGAGGTGAGTCGTTAACCTTCTACAATCCACAAAAAAAAAAAAAAAAAAAAANAAAAAAAAAAAAAAAAAAAACCATAGAGCTGATTCATGATGCTTTTCAGGCCGCTGGGGCGTGTGCTTTCGTGACATGTATGGCCGGCTGGTGGCTCATCTTCGCTATCTTGCTTCCTTCGGTCGACTTCCCTCTGGAGATTCCCGTTGGTGACTTGAGTCGGGTCATTCGAGGAAGGAGCGAGAGGAGTCAAGTCTGAAAGTGAGTCAACTAGAAGGGGGGTACTGGGTAGGGGGAGGGAAAATGCATCAGAAAATGACAGCTTGTTCCCGCCAAGAAGCACACACATGCATTTGGAACAATAAAAGGCACCCGTCAAATTGTTTCTTCACGTTTCTGTCGGAGAGCCTCGTGACTGTTGATTGCTCCCAGCAGGCCAGGTTGAAGTTTGTAGAAGCTGCGACTGTTCCTCAGGAAGGAGGGGTTTTGCTGGCCGCAACGGCAGTTCACACGAAACCTAGAAAGTCGGCGTTGGGACAGCCCGTTTGCGAATAGATACATGATACAAGGCTTCCAACGAAAGCAAATCGATGTAAATTTGGCTTTCCCCTTCTTCCATGTTTTGTTGCGTCGGGTCGTTCCCCTCCTCGCTGGGTGGCAGGTGGTAGGTGGTAGGTAGACCTGAACAGGAAAGACCTCTTCAGCGGCTAGGCTCCTCCTCTGAAAGGGAAGGCTCGACCCGTTTCGCTGTCGGCATTCAGTATCCTTCCTGCTTCGTTCTTTCCTAACTTTGCGTCCATGTTTCGTTCTCCTTCCAATTCTCCACCATCATTCTTGCCATCCTCCATACTCAACGTCATCCCCTCGGACCCCTCCACTCCTCTCTCCAACACGATCTGCAGCCCGAATCCACCTGCCGTCCTAGCCGCGTCGGCTGGAATTCTTCGCAACCATGTCTCTCAAGCGCAAACGAACCATGGAAGAGTATGTCTTCAAGTTATTTCCTCCTTCTCAACTTAGCTGACGCGCCCGATATCAGTATCTTCCAGTCCAGACAAATCACTTTCGTGATTGGCAAGGAGAAGAAGGAGTACTCCATTCACGAGTCGGCCTTCAGCCTCCTGTCCCGACCCCTCGAGGCGCTATTGACGGGAGGTATGCAAGAGTCTCAGAATGCCAAGGTCATCTGGGGAGAGGTTGAAGATGATGTTTTCCTCGCCCTCGTCGAATTTGCGTACCAGGGCTCGTACCCAATCCCATCACTTCGCAAAGTTATTCGACAAAAGCCTTCCTCCGACAGCAGTACTTGTGAGGGCCTCAGCAACGATAACTCACAGGGTGACGCCAAGAACGGACCAGACAACCAGACATTTCTATCAATCAACTCTTGGATGTCAGAGGCTGTTGACCGATGGGTCCCGAAGTACATTTTTTGCAATTACAGCTTCAACCAAGGCCAGCCTCCGCGAAAGCCAAAGTCGACTTCCACGTGGGCAACCGAAATGAAGATGAGCAATCATACTGGCTATACCGAAGTCTTCATGCTGCACGCACGACTCTATGTTCTCGCCGATACATACGCGATCGACAAACTCCGAGAGCTTTGTCTCCGGAGACTCCGCATCAGCTTTCTCAACGTCACTCCGAACGCAGAGCTGCTCGAAACCTTGCATGACTTGATCTTTTACGCTTTCGAAAATCCCACAGCTTCAGATGAATTTCGCGAGCTGTTGCTTCATTTTTGTATCGCCCAGATGGTGTGGCTCAAAAATAATGGCTTTCTGGAGCGGATGAGAGAGGAGCTTCCCGAATTTCTGGCCGACTTGGCTGTTGAGATTCCATTCAATTGCTGGGAGTGAATTTCGACAGAGGCTTGAGCAATGGACCATGGATATCAAGCTGCTGGCGGCAGGAAGCTTCAGTTTAGCAATCTTGGCCTAGGACCGTGGAATTGGCTAGTACGGGGAGTGTGTACAGGGCCGCGAAAATGGATAAGAGCTACTTAACGTCATCAAAAATCAATACCATCAAGTACCCGTGACTTTCTGCTTCGCATTATATCTGTGAAATCTGTGCTGCTTAAGCCTTCGTCACTGTGACCTGGGTTTATAAATGCCCCTACCCGGAATCTCACCATAGAGGCCAACTGTGCGGGCTTGACATCCAGTTTGCGACCAGTTTGCGATTAGATGCATAAACGAGGAAGGGATGAAAACACACGCAGTGAGCCATGCTCTTGAGTCAAATATAATCTACGTCATCATCATTTTGATAGCATCCGCGTTATCAGATTGATTAATCCTGTCCTACATAATTTGGACCGCCTTACTCAGCGGCCATGCCTGGACAACGGGATGCTGCCGAAGTTCGAACTTCTTGGCGTTGATATATCGTTCCAGAGCCCCACTTCTGCACTGCGCCATGACTTGCGTTGCCCGTAGATAACCAGATTGCTCACTACCAGCGCCGCAAGTATCCCTCGTATAGTAAGGGGACCCCGATCTTATTTGCCCTTTACAGCCTCAGTCAGGCCCGCCATGGGATACGACATGTTGGCGATCGTCCATACCACCCCCATGGGCCAAAATTAGTCCAAACTCTAAATAAATAGGATGTTTAGGAGAGATACCTGCATTCTGGCGGGCTGATCGTCACGTTTTGGTGGATATAAATGAGTCGATGTCCCGCAGGCCGCAATGGCGCAGAAGTCACACCACACTCATTCTTTACCAGACAATGAAGTTTCTCACTCTTTTCTCCTGTGCAGCCGCCGCGGCAGCAGCTGTAACACCTCGTCATGGCGCCGAATCGGTCGAGAACAAACTCCAGACCAGGGAATTGTCCTGCGATGTTTGCGTGTAAGTCCCCATCATATCTTCTTGCAGACAAACTGGAATCCTCAACTGAACACTGGGATAGAACCACTGTCAAGGGCTCGTCTACAACAGTCTGGGGCCCTTTCCCATTCGGTTACGGTAGCGGAGGCCTGACCACGGATAATGTGTACGTCGGCTGTGATGTCGACATCGACCGCACGAGCGCAACGGATTGCAGCCAGTGGAGGGTGTCGACGTCGGGTTCATGTGGGCAGGTTACCAAGCAACAGATCTGCTGAGACACACTGCGGTATATGCACAGGGCAATGGCATAGAACATCGAATCGATCAAGAGAGCGTGTTTTTTCTCAGTGTTGAGAAAGAGTGCCACTAGAATTGAATGAGACTGCTATGAGACAACACGCATGTTGAGTTTGCCAATCTTCCTTCTTGCATCATTCAATTAAGACCAAGATGCAACCGGTTTTTAACCAAGAGCTGGACTAAATTGAAGGCCATCTCCAGCCTGAGGTTGAATTAGCTTGACCAACATCCTCAATGTCACGGCTCTTACAGTACTGTTGAGTGCTACATCGTGATCATTAACACTAAATCCAGACATTCTAGACCGAAGAACCATGCCGAGTCAGCAGTGCAACGCCCTGTAGGTTTGCATGCCGCATCTAAGAAATCTAAGGCTTCAAAGAAGGATTGTTCTGTCATTTGCGAAGCCATATAAGAGAAAATCAGCTTGTTTGCAATGCGGGCTCCTGCTTGCTTTGGTTGCCTGCCTGGATCGCTCCTTCCTTGATCGCTCCTGCCTTGACCATTTCTACCTTGAAGTTCGAACATTTCACCCCAGGACCCACCCAAATATTCGAATTGTTTTCCAGTGCAATAGAGTGTTTGATTCTCTTTCCACCACTTGCCGGCCGCATCTGCGTCTTCCCTTCCTTTCACCACAGCAAAGCTCTCGCCAGGCGAGAGCAACTCATCTTCAGGCTTGCTGCGTTGTCAATCTCAACTTCGCCACTGATATTCCCGCTTGCCAATTCCATTCGATATCGCTGCAAACGCTAGTACGTGGTCGCGCGCCTATGTCATCATCTGCAACGATGTCTCTCAAGCGCAAAGAACCCATGGATGAGTATTTCTCACTGCCAAAACTTCTGATCTTCGCCCCACCACTAACAGTGTATGCAGGGCAGCATCTTCAAACAGCGCGCCTCCCAAACGCCAAAGAGACATGAAAGAGTATTTTGCCCAAGCTACTACATCATCAACCACTGCTAATCACGTCACACAGGATCCTCAAGTCTCGCATCATCACATTCGTCATTGGCCCTGAAAAGGAGCAATTCATAGCTCACGAGTCCTCCATAGCCGGTCTTTCCGAGCCTCTCCGTGTTCTAGTCACTGGAAACATGAAAGAAGCCATCGAGGCTAAGGTCACCTGGGAAGACGTGGAACCGGCTGTATTTGTCAGTTTGATGGAGTTTGCATACAATGGCAACTTTTCGACCCCAAAATCAGAACAGCAAGGAAACCGCGGGGTGGAAGCTCCTGACTTGAATGAAGAATCATGTGCGAATGAGAGGGAAGACAAGAGAGACAAGGGAGACGCCAAGGACAAGGGAGACGACAGGGACGAGAGAGACGATGATGAACGACACAGACAGGGCGGAGATTCGGGAAACCTCGACACCTGCCAGCCCACTGATGAGGACACAACTCTGATGAGCTGCTTGGAGGAAGACGACGACTCGACCTGGGAAGCATGCGCAAACGGCAGGTTCTCGCACAAGCACTTTCGGCTCAAGCATTTTCACCAGTTGAAAGACAGCCCGTCTAGCTTGGATGTTGACATTATTCCTTATGATGTCAAGGCCTACATAATGACCGCAAAGCTTTACGTCATATCTGACAAGTACGACATTGCGGCACTCAAGAGTCTTTGCCTTTACAATTTCACCTACAACCTGGCTCACATTAGCGGCAAGGAGGCCACTATGGATATCCTGGCTGCTACTATTCGATACGTCCACGCACACACCATGCCGAAAGACCAACTTCGAAAGTTGCTTTTGCGATTCCTGATCACGGATATGGAGTGGGCACTTGCCAACGATATAGTAAGGAAGATGCTCGACGACATTCCCGAGCTTGCTTCTCAGCTGATACTCCTGGTGCCTTCCTACTACTGGGAGGAGCTCAAAGATGGAAGGTAGGAAGGCCACCTACTGAGAGCACGCAAGCGAACATGGCTTCACAGATGGACAATAAAAACCATAGAAAAGCAACTAATCATTGTGTCAGCCCATAATTTTGAACCAAAATGAGACTATCCTAGGAGATAGGGATGTTTCCTTGGTGCTTAACTCTACTCGTTGTGGCTGTTGGCCCAAAATGGTTCGGTCGATTACACCGTCATCTTCGTCATTCTTGTTTTGAATACGCCTTCGTCATCCGTTCTCATTATTCGTGTTCGTCTTCGTCGTTGCTATTGCTACTTTCCTACATCTTTATCCACTTGATTGGCAAACCCTTGTCTAGCAGTCAGATAAAGTTCGTCTAAACTGGTTTGGGTTCCATGCTAAGGAGGATTACTTTAGTCTGCTTCCCATTACTATCGTGGCTACAGAGGGTTGGCTCTTGAAAGAGAAGAATTGATCATTATGGTTGTCAATGCTTCTGTGAGAATTGCCAACCACCGGCACGACGGCACCTGGGTAATCCGGACACAGAACGGACGTAATCGACACGTGGTCATTAAACTCCACATAATTTGGAGGGTATAAAAGTGACCTGTCAGATTTAGATGCAGATGTAACGTTGGATATCGAATATGATACGACGATGCAGAAAGATAGTGGGTGAGCAACAGGCCAAAAAAGGAAGATTGTCCGCCCCCAAAAGCGTCCCAGTTCCGGGTGGGCTGAGACACCCACGCTAGTGTTGGTTCTCCCACTCTTCCCTATTTTCCCTCCAACCCCTCCTTTGGAAAGACATTTTGTTCTGAAACAAAGCCGATTCCGTGACATCGTCTCTCAGACTCATACTTGTGTGAGACAAAATCATTCAGCTCTGGATCCAAAGGTAGTATGGCGGAACCTGGAACTGCTGGCGGACCTGCGCCAACTTCTCCACCTCGATCCCCAGAGGTCCCTGAGGTCCCAGAGGAGCCAGTGAATGTTCCTGAAAACCTTCCTGAAGGTGCCATTGAGCCTCAAGAAAATCTCAATGACGAGGCAGAAGGCTATGAGTCGGCTTCCGATACAGTTACCAATGCTTCCACCTCGCTATCATCGTCCGTTCGAGACTTCAACTTCGAGAACAACCGACGATATCACAAGTACAAAGAGGGACGGTACACATTTCCCAACGACGATGCTGAACAAGAAAGAGAAGATATGAAACACGCAATGGTAGTGAGCATATGCGGCGGCAAGTTGCATACCGCGCCGCTTGAAAACCCTCAAAAGATTCTGGATATAGGTACCGGCACCGGTATCTGGGCCATTGACAGTAGGTTTTCCGCTCCGAATTTTTTGCGACATCAAAAAAGTTCTGAATGACTTACGAGAGGGTCTGCTTTTCCCAAACCGCAGTGGGCGATGAATACCCGGAAGCTGAGATCACTGGTATCGATCTGAGCCCAATCCAACCCTCATATGTGCCGCCGAATGTGCACTTCATCGTTGATGATGTGGAGGCTGAATGGCTGTATCCGGATAATTCTATCGACTACATTCACCTGAGGCACATGAGCCCGGCCATCAGAGACTGGACGAAGGTTCTTGATCAGGCATACAGGTTTGTCTTCAATCTCCTCATGGCAAGATATCTTAAACATGCCTAATTCTCTATCAGGGTTCTGAAGCCGGGTGGCTGGATCGAACTCCAAGAGATGTGGTGGTTTTACCACTGCGACGATGGGACTATGCCTGAGGATTACGCCTTGACAAAGATGATCAAGCTCATTTGGGACGGCCTCGAAAAGTTCGGCATTGATCGCAATCTACCCAACTCTTACTCAGGACGAATTGAAGAAGCGGGATTTGTGAATCAAGTGCGCGACAAAGTGAAGGTCCCATTCGGGGGGTGGCCGAAACGACCTGACCTAAGAATGATCGGATCGTATTGCGCGGCAGTCGTTTATGATGGGCTATACACTATCAACCACGGGCCCTTGACGAAAGGCCTGGGCTGGACTACGGAGGAAGTTGAGGTCTTCCTAATGGAGATCCGAAAGGACCTGTTGAATACGTCGATCCACTCATACGTCCACTATGAGACCGTTGCGGGCCAGAAGCCAAGGGGGGAGAACGTATGAAGCAAGACATAGTTGACTTCTCCACGTCTAGAATTCGTGATCAAACAATTCTATTTTTCCCTCACAGGTATCAAGACTGGAACTCAATAACCGTGTGTGTCGAAGGCTGGGTCATTGCACGTGCCGGTGATCCCTTCTGGAACAGCGTTTTCTTAAAATACGTCACAACTACCTGCAAGGTTCTCCATAATTGACAAGCGATAAATATCGGCTGCGTTTGAATCGTACTCGTTCTATGAAAAGAAACTTCTTTCAATGTTTCTTTTCCGCAGGGTCTGTCTCAGTCGGGTTGGTCGTTTTCGGATCTGTTGGTGTCGTCTCGTCTGGGTCCTGTGTCGCCGGTGTCGGCGATCCCCCACGACCAGCGTCACAGCCTTGCTGGTCTTTCAGAGCGCCATAGAAGCTCTCCCTATACGCCGCGTCCATCTGCGCCTGGAAATTCGCGTCGATGAAGGGAACCTGCGTCTTCTCGTACTTGACATCCTGCAGCGCCTTTGCCGCCGCGTCCGGGAGCGAGTCCCACCCGACGAGCGTACGCTCGAAGACCTTGTCGCCGTCGGCGCCTGTAAAAGGCGCTATCGCGGTGTCGTGGATCTGAATTTTAGGGTGTGTCGGCATGTCCACGCCTACAGTTGTCGACTTGAAGGAGAAGTCGCCCGCATTCGCCGTGCCCCAGGTAAGATGGTCGGTCGTGAAGGAAATACCCACAGGCCAGACGGCGGTGACATCGTCGTCAACGCAGCCCCAGCGGTTAATCCAGACGACAGCGCTGGCCCAGTAGTGCCGGTGGCCGTTATCATTACCCTTGGCCCAGCGGACCTTAGGCATGTAGTAGCTGTACATAATACCAGTGCGACCCTGGCTCGAGCCGCGGCGGGCGTAAACTTGAGCATTTCCCCCTTTATCACAGCCACTTCGGCCGCCATTCGTGGGTTTCAAACCACCTCTAGAGTGATGATGTGAGCATATTTGGGGTATTTAATGGGTAGGGAAGGGTTTCATTGCTTACCCGAGGTTTCCGCTGGCATCTGTGGCCGGGTATGGATCGCAACCTCCCGCCACGTACAGGAAGGGGCTAAACCGGAGTTCAAGCTGACCATCTACACCTGGCGAAGCATTTTGGGTAAGCGCAACGACTTTGTCATGGTCGATCCAATTGTGTCCACCCGAGTCGTCTTGGCCTCGTGGGAGTACCGATGACGCTACGGTATTGAAGAGAAGACAGCCCAGTAGGGGCCAAACGGCGACAACTACCATCTTGCCTTCTGAGTGAGTGTATGTAACGAGAGTAGATGAGTGGCTAGGCAGTTGCGCAAGTGCAAACAAACCCCAGGAAAACGAATGTAAAAGGTGACCTCACGATGTACGTGGCATAAGCAGATCTTCACTTCGACATACTTATGTTCCTCGTCCCGGGAGGATTCTCAGTAGTGGTTTTAAAACGATTGGAAGCATGATGGCTTTTGCACACAGTCTCTTCGCTCACTGCATACATTACATTAAAGAGAGTTTTCCCCCGTGGCTTCATTTAGCATCCCCCTTCATTACCTCGGGCCAAAAGGGCGTTGAGTATACGAACGGTATGGCCGGACACAGAGTTATTTCCACACCTCGCTCCTTGTTATTTTCTTTGTGGTCTTAATGATATTGATCTGACTTGCCGGTAGGGCTGGCCTCTATGCTTCGTGTAAACTTTCACCTTCATATTACTGTGGGTAATAATACGGAACACGGTGCCGAACTCTATGTAGCCGGCGGGATGTCATGCCGACGCATTAGCTTGTGCCTTCCCGGGACCCCTTATTGCTACGCCAGTCCACGCCCCTTAACCTGCGTGTTTTAGCAATTACGTTAACGTAACTAGGCGTGGGTGTTGAGAGAGTTGAAGAATAGCTGAGTTGAAATGATATACTGCATATTCGGCCAATTAGAACTTCAGACGGACCCAGGGCCATCTGATCAAGAATCTGCAGGCTGAACAATGTTCGCCCTGGGCTAGCGGTTTAGACAAGACAATTCAAAATGGAAAGTTAGTATCCTCGCCGTGTCCATTCCATCCGATCGGAACGTGTCATGCAGACCTAGGGGATCGACCCCGAGAGTTGAAGCGATTCACCGCGCGAAAATGAACGGTGGTTCAGTAAGAAAGGGTTACAGTAAAGTTTGCGCCCCGAAATAGCAACTCCCGCCGAGCCCCAGAGAATGGCGCACAGCCCGGCTACCAATGGAGTTGCCGAAAGCTTATTAGCCAGGGGCATTCCGCATCTAAATCAACGTTGAGCAAATTACGCTCATGCCCTTTATTATTCTCGGAAGGACGGAGAATTTGCGAAAGAATCCGTTACGGCTCGGACAACGGCTCAACCATGTGCACTAGATTCCGATCGAAACTTAAAGTTGGATCGCAAGATGCCGAACACATGGCTTCGCAGTCGGCGTCACCGTCTTGACTCCTGAATTCGGCCTCAATTGAAATTGCACTACGGAAAGATGCAGACCAGTTAAATACCTTGACAGAAAAGCTTCCTGACTGCGTTATAAAGATGGGAAGAGATGTCACCACTTCCTGCCTGCTAGTTGGTCCAGGTGCTATGTCCTCTGCCACAAATGCGACACTCCGCGAGAACTTTGTGCAAAACAGCCCTTTGGGGCGCCTTCAGTCTCAGCGCCGTCAAGACACAAGGGACAAACGGACTTCTCGCCAGCGATGAGAACGACTGGTTGGCATTAGACAACGTCGATCCTTGGTATCTGCCCCCGGACATTGTTGACGGCGGTGACAAAGATGGCTCTGGTGCGTTCACAACACCCGCATAAATCCTCTTCAAATTTATAAGCTGACCATGAAAATCTGCAGTCTTAATAATGAACGGCCGAGTGCGCTGCGGTGTCGTCCCTCTCGACAAGAGCGGCAACGTGTGGACGATCCCCGCTAATGGCGATTTCGACGCTGTCGGTTACATCCTGCCCCGAGGCGGCTACGACTCACGATCCGACAAGAGCCTAGCAGACTGTGTGCTGCGTGAGTCCAAGGAAGAGGGCGGCTTCATCATCGACGTCAACTCGCTTATTCCCCTCGGACTGAGCAAAGGGGAGACAGTGTACTGGTACAAAGGCACCGTCACCGAGACCGTCGACCCGACCGAACCGCGCGACCGCCCGCCAAAGTCCTTCGCTGCCGCGGAAGCGCGAACAGAACTGCAGAAGCCGGCCAAGAAGCCAACGAAGAAGTCGGACATGCGAATGGCGTTCAACAAGGCGGATTCAGCATCCGAGTCTAACAGTTACCGTTCAACGTTCAAGGCGGGTGGCGGTGCCTCGGCCTACTCGTTCAAAGATGCCGGGGCGGCTATGGAAGTGTACAGCACCGAGTTTCAGAGCGGCGGCGCGCCGATCGTCAAAGTGGAGGTGGACTCGTTCTTGAACAAACTCGTAGCAGAGAAGGCGGAGAGTAGTCAGGACCAGACCAAGAACCGGCTGAGTCTCGCGCGTATGATGGGCTCGGTGTGGCTCAGGAAGGGACTCGCGATCAAGCAGCTCAGTGCGGTTGAGTTTCTTGACGTCGTCGATGATAAGACTCGTGCTGCGATAACGGCAGTCCAAGGCGAACTGGAAGCCGTAGCCGAAGATTTCGAGGTTCAGTCGACGGATTCGGTGCACTGGGGACGTCTGGTGAGCACACCTCTCGGCGAAGCTGCACAGAGCTTGGCTGCCGCGGCGGAAAAGTCTGTGTCGAAGATTTCTGTTACTAGTAGTCCCATTGGTATCGTCTTCGACTTAGTTTGAGTGGTTGTAGAGCAGCAAATGGCTGCATGGTTGGCGGGTTAAAAGGAGACAAATAAAGATGCCCCATTTGTCCGTTTTTCTGCACCGTTCGTCCTGAAATCTTGAAATGTCATCATGGATCGTCATATCAGGGGGTCATGGTACCAATGCCGTAGATTCTCAATAATGCTTAACTCGGGGCGCTGACTTGACGAGGTTTATTGACAGGAACTGCAGCTATGAGTTTAGATAGTATCTATTCGCGAAGCCCCGTTAGTTCGGATTTAATGGGTGCTTCCAGGCCTCATATGCTATTTACAAGTGTTCATGATGAAAGCTTAGTGAAGCAGAGATTAAGGACGCTGTGATGCCCACTTTGTCTTCGGGCAACCGGCAGCCAGTGCTCGTTATGAGTGGTTCGCAAGGATCAAAACGCGAATACATTTCGTCTCTTCCCTCAACGCTTCTTCTAGAGCCAGGGACCAAGTTGATTAACACTTTCGTCGTATGTCTCAACGACGGTAGAAATTTGACATCTTCTTAGGCGTACTCGATTTCTGTCAGTTTAACCGACTGCCACACAGGAATTTTCGATGGTGACTCAGGGTCATGGGTCGTCAACGAAAACACGCTGAATGTGTATGGTTATATCGTCGCCGCAGGCGCTTTTGGAGGAGGCTGCGTCATCTCGATGATTGATGCATTCTGAGATATGAAAAGAACGTGTGGCTTTCACTGTGCCGAAGTAGCCAGTGCGACGGACGTCTTTCTCGCTTCGTCTGGCTTCAGAGGTGCCGCTGAAATCTACAGCAGCCAGAAAACTCACAAGTCGCCAGATGGCATCCTCGAATACAGCTGCATCGGGGAATAGCTTAAAGTTGATGCACACAAAGGGTTGGTCTTGACTGTCTATCTCATCGAATCCATTTGTCCCTTCAGAGAGATGCCAAATGCCACATTCTTCACCTCAGGCTTCAAAACTTACTTGAAGACCCCTATTAGCGGTTTATACGAGGGCAGGACTGCCATTGACAAGCAAAGCCACGAAATGTCTGAATATTCCAGTGGTGATGAAGGCTGTTCGTGGGTGAACTCCTTTTCTGAGATGGACTGAGAACGCCACAACAGCGGTAGCTAATACAAGATTGAAGCATGGATGTGTCTTGAAACGGGGGCAAACAACGGCTAGAAGAAGTCTTAGAGTGAAAGAGTGGGATGATCGCAAGCGTAGACATCAGAAACCAAGAGTACTTCCTGTTGTATTCAATCTTTAACTTACTTCTCGCTAGAAAGACCCGACTGTAACAGCAGCTCTACGGTACTTCTATTTGTAATTCGTGGTGCTTTTGGGATCTGAAGGTAGGTGAGCTTTCTACGTAGACTAAGGTGCGACCGGAGTGGGTGCTATAAAAAGATGCAATGGGTGGGCTACTTGCGTGAATGTGTGATATTTATTCATGACTCCGTTCCGAGGTAGTAGCGAATCTCACTACTGCCTTGAGTAAAATTGTTCGCACTTCATTTAAATACCACATATTGGTGCTAGGCAGGTGGGCTTTTCTAAGAACACCAAGGCACGCGCTTACGCTTTCGAAGTTCATCTCGCATGGGAAGCACGCCTCGACTGGTCCTCCTCCTCTCCAACCATCAAAATCAGACACCGAGCCCCCTTACTCTATCTTCACACCTTGCCGCATTTTCTGGAAAGAATCCTTCTCAAGTTGAGTTCCCCGACGATAATTTGCTTGGAGAATCAGGGAGGTGCAACTCTCTCCCTCACATCTGACCCCACTTTATGGCGTCCGAGTGTCTCGGCCCGCTAAAGTCAAACCCAGCAACTACCCGACCTACCTTCCACAACCTCCAACTGCTACGTCTCATCATCACTTCATCGGACGCGACCTTCTGAATCCATTTCTAAAAGAAGACGAGCACAAGTTGAGACTGCGCAGGTGAATGAACTCGCACTTTTACTCCACACAAAACGATGGCTGGTAGAACCATCGTCGACACAGAGACGTCCGTCCCTCTCCCCCTTTCCGGTCGAGCTTACCTTGTTGAGTCGAGTACGTGGCTGCCAACTAACAACTGCCAGAATCTACACGTCGCGGGTCTTCAAGTTCATCGTGGGGCCAGAGAATACGACATTCCACGTCCATGAGAAGCTCTTTGCCCCTCACTCCAAGGGGTTGACGCGCATGCTCACTAACGGAATGCGCGAATCGCAAGAGGGCGTTGTCGTTCTAGACGATGTCGACAAGACCACTTTCACCAGCTTCCTGGACTACGCAACATACGGCAACTACAGGTTTCAGCGGACGATCCCTTCAGAGAACACCCAGTCGACGTTGAGTGACGATGATCTCACGCCAGAGAAACGGTGTGACTCTCTACGTGACCATCTCATTCATTACGATCATCGACGGGACATCATCGAGAGGAAGCCGTACTTGAAGTACATGGAGCTCTTTGTGAAGAGCGGGGACCAGCACGGGCTTTACGCACCTCCTACGTACCTGTCTGAACCTGACGAGCTTGGTTTTGACGTCGATCTGGACTTGAAACTCTCCAACAAGGAATTCGGCGAAGTCTGTCAACACCATGTCAAGCTCTACGCCTTCGCTGACAAGTGGGACATCTCTGAGCTCAGGCAGCTGTGTCTTCACAAGATTCACAACTGCCTGACCCGCGTCAAACTATGCGACAGCGGATACCACTTGCTTTTCGCCCTGATTGACGATGCTTACAAGAGCACCATGCCTGGAGATTTGCTCCGCAAGCTATTCACGCAGATGTGCGTGTCGGACATCAGCCTCATTCGAGGTATGTCTGGATTTCCCCGTCTGGTGTGCCGCCTTCCGGAGATAGGCCTAGACATGATCTTGGAGGAGCCCAAGTACTGGGAGGACAAACCGAAGGCCTTAGCCGACGTCAACAGCAAATTTCCACCGCGACCATCCATTGGCGACTATGATCAGAAGAGAAGCTAGGCATCTTGAAAGCAGGATCTCCACAACAGCAAAACATACTCTCGGGCTTGCTTGCGGGCACTTAAACTTTGAATCAATTGGCAATCTTTATCATTTTGGGCGTGGCGGAGCGGGACTATTTCAGGAAACGGCGTTGGGGGAACTTTGCACATTATGGCTGCAAATTATTTGTATCTGCCGTCTGCGGTAGCCAATTTGAGTGCGTACTGGATTTCTCTAGATCATCATCTATCTCTCCCTAGAAAGCCTTGATACGCGATGTTCAATGACGAGATCACAGTGCGTCGTAGTCCCTTCGAGAGACGGTGACATTGGAGCACGTCGTACCCCCTCTTGTAGCGCTAGGCACCCGGAAGCACTCGTTAGGGCAGGGTGCGCTGGCATTGTATTGCCATGAAAAGAGAGGATCCGTCTCATTAGTAAGGATCTGCCCGATCATTGATGTTTGATATCCAGGGAGTTGTCGAGACTGCTGGAATACATCGTACTTCAAAAGCTGTTAGCAAACGTTGATTAGAGGAAGTCTTGATACACCTACGCTACTCAAGGTCATTACACCCCAGCCAACGTTGTAGTTATGCTGGATAGTGGTGCCATAAACGTATTCTGTGAATATCTCATCAGCCTTCGACTTCACCAGAAAGATGTCGCGCGTCCGAGCTGACCTTTGAATCCTGCCCAACGAATGGCACTTGCGCACTGCTTCCAATGAGTCAATGCTACTTCCTGAGGTTTTCAGATACGTACCATAGGACAAGATTCGGCGTTGGTGTAGATGGAGAGGTCCCCCCATGCGGCGTAGATCTGACTGTGAAGCAGTCAGCAGTCAAGTTTGACAAAGTCTTGTGAATGTGATAGAAGTGGAACTTACGTTGGCGTCATCCCCTGCCCTGTAAACTTGGCAGTGCAAGCGTTGATGGCTGAAATTTCACCATGAACTGACTTTACGTTAGATTGGAGATGTATCAGCTGATCAACAAGACGTACTGGTTGGGTCTCCCGTGCGAAAGTTCGCGCCCTCGCATACAACTTCGTCGCTAGTGTGATTGACGATGATCGAGCCAAAGGCGGCGAAGGGGCAACTGAACACCTTTAGTCAATCGCAATCCGTAAGTCGGGCATGCACTGTGAGGGGCTCTTACGGTCCACTTTGGCGGTAGAGAGCTTCATTTGTCTAGTAGAAATGTTAGAATACCGCAATCGAAATCCCAAGTTTCAGTACCTACCTTTCTCATGTACTCAACTCGCTTCGCGGCCGGAACAGAGTTGACGGTCAAACCCGACATGTCCTGATCATCGTTTGGAATCACAAAGTGGGCTGAGCAAACGCTCAGCGCTCCCAAAGCGGACAACACGATTGATTTTAACATGGTGATTGCGCAAAGATCAGAGGAGTCAAATCACATTTCGAGACTCGCTTAGTAAAGGGCAGTGACCGATATTTATGCACTGCGAAGCAGCTCAAGATGCCGTTTTGCCAAATTCTTTAAGAGATAAGGACGTCCGGGATGATGGTTGGGGCCCACGTGCCGAACCCAACCACCCGGAACTCATGGTACCACCATGCCTGTCAATTGAAGCTATCACCATGCGCGACCCCGCAAAGACCCGCACCTGCGAGGGGGTATGTCATTAGCGCAGCTTCTCTTATCATTTCCCACGTTGCGGTGACAGCTTGGCCGCGGATGATTGCTGCAGTACTGCGGGGGAACTCCCGAGAGCGGAGGTCTGCGGAGGGTTGCCGGGCGATAAGATAGCGTAGCATTCCGCCGGTGTCGGTTGAGCTGGGAGTGGTGATGATATCTGTTGACACAAGTTTGATAGAGCCTGAGCTCAAGTGTCGCGTCTCCGAACATCTGCGAGCTTTGCCTCCAAATCATTCAAGCCCAACTCAAACAGCCACCGCATACGATCGACAGCGGGCTTTTCCACGTTCACCTCGCCCGTCGACTTCTGCCTCTCGGCCTCCGGGGATCTCTTCAAATTCGTGGCTCGCGTCATTTGGAGCACCTTGTCGATTTTGGCCTGTCGCCAGGATTGCCAAGCGCCAAGCGCACGAGGCCGTTCTTCCACGGTCCAGTTTCCAGACAAAACCTTTGCCAGAGCGTAGATATCTTCCAAAGCCTGATTAACACCTTGTCCCGACGAAGCTGGCATTGCATGAGCAGCGTCCCCGACGATGATGACATTTCCCGACGGTGAAGACCAACTGGGCAGCTTGGGCATCGTGTAGAATGGCCAGCTTAACAGGCCCTCTGGACGTTTGCACAGCTGATCAATGATTCGCCTTGCTGTGTCGTGCCATTGATCATAGTCCTTTCGCATCAGGGAAGCCAAGGACTTTGGGCTGGCTGCCAGATCCTGCCAACCCTCACGACCTTGTTCGGGATGCGGGAACTGCGTTCCTACCATGAGCATTGTGCCGTCCGATTCTTCGGGGACCATGAAAAAGCCGCCCGGTTTGCCTTGAATTGTGCAGCTGGTAGCGAAGAACTCCTTGTCGGGCCATTCAACAGAGTCGGTAGGGATGTGCCCGTACACGCAGAATACCCCCGTGTAAACAGGAACGAGGTCCGTCAGATAGCGTCTCAAAGTAGAGTGAATACCGTCAGATCCTACGACAACGGAAGCATGTTCCGTCTTCCCACCAACCTGAAATGTGACACCTTCCGGAGAATCGCTGATTATCTTCTCGAACTTGGCGTCAAAGTAGATTGGAACTTCACGTTCGGCAAGCATCTTCTTCATCTCTTGCAGAAGGGCAAGACGATAGAGACGATAGGCTGGATATCCATATACTTCCTTGGAAGCTAGCTTCATCGTATCCACAGTCTTATCGTCGCTGTTTTTGGTGATGCTGTCTTCGAAAAGGAAGCTTTTCGGCTTGATTCGACTCAAGACGCCGAGGTCGTCCAGGATGCGGCACCCGTTGGGTGTCAAAACCACGCCACTGGTGAGAATATCCGCATCTGCGCTTCTGCCTTCGTAGATTCGACAGGGAATCGACTTTTGGTGGAGGGCCAAGGCGAGAGCAGTACCCTTGAATGGCTGTTAGCTCACCCGCCGTGGCACTATGTAAGAGGGGACCCACGCCAAGGCCTGCGCCAATGATGGCAACGCCGTCCTTCTTGATGGTGTCCATTGATGATGAGACTGAGGTGTTTGTCTGTGATTAGTTGGAAGGTTTCGTGACGGGATTCCCCGCGAATGATCCGTACTTATATCAAGCTACCACTACCTATCAGACGGCGATTGATGAGATGAAACCGCCGCGCCCGAAAAGCATGGTCTTGACGGGAATTCGGGTGATGGAAGTTACCGTCTGGGCCATTGAAATTCGAGGAACCGGTATTTTATGATGCAGAGCCTGCCCAGACAAGCGATCGCTCATTCAAGTGGACGAAACGTTGGCGTACTGTTCCAAGGGGCCAGACAGCCATAATTTCCATTTCAATGAACGCCATGTCCGTGCTCGTTTGGAGATCAAAACAAGCGGCTCTTCGCGCTTCGCAATGTCCACAATATTCTTCGACTTCGTCCGATGTACGGTGTCAAGAGCGATCACCTATAGTTTGACGGTTATGTTTGTTGTAGTGACCAAGTGAATGATTGCCAAGACTCAGTGAACATTTAAGAAGAGCTGGAAAATAAGATTCAGGCTGGCTGATCGGAGAATATGCCCAACTCCGACGGCTGCGGAGTCTACGCAGATTTCCGAACGACGAGAACGACTACACGGCATGCACAACTACTCTCCATGCGGCGTATTTATATCGGACCGGGGGTTCTGGGATGCTAAGCAGTCCGACCCGAGTCAGCAGTAGACATGTAAGGGCATTCAACGGCAATATATGCCAGAGTCACTTCGTTTCTGCTTGTTCCCAAGACGTTCAATGATCGGCGACAGGATAGGTATTGTTAAGAGAAGCTATCTTCTTTCTTCATAATCAGCCACTCATCTTGCATGCAAGCTGTTGAATGAGACTTTTGATGTCTATAGCGGGTGATGCACAAAATGCGTTTGCATTTCAGAGGCAACTTTCAGTCGCCATTCCCAGGTTTGGTCACAATTTGTAAACCCTCACCATACCAACAAAGACTTCCTCAATTGCCGGCATAGTCATTTCCAATCAAACTAAGATAATATCCTCTGTGCTGTGAAGCAAGATCCCGGCAGATAGATACCTCAATATGGGCTACAAGTCTCGAGGGTGTAATTAGGCTAACGAACCATGTTGTGGAAACAAAGTCTACTTCATGTTAGACAACTTGACATAAGACTACTGTTATGATTTCGTATCAAAGGCCTCAGCATCTCTTTCATATTAATATTATGTTTGAATCAAGTTGTGTCATCTCATCGCAGATTCCATTGATAGAACGAAGGCTTTTCACAGGCCTCTGCTTGTCCATGCTAATCACGGTTCATCTAAACTAGTGCAACGTCATCTCACTGAATGTGAGTATGAGCCATTATATTCCAGCTTCCCGTCATGGGAAGACCAAGCCTCGACCGAAGTTTTATGCTAATGTCTTTTTTTGAGCTGCAAATCGCCACAAATCGCCACCTAGTGTTGAGCAACTTGCGTCAGCTCTTGAACACGGTGCGTCTAGGGGCTTTTGCTAAATCGTTTAGGGTTTACGTATTCGCAAAACTGAAGCTGTGACTAGTTCGCCTCATTCCAAGGTCGACACCTGATTTGTCGAATATCGTTGGGGTTTCTCGTTGAGTCATTTGTGAGAGAATACAGGACGTGCGTTCAGGCGATAACTAGGCTGTGTAGCTTTGCTCGTGAGGATTTCCCCAATGCTGGAGTTTTAGTGGAGCAACCCAAACAGTGGACATGGGTTCAAGTTCTGCAGGGTCTCGAGTGCGCGATCATAGCGACCCTCTATTACCCTCACTTTCTCCAGTGGTTCGGCCGAATTGATGAAGAACACCATCGTATGGAAGGCGAATCGTTGCGGGGGCAACTAATCTTATAAACCCCGCCAGATTGCTTTTGTGTATCATGACGTCGGCCTCGCAATTCAAGAAAGTCCGTTTCGTATTTGTTTCGTACTCGGCATGGATCTCGTGATGGCCCCGGATGCTTCCAGGATGCGAGACCGAGGTGCATATGAAGATACAACTACCGGGCCAAGTCCCGCCATTCACCTTTATCATCCCAACCCCGCCCGCGTCGTCCCCTCCGCCTGCAAACACACAAGCATCTGCGTAACCGAACCCAAAGTCGCACGCGCGCGAGCCCTTCACGATGGCCGAAGTTCAGAATAATCCCGCAACGACCACCGAGACGACGGCGACGACCACGGGCGCGCCCGCGGACGAGTCGCAGATCATTCAAGAGGCGCCTCTGTTGTCCAAGGTCAGGTATGGCGCGACGGCTTTCGCGATCCAGAACTTCGTGGTCAAGCCCGCGCTGTTCCTTCGCGACGTCAAAGCACGCATCATCCCGTCTGAGCATCGCCCCGACTTCGTGAAGACGTACGAGTGCCGACCGTATCTTCCTGTCAGGTATGCATGCAGCCAGCGGCTGAAACAACTCCTTCGTCTGTAAGAGACCTGCAGCTGACAGGTCTTCCAGAATTTTCTTCCCCAAGTGCTTTGACAAGACCTCCAAGGATAAGCTGCCTGTTCTCTTCACTATCCACGGAGGTGGTTTCGTGCTTGGAACTCCCGACGACAACGATGACTGGAACGCGGCGTACGCTACTCAGCATCACTCCATGGTGATCGGACTCAACTACGCCAAGGCGCCTGGCAACCCGTTCCCAGGCCCGATTCATGATTGCGAAGAGCTCTTCCTCGCCGCATTGAACGACGAGTCCCTGCCTATAGACAAGACCAGAGTCGCTCTCGCGGGTTGGTCTGCGGGTGGAAATCTTTGTCTTGCGGTCTCGCAGCTGGCTTCCGTGAAGAAGCACCTGTCGGCTATTGTCCCATTGTATCCCTGCACGGATCTCTCCCTCGAGGCGGAAGAGAAAGCGAAGTCGCGAAGATACAAGCCTGAACTGGGCGGCTTCCGCGCCAAGGAGAAGGACTTCCTCCTCAGTATTGCCCCTGTGTTCGATTGGTCTTACAAGGTCCCGGGCGAGAGCGCTCGCAACCCGCTTATGAGCCCTGCGTATGCGCCAAAGGACGCTTTTCCAAAGCAAGTCTTCATGATCGGCTGCGAGCTCGATCTTCTTGCCCACGAGGGTCAGCGACTGATTCACAGCCTGGCTGGGCGCCCAGCCCCTCCCGCCGTTGTGGGCAAGGAGGAGACCGTGGAGAAGGGCGAACTCATCCTGGACGACGAGAGGTTCCACTTCGAGGTTTCGAATCCGGACGGTAGTCGCTACAGGTGGTTGCTCGTGCCCGACACTGTTCACGGATTTGACCAGCATTTGGATGGCATCGTCCGCGACCCTGTTTTGCTCGAAGATGCTGAGATCAAGACACAAAAGACAATCAAGATGATTGGAGAGTGGGTCCTCAAGGCACCTCCGACGACGGCCTCATCTTGAGACCACTTACCCATGAAGCCAAGCATCTGCCCGAGCAACTGCGCGACCCCACCGCACACGTAATAAGGGACTGCTTTTCAACCATATACCAAGAAAATATCCAGCAGTGGACGAAGATTTGATAGTATACCATTTTTCCTGTTTCTTCAAGATTCCTGTATTCAGTTTGCGTGGCTCTCCGCTCCAACGGAAGTCATCATGTACGTACGTAGCTCAATGTTTATACGACATTACCCAGGCAAATACTCTCCATCTTCAGTCGATACTGTGAGTGCATGAGGCCTCGATCTAATGAACCTCTTCAGTGCCACGAGGGTTTAACCTCGTAATTGTCGGGCTCTGCATCGGGCATCCGAGTAACAGTCATACGAAAGTTTCGGAGGAAAACTGTCAGAAGCATGTCTCACTCTATATTATCTACAAACTAACTTGGAAGTATCGTCCCGGCTGGCGGAACTTTCAAGTTGATCAGGTAGTCGTCAACCGCTCTAGACGCATCGCCCTTGTTGAGGTAGCTAGTATGCCCAGACCCCTCCCTCAAGATCAACGTTGCATTCTGGAACTCCTCCGTCATTCCCACCGCATACACCAGACTGGTGGCAGGGTCAAAGCGAGAGTGTACGAGAAGAACAGGGTTCTGTGTCGCCTTGACGCTCAAAGCCGTTCGCGGGTTGGTGATCTTAACAGGATATCCAGTGCAATCAATGACTCGATGCCAGAACTCACCCATCCCAGGCGTGACGGTGAAAGCTCTTGTCATATCAGCGACTCGTTGAACTTCGATATGACTCTTAGCTGCGAAGAAGTGACCATCCTGGCATTGAACATTGGTGATGGATAGCGAGCGGCTGTCTGTAAAAATGTCTCCTGACAAGAGCCCAGGGCTGAAGAAGGAGCCATTTCCCGTGGCTCCGAGCTTGAGCTGTTCCGCAAACGTTTTTCGTTCCTTGGGGAACTCTAGCGTAGATCGAGCAGCTCCTATCACGTTGTTGGCCGTAGCGAGGGGAAGACACCTGGTCTTGGCTGTTCCATCGCACTCTGCAGCCTTCAGGTTTCCGGCATTAGCGACTTCAAGGATCTTATTCCAAGTCTTTCTGATGTCTTGGCCACCCTCCCCACAGTTTGTGGCGTTGGCTTCACAGAATCTGAAGAAGTCCTGGATTGTCGCATCTAAGGAGGTTGCCTGTGTCATGATGTTGGAAGCAAAGGCACCGGTGTGCTGAAGCATGCCGTCGAGAGCCATGGCTCTAATGGTGTCGGGGAATAAAGCAGCATACTGTGCTCCTAGTTGCGTTCCATACGATACACCGAAGTAGTTCATCGGCTCGCCTCCGGCAGCTAGACCCAGTCAGCATATACTTTGACTATGGCAGACAAAGGCAGGGCATGAATTACCAACTCTTACGGCCTCCATATCTTTCGCCACGAATATCGTGTCCATGTGATCAAATAGTGGCCCAGTCATAGCACGGCACGATTCCCCGAGAGCCTTGTTGTAATCGAATAACCTTTGGAATCCTTCTGGCGTTGTCGCGTCGAACTCGCTTGGTTGATTGGCCAGGTTTGTGTCGCACTTCTGTGGTGTACTCAATCCGACACCTCGAGGATCCATCCCGATGATATCAAACGACTCACGCACCGCGTCGCTGATATAAATCCTTTTCGTCGCCATTCCGAGAACCATGCTCGATGCGGCGCCACCTGGCCCTCCTGGGTTCACGAAGAGATTGCCAACACGCTTTCCAGTGGCGGGCAACTTGACGATGCCCAACTGGACTTTAGGACTATCCGGCTGCAAATTGTTGTGATCGAGTGGTACTGAGAAGTTGGTGCACTGAAGCTGTGACGTCGCGTTGACTCCGCGGAATGGCCGTATGTCGGTCGGGCAAGCGCTCCATGTGATCTGGGCTGGTAGATCCTGTTGCACTGGGCCAACTGGCTGTGGGATCATGGCAGCGATGCCAGCCGATGCGCATGGGAGGAGACCCAGCAGTAGGCTGAGGATCAACAGGAAGTCCATCTTGACGAACGACTGCCTCTGGATTGTCTGTGTTGTGACAGGAGTTCGTCCACGGACAGCACAACATACCCGAAGAGGACTGCTGCCATCAGCATACTTTTAAACGTCGAACTGTTGATCTGACCCATTGAATACCGTTTGTCAGGGGCATCTGCCACGCATCACGACACGGCGGCAACCCTGAGTCAAGGAAGCTTTTGAACTCTGATCAGGGCGACAAGCCACCAAATTCGCGTTTCCGCCCGGCAAAAATGTCTCGCGGACGTATCAGTCTGGGCCCTGACCAGGGACAGCTTTGGTGGGTGAGACGAAACGGCAAGGAGGGAAGGGAAAATAGAGTTTTTAAGCTTGGATTTTGGCATAATGCCGCCAATCATCCCGCCGGTTGTGTGAGAAAGTGTAAGAAGCTAGCGGCAATTCAGGGACGGCGTTTCCAGGAGCCAACCTAGATGCCGCCGCGGTAACTCCCGTAGATCTGTCCGAAAATCCGACAGACGCGGGAAAGTCATCGTGGAATCGCGCTCACAAACGGGGTGGAACGCTCGTCTATGCGACTTAAGGTTTACTACTGTACAATCGCTTACCTTCGAACGACAGGGAGATTTTAAGAGTGGCTTCGGTGTTAAGACCCATCGCCGAGGAAATGTATAACTCCGTACATTACTAGGTGCCACTGAAGCAGAAGTCACCGCGCTCATACAGGATTCAAGCTCTGTCACCATTCTTGCTGTAACTCGAAGTAGTCCGACTATATGTGTCTATGCTTCTCATCCTAAAATTATTGAATCATGTCAACCAGCGGCAATGTCCAGGAAACGCAATGCCACAACAGGGCCGGAAGACCCACCGACTCTATCGATGACATCCATGAGGTCGTTTGCCTCAACCATGAGATAGGGGAGTAATGATAGCCAAGTACTAGACCGAACACTGGAGCAAATAGCAATGTGGAGAGAAGCAGTCTAACCAGAGGATGCTACTGATTTGATATTTGGCGCCCGCGAAGGTTACGCAGTGAAATTCGATGTCCAGCAATGCGGCGCCAACAGCTCCTCGTTAATGCTTCTACTTTTATGAAAGGATAGGGGAATGGAGTAATAGATCGCCCGCATCGACTAGAGGAAGTCCAAAGTTTCAACCACCATCACCCTTTCGATCTTGAAAGGCCTGTCTCTGAAGTCTGAAATTACTGTCAGGGTGTTGTCTCGGACATACATCAACTATATAACCTTGAACCCTATTCTCTACAACCCGTTGGCACGCGGTGTTGTGTAATCCACTACCTTCCTGTGCCTCTGTATGGACACCTTCGAAATCAATCTACTACTTGGCCACCAGAATACCAGTAACTACACCACGGTGAGAGCAGCCTACATACAACATATGTGGAGAGAAACCTTAAAAGCTAGGAGGGCAATGTTACTTGCGGCTTATTAACAATTAGAGGATCATGCACCACCTCAAAGCTGCTGTGGGTCAGCCATGCCTCCGAAAGAACTTCAGCCCCTGGGAGGTGTCGTTCTTGATCATGGCACGAGGCAGAGAATCTGTCTCGCACACTTCAAGATACCTTCATCAGTCTGCGGCATTTGGTTCGCGACTAGCGTAGCTTTGTCGGTGGATCAAAAGGGTGCAATCTCGACGTCTCAACCCGAATTGATGCGCAACCCTTCAAGACACCCAGGGCTTGGATCAGGTCCTTCCGATTCCAACTGACAACCCATGGTCCAACCTTCTTCAAGAAGGCACATTGCGAGGGAAGGGGGGCAAAAGTTCAGTCGAGGGGAAGGAAGATCCAGGCCCTCAGGGGAAGGAGAGCAACCGCGACGCCGTACCTTCCACTCCCATTTCTTCTACCACCATGCGAGGCTTCATGGTCTGGTTAGTTTGGCCGGAGAAATACTCAGATTCTCGTGGTCTTGGTCAATTCTCCTATGATGTCGAGTCTTTCTGGCCTTTTGTCCCACGCACCGCAAGGGTGCATCTCCGAGCCACACATGGCAAAAGAAGGCCACGATTGAGGTTTTCATTTGGTACCGCTTTGAGCACCCCCAAAAAGAATATTAAAAAAGAAACCCCCGCCAGCTTTTGTTGAGTCAAATTGTCCCTCAGACTATTATCCAACGTTCTTAGCATTGTGCAGCCGTGAGGCTGAACCCGCTAAGATCAAACTAAGCGTCATCACTGGGACGACTCTGTACTGTGTTGACGATTGTGCCAATATTTGCATATTCATATCCATCTCAATCTGCCTGAGAGGAAGGGGACTGCTTGGTAAGTAGGCGGCAGGGTATCCTTCTTCTTACATCATGTCCGGATGGCGCCTCCCTGGTTTGGGTGGTACCTCCTGGGGAAGGCGACATGCGTGATGGCAGGCACGCTCCGGCTTCCCGGGGGTGTGTTGAAGATCTGCGGGTTCAGAGAAAACAGTGATGATAGCCCACAGTCAGCTCTCCCAAGTAGTTTGGAGGCTGCATAGATGGCACATATTCTGAGTTTTCACAAAGCAAACTGGGAGGAACCAAATGAGAACATGCGTTGAGTTTTGGCTTTTGGCTATGATTCCTGTCCGCAAGCGCGAGACTCTTTATATGCTAGGTTGTTACTTTGGTGAGTTTTTTCTTTGATCGTTGATGACGATGGTTGATGCTTAAATCTCAGGGGTTCCGCCGTGACTGCCGCAAGTTGATGGTTTCTCAATCATGGTCGCTTAGAATCAATCCATGCCCAAATCACTGAATTCGAAGAACACCAGAAACGTTGCGATGGAAAAAGACACTTTAGTGAACAACACCAACATGACAAATTCGCATTCTCCGCAGCCTCCGCACTTACTTACCTTCGTGATGTTGGCCGAGGCGGCCAGAGTCATATGACTTATGGAAACATCTTGTGAAATAATTACGCGTACATGGATACTGGCGAGATCCATCTGCAACGTGATGAGAAGAATTGTCTTAAGCCCCTGCGAGCCAACAGTTAAATTTTATTGATTTGTATTTTGATCACTTCATCCATATATGCTACTCTCGTATATGTGCAGTGCGACAGTCAATCCTAGGTTTGTATGATGACTTTGCCACGCCGAAGGAGTAGGTCATCTTGACAGTTGACGAAAAGACTGGTGAGCATTTGGGTGCTTCGGTCACGTTTTCATCAGCCTAGATAAAGCTCGCCTTAGGGAAGTGATGTTACTTGAATACGCAGTGTTCGCTTTCATTTCTGAGCGGAATGGACGGAGCTGTACAACATCTGCCCTTAGGAGGGAGGGGAGATCAGGCTGACCCGCGGAAAGCAGGGCAAGCCCCCCGCCGTTAGACTCAATGATCGATGAAACGAAGAGCCAAAGTTTTCCTTTCAAGCCTTAGGGAAATCTCTCTTTTGAAATTGTCTCAATTCCCCATCTCTCGCTGTCATCCACTTACAGGCGGAGATGCATCAGTCAGAAGTGGGAAAACAAGCCCCACCCCCATCTTATGTGCTCGTCTCCCACTTACGGCCATGATAAGCCACCCCACCTACGGTTCATCGTGATGTATAAGTAAATTTTTAGTCTCATCACATCTAAGATGAATCAATCATCGTACTGAACCCACTCAAGTCCGCTCTTGATTGTCTATGAATTGAAAGGTTATCTTCACCAGTATGTTGCTCCCCCGCCATGCACCTTTCCCTGCTCACATACATAAGTGTCTTCGTCCGAAACAGAAAGTATTACGGCTGTTCTTCATGCTTACGGCGCGGCCCTCAAGAGTCGTAATGTGGAAGAAGCCGTGGCTCTTTACACTTCCGATGGCGTGATCATGCCGCCACATTTCGCAGCCGCCGCAGGCACTACAGCTCTTCGCGAGTCCTACACACGCATATTCTCTAGCATCCAACTGGTCATCAAGTTTTCTATTGATGAGATCGTTGTCATGTCCCAAGATTGGGCATTTGCAAGAACTACAGCTGAGGGAACCAAGACGATGCTGGCGACACAGGAGTCAGAGGAGCATGCCAATCAGGAGCTCTTCATCATGAAGAAGGAGGGCGGGAGCTGGAAGATTGCGAGATACGCCTTCTCTACAATGAAGCCTCTGGTCCAAAATGGTATCAGAAGGAGCTAGGAAGTTGCAGTAGAAATCAATCGCAACTACCTACCTACCAAAGCAATTGAACTATCCAAGTGACAAAAGCACATCAAACCGTTTGTAAAACTGATTAACTTACTTCATATCTCATAACACTGTTGCATATTACACAGACATACAGCGATTTTAAGTCCTATCCTTGGAAACAAATACATACTTCTCAAAACTATGCGTGTAGCGTATTCAACTGTTGCGCTTTGGACAGAGAGCTACAGGTGAGTCCTAGCAGTTTGCATTGGAGTTTAAAGTACATGTAAATGATATGAAAAAAGTTCTCGTGTATCAATATTGCTTAATAGTTTGCAATCTCCCCCCAGATGGCGGTGCAGGAACGTCTAACCAAGAGTCCTCCGCCATAACGCAACAAGGGACGCCATGGCGTCAACGCTAATAATGCTCTCAGGCATCAATCGCGACCCCCAAAGATCCTCAGCTTGTTCTTCTTGAAGTGGATTTTAATGACTGTTTGAAAGTCTTCAAAATGTTCGAAACCAGTCTGGCATAGTACCTCTTTCTCCCTTTTCTCTCTCAACTCCCTTCCATTGGCGCGAAAGATTTCTTGCTCTGCTTCTGCCATCGCGTCAGAAGCCCTGTGCAATGAATAGCATTCTTCAACTGGTAGCAGCGGTGGCAATATGTCGTCTACCACATTCCACCAGACGCCGTGAAAGGTCTCCGATTTGCCCCCAAAAAGTGATCTCCACTGTTCGTAGTGTTCCATGAGACATTCGAGTTGTGCCATCAGCTCTGCATCGTCGCTTTGTATCAGTTGCTGATCTGAGTCTGACATATACTTGACTTCGAAAGAACCCCTATAGGCTCCGTATGAGCTTTCAACGTGTCTGCAGCACGTATGTGCCATCCCCAGTCTCTCGAAAAGCTCCAACCGAGTCATTTCTTTCATGAGAATCTCTCCTTGAATGTCACAAATGTCCCATTTATGTATCCAGCGCCGGGACAACTCGATTCGACCAATGTAGTGTACGCAACGATCGCGACTTCGATGATAGCAGCGGAGAAGCAGATGTATGGACATGCATCCATAAGATGAGCAGTAACACCTGCAGGTATCTGAACATAGATGCAAGTCACGGACGGCATCTTTTGTATTAGACCCTGCCCAATTTTCGGACCACCACTCAAGCCATTTCTCAGACCCGCTAAAGGCGAGGTAAAAGAGAACGTTCGGCCAACCCACTTTAGAACGATTTATCACACTTGCACCATGGGTGACAAACCACTCCGCAATATCTTCTGCGCCAGGGTGGTGATTCTTTACCCAGGCGTTGAAAAAGGTTCTTCGGATCTTTGCAAACATCGGTGTTTCTCCTCGTTTGTCGATTTCGTCGACCTTCACAAACCCGCACTCATAGAGGACATCTAGAACATCTGCAACGGTTTCTAGGGACGCGTTCCGAGGATTGAACTGCCAGGGGTCGTCTATAAAGTGGTATGGAGATGATACCTCAGAATAGTCCACGGGCGGGATATCAAGTGTTGCGTTCAAAGAAATATTGAAGAGGCTAACTAGCTTTTCGTTCAGCAGCTTGAAAGCACACTCCGCGTTGCCGTTTAAAAATGTCGACTCCGTGAGATTGGTTTGTCTGATCTCAGTTGCTGAGAGAAGCTCCAGGGCTGTGTAATAGAGATGCATTCGCCGGTCTCTTAACGCCGTTATTAATGTCCTCAGGACATCGCGGCTGCCGGACGCAACAGCATTTCCTATAGTCGAGCTGTCATCCTCTACAGCGACTGACCAATATAGGAGTTGTTCCAATGAAGCGTCTACCCTTTTCTCTGTTGTATCCAACAGCGCATGCAGCGAAGCGGCATCTCGAGCGCTGCATGCCGACCTTTCTGCTGCGGCCCTGCTGAAATATTCTGCGACGAGAAATTCGATCCCTTCAATCCATCCTATGGCGAGCTGCAGATAGGAAACATTTAAATCATCACTGACGCTATTTGTTCGGGACCCGACCGGAATTCTACGTGCCAAAACTTTCACTTCATCAAGTGATCGCTTCATGATAGCCAGACTCAGCATGTCGTAATCAAGTGCTAGTACCAAAATTCCTTGTCAGACCGTGGGCCCGCAAAGTTGCTTTAATCTAGTTCGACGTACCTTCGAACGCACCCGCATCCGATAAGTCTTTATGAAAAGGTACTTCCCAATCAGTATACGGGAAAAGCATATACTTCCTGTCAATAAGATACGAAGCTGCGGTGACTTGTTTGCAGCACCAAGACGCACTAATGAAACATGCGATTTAGCTCAGCCTGCTAAACGAGGTTTGAAATCTAGTGGGATACTTCTTACCTATGATAATTCGCGATTCCTACATGCCTTAATTCCTCCATAAATGTTGTCGTAGCCTGAATGTTGACGTTTGATCGCAGAATCGTGTTTAGCAAACCCCTCAATTGCGGCTCGAAGTCTTTCCATTGATCACCAAGCAATACAAGAAGATTGCAAAATTCCTGTCGAGGGTGAGGTCAGATTTTGGAGTTCACTTCGGCTTTGGCACTTACGAAAAATACGGTGAATCCGTTCTCATCAGACTCTGATCCAGAAAGTATTCCGTGCGATATGTTTTGTCGAAGCATCTGATTAATCGCTTCCAAATCTTCCCCTGTCCGGTACTTCCATGAAATTTCGAACTTGTCTTTTGCTTTAGGAAAGTCGCAAAGTCCACCAGGCTTCCAACATGGGACTTCTAAAGAAAACGACGTTTTCCTGGCCCAGAGTACTTGGTGTGAGTCGCTTTGTTGGTTCTCAGTGTTGGGTTGCGATGGCTCCTTTTCTGTGCAAGACTCCAGGAGGTTGTCAAAAGCTTGAAATATTGGCGATGTTGAACGCCGCATGGTTCTCAGGAATTTTAAAGGTGGCAACATAGTCCATACGCCAGGCCCAGTAATTGCGCCGAACGATACTTCCACCACTTTGTTGAAGAATGGGTGCAGGCTGGCACTCATCGAATTGCTCCATTCCTGGCACCCAGAGCCAAATAAAGGACAGTCTTGTTGATGCTCCGATCTTCGTAAGCTCTCCAATCGGAGACTCCATATCCTCGTGATGTTGCGTGCAGTTCTTGGTTGACATAGGCAGTGCCCCAGACGCTTCCTGTTGTCCACAGATAGGCACCAAACATCTCTCATAACTGTTGGGTAACGCATCAAAGATATTGCCATATTGTCATGCAACAAGACATGGTCTTGCTGGGTCAAATGGTGAACATCAGAACTAGCGGCGCCTATGTGCGATGTCTCCGTTCTGCGGGATTCGGTTCCGGAAACCGCGCGCAGTATTTCATCGCGAATGGAGCGTAGCTCGTCACTCATTTTCAACTCTTGTTGATGAATCATGCTTACCATTTTCTCGTGAGTCATTTGCAACTGCGACTGCATGTTTGAGCCAATATCCGATGTGTGGCGATGGATTGAGTCTGCTGTACTGGCAATACGGCTGAGATCAGAGTTGATACGACTGGTTTGAGTCCTCATCGAGTTGGCGGACACTGCAATAGATGCATTTGTATTTTCCATGGAGTCGAAATGCACCAGGGCCTCGGCGTGATGGTTTTCTATAATAGAGGACGTCTGGTTCAATGTAGATCTAGAATGAAAGAGTATTAGACAGAGATGCATTATCGATTCATAGCTGCTAGTCCGAAATTGACGCACCTGGTTGCTGCTGTGGTCATGAGACCCACGATTTCTAGCTCGATGGTGAGCTCCGAGTTGAGCTGATGCACTATTCGCAATTTCTCTAGAATACTGGATTCTCGCGTCGATGATACCAGGGAACTCCACAAACGCAACGCTTTGGTGTGTTTGTCTGAATTTGAGGCCTCAATAAGCGACTTGAGGACAGCTTCCGCTTCGTCGATAGCTATTCGTAAGGTCTCGAAGAAAGAGGACAAGCGGGTCACCGCGTCAGGCCCAATATGGTCGGCTGTGAGTGATCCTGAGCTGAGAATATGTCTGCAAATGTAGTTGACTCTCTCGCTCGATCTCTCGACATCACCGACTCGGGAAGCTGTCTTCTTGGGTATTTCGCGGAGATCTCGGATGAACTTGATCGTCCCTAGCAATGCGGTCGCTGCGCACTCGACCAACTGAATCGAGGCTGCAACCCCGCCGAGAATACTCAGGGGCTCGGCCATGGTGAGACTAAGCTAGCGGAGGAGGACTCGAGGAGTATTGCTACTCAACTCTCCATGAAATGCTGTTCGGAGGGGTGGTCCTGATAAAATGGGTTGGGGAGAAAGAAGGAAAAGAAGAGGGGATAACAATATTACCGGGACCTCTTGGAGCCTGATTACAGCATCCAACATTTCTGCATCGGAAGGAGATCTGGCGATGACATTCATTGGCCCGCCCCACAGCCTGATATGCACTTGCGGAGGCAGACACCATCCCCAGCCTGCTTGACCTACCGACGTGGCCATCTAAGAGATGCCAGCGAAAACGCCTAGGGCGGTGCAAAGATTGCCTGATTATGTGGTCTTCGCGCACCACAGTAAAGCATGCAATCTGGGCAAGGCGTTGCAATTATCCGCTACATTGAGGTTGCAAAAGATAAGCAGTTAGTCATATGGCTCAGAGGAATTTTGAGAGGCTGTCGAGATAGTGATTATGTTATGAATCAGCACCTGGCGTAGAGCGTTTGGAAGCGTCGAACCTCGCCGCGCCTCTTGATTCTTGGGGATATTGTGATCATTATGGAGAGATTTTGTCGTGAAAATATTGATACAAATTGAAAATCTACAGCCATAATGCTCCTTCATTATCATGGTATTATCCCGATACATGCACCTATCTCTCGTCTACTTCTTGATCTCAGTGCTTCCAGCAGCAGTCGTTCCACTGGCGGTATCAGGAGAATCCAATAACTCCGGCCCCGGGTCAGCCTTCTTGTTAAGGCTCTCAGTCGTCACCTCCTTTTCGACCTTCTTGACATCAACGTCCTTCGCCTCAATCTCTTCGCCATATGGCCCGCTAGTCTTCACGCCCTCCATCGAATCAGTCTCATCTCCATCCTTGACGACACCGTCCTTGACACTGCTCGCCCGGCTCACGTCCGCGCTCTCGGGACTCTCCGTCCGCAGGCCCAAGTGCTTTTCGGCAGTAGGGTCCTCCTTGTTGCCGCCCTTCCAGTCAGCAGCCTTCATCTGCGGAACCGGAGAACCCTCTGAAGGCTGCTGCACGACATCCCCCTCGGCAGGACCAACTTCGTCGCCACCGTCCTTGGCGCGGTGGGAGTCAGCAACCCGCCAGACGACGGCGATCTTGTCGAACCCGCGGGATCCCTTCCTACTGGATCCTTTGATACCGTCCATCGCGTCCCATTCGATCTCGAATACGCCACTGGCGTCGGGCTTGCCGTCTTGCTCCGGGCCGTTGCCCTCAAAGAAGACGTTGAACCAGACGTGAGCCACCGCAGTGACCATGGTTAAGCCCATACTAGCCGACGTCCTGTTCCTTCTCTCGACAGAGATGTTAACATCACTGTTCGGGATGTGAATGGCCTCCTTGGGCTTTAGAATGACAGCCATGCCACCAGGCTCTCCTTCCTCAGCATCCTCCTTGCCATTCGCCTCCGTCTCGCTCCTCTTCTGCAGTCCAGGCGCCGTCGGATCCCTGATAAGTGACGTTGTCTTGGCGTTCCTCAACTTCTTGCTCTTGCTTCTCGACACCCCGTCTTCCTTTGTCTCCTCCTTCTTTCCACCATCCTTGGCGTGGTTTGTGTTGGCATGCTCCGCCAAAGGCGCTTCCGGGGGGGCCTTTTCTGTAGGCTTGACTCCCACGCTGGCCAAATCGGTCATCATACGCCCGATACCCCCTCCACTAGGTGCATCTCCCTCGATAACCACCCTCTCGCTCTTCTTGAACGTGTGGAACACCTTGATCTTCTTGCCCTCGTCCTCAAAGCCCTCAACATCAAACTTGACGCCGCTACGCAGACCCCAAACATGAATCTCCATAATCTCAACAGCGCGGTCCACATACTTCTTGCCTCCCCTCGTCCAGCGGTCCACATACGTGATCGTGCGCAGCTGACTTGGGATAGACACACCAGCGCCGAACTTGGGCCTCATCCTCCGCTCAGTAAACCTCGTCAGCGCCTCCTCGGGCTTCCAGCCACACTCCGAGATCAGGTAGCTGCAAGAAACAGTCCCGCTGCGCCCCTTGCCAGCCTTGCAGTGCACGACCACAACTCTCTGATTATCGCCTCCCTCGACCTTCTTGCCGTCAGACTTGCTGACTGCAACATCGCCTTGCTGAAGGTCGCCGCCGTTGAGCCAGTTGCGCATGCTCGCCATGATCATGGGAATCAGGCGGAACGGCGGCGGATGGTGGTCGGGCCAGGGGTAATGCCTCACGCGCCCGTAGACCTCCTCGTCTGGGTACCCAGTGCCCTCAGCGCGGAACTCCCATATCGCCCAGTTGTCCTTGTGTTTCTCGTCGAGGAAGGTGACGAGGCGGTCGAGCGGGTTTCGGTAGGCTCGTTGGGGATACGTCCCTGATGGACCGGAGCTGATTCGCACATCATCATTAGCTTCTTGTACGCCCTGATCATTGCGGCGAAGAGGACAACTTACGTGGCGATAATGTTGGATGTGACATAGCACAAGTCCAAATCGGACTCGGCGTGCCTCGCGCGAGGCCCTGCGACAATTTGTCGCAATAGAGAAGCCATTTCTAGAAAAGAAAAAAGAAGAACCCGAAACCTTGAATGCGACGTGGAACTTGGATCGGAAAGCGGAGCAAGGTTTAGGACGGGGTCGCGCGCCAAGAATAAAAAGGTTGTTGCAGTGCAGCTGTATTAAATGAACGGTCCAGGGAGGTGCAATCCAAGTCGAAAGGCCTCCTGACGTTTTGCGGGTGGTTCCTTAGCTGCGCCTGCGCCTTGGTCGCGTGCAGCTCGTCGAGGCTTGACGTCGGTGTGCGCGACGGCTGCGCGACGTCATTGATAGTGGGGTATACCAGGGGAGGGAAAGACCGAGCTACGCCACTTTGGGTGTGGCTAGGTGTCTAGAGCGTTCGTTTCCCGGATGCTTGGCGACATGTGCTTAGCCCTTATATCGGTGTTACATTATCAGCGCCCACACACATCGCAGCGCGCGAAGCAAACGGTGGAATGAATACTTTAATCATGCGGGTTTTGATGTATTGCGCAAACAAACTAGTAGACAATGGCCAGAGCCAGAGAGCGAAGCGGGAAACCTGAAATCATAGTGTAATGCAGAGCGCAACCTGGGTTCGTCCAGGTCCCAAACTCGCCGACACTCCAAAAGCCAGAATGAGTCGCGGAAAAGCCGTTTGAACAATGATCGGCCGTAAAACATCTCCTCTTCTTTCCTTTCCGTTGCTACCTTGTATCCTTGCCCCCGAACCGTTTCTTACATACTCCCCTGGAAGGAAACATTCTTATCATGGCTGGAGTTGCAGCCTGGCCCATCGCATCGGCCGAGCCGCTCCTGATGCGATATCGTATAATTAAGATGTGTGAGCATCATGCACCAGTCGTTAGGACTGTTGCGCATTCTGCCTGCCAAATTGAGCTCTTAGGAGGTCTTCTTGGGGACGGCGGTACCGCTGAGGTAGCGGTTAGGGTCGGTGTAGGCGTAGAACTGGCGGGCGCCTCCCTTGACAGTGTCCCAGGCCTGGCGAGCAGCAGGGGGAGTACCCTGGTTGCCAACGGCGGAGTCAACGCGGGACTCGAACATGGCGAACGAGTTCTGAACGTGAGTGCTCTGGGTGAAGCGGGCACGCAGGAAGGCAGTGTAGATGGCAATCAGAATCCAGGAGCGGCGCTGGAAGGTGATGGCGGAGAGCAAAAGGCGAACCCAGAGGAGGATCTCAAGGGAGGAAACCACAGACATGGACGCGTCGTAGTACTCCTTGACAAAAGCGCCAATCTTGTCGGCAATGGGGTTGTGCGCATACTGGGGCTTTCCGCCGGGAGAAGCGCCAGCAGCCGGGGCGATGGGCTTGGGAGGAGTGATGGTGGGAATCACGTTGGCGCGCGTGTAGGTGGCGACGTGGAAGACGGAGTAGATGGCATAGGGAAGCATAGCCAGGGGGTACTGGGGTGAGAAGAGCCAGACCAGGGACATGACTGCAGATTCCAGTTAGCCGCAGCAACACGACGCAGAGAATAAACGAAGTAGCTTACCAAGGTATTGGACATTCTCGTCGGCGATGAGAGCCAGGGGGCTCTGGGGCGCCTTAGCTCCAGCCTTGCTGCGAGCCCTCAGGGTCTTGTAGACGACAATACCGTAGGTAAGGCAGGCGGAGAGGAAGGCCAATCGGTAACTCCAGCGGGCGACTCTGCTGTAGTAGTTGAAGGTAACGTAGGAGAAGGAGTAGCGAATAACGGACAGGATCAGAGTCAGGTGTCTGGCGAACATATTGTTAGCAAATGCCGACCCCAGGAAGAAGTTCTCATCGGTAAAGATGCAGCCCCGGTCCCCCAGCCTGCTCCGCAGGCGCGACCAGCATGTTCTTCGGGTCGCAGGGATACGGATGAAGCTCGAAGGACAAACGGAATGATCTGTACGTACCCGGCAAACCAAGCGACTGTTTGGAGATAGACGGTTAGCATATGCCGCACTCAGACATGCAGACGGGAGTTTGGAGTCGACATACATTGCAGGGTCTGGGCGAGAAGCAGAAGCCTCTGGGTGAGAGGGACGCTGGCGGGCGGAGGGGGTGCCATCGTGCAATATTCTTCTGGCGGTAGGCGCGATAGGCTTGAAATGTGGTATACAGCTGTTGATGCTGATAATCAGCAGGTTCGCAAAGGATGATGGGATTTGCGACGCAGTGCAAAGCTCTGTGTCGTGTGTCTTTTTTCTGGTGGTGTTGGAGTTGACTTTGGAAAGCTGGCCAGAATGCGCAAGAAGTTGAGGTGATGGCGGGCGGTGGAGTGGCTGGTTAAGGTGGAGGTGGAGGAAAATGGAGCCTGGACTCAGGCAAGCGGTGGTCGGTGCGTCAGTGCGTCACAGCTTCCTTCTCTGTGCTTCCCTTTGGTCGGGCCAGCTGCTGCCCTTTTTTCTTCGCTGGACGCTGGAGTGGCCGGGAGCGCGCTGAATTGACACGGAATTGGGAGGGAGGGGTCATCGGCGGCGGGAGGGAGGAAAGGTTACAGTGACCCCGG